TGGCTTTGACTGCAATATATTTTGTGTTATGCCCAGTGTTATGCCGGTCCTCTCCTGTCTTTCTCCTAGTGTCATGCTGGTCCTCTCCTGTCTTTCTCCTAGTGTTATTCTGGTCCTCTCCTGTCTTTCTCCTAGTGTCATGCTGGTCCTCTCCTGTCTTTCTCCTAGTGTTATGCTGGTCCCCTCCTGTCTTTCCTCTAGTGTTATGCCGGTCCTCTCCTGTCTTTCTCCTAGTGTCATGCTGGTCCCCTCCTGTCTTTCTCCTAGTGTTATGCCGGTCCTCTCCTGTCTTTCTCCTAGTGTTACTGTATTCTGGTCCTCTCCTGTCTTTCTCCTAGTGTCATGCTGGTCCCCTCCTGTCTTTCTCCTAGTGTCATGCTGGTCCCCTCCTGTCTTTCCTCTAGTGTTATGCCGGTCCTCTCCTGTCTTTCTCCTAGTGTCATGCCGGTCCTCTCCTGTCTTTCTCCTAGTGTTATTCTGGTCCTCTCCTGTCTTTCTCCTAGTGTTATTCTGGTCCTCTCCTGTCTTTCTCCTAGTGTTATTCTGGTCCTCTCCTGTCTTTCTCCTAGTGTCATGCTGGTCCCCTCCTGTCTTTCTCCTAGTGTTGTGCCGGTCCTCTTCTCTCTTTCTACTAGTGTTATGCCGGTCCTCTCCTGTCTTTCTCCTAGTGTCATGCTGGTCCTCTCCTGTCTTTCTCCTAGTGTTATGCCGGTCCTCTCCTGTCTTTCTCCTTGTGTTATTCTGGTCCTCTCCTGTCTTTCTCCTAGTGTTGTGCCGGTCCTCTTCTCTCTTTCTATTAGTGTTATGCCGGTCCTCTTCTCTCTTTCTCCTAGTGTTATGCTGGTCCTCTCCTGTCTTTCTCCTGGTGTTATGCTGGTCCTCTCCTGTCTTTCTCCTACAGTAGTGTTATGCCGGTCCTCTCCTGTCTTTCTCCTAGTGTCATGCTGGTCCCCTCCTGTCTTTCTCCTAGTGTCATGCTGGTCCTCTCCTGTCTTTCTCCTAGTGTCATGCTGGTCCTCTCCTGTCTTTCTCCTAGTGTCATGCTGGTCCTCTCCTGTCTTTCTCCTAGTGTCATGCTGGTCCCCTCCTGTCTTTCTCCTAGTGTTGTGCCGGTCCTCTTCTCTCTTTCTACTAGTGTTATGCCGGTCCTCTCCTGTCTTTCTCCTAGTGTCATGCTGGTCCTCTCCTGTCTTTCTCCTAGTGTTATGCCGGTCCTCTCCTGTCTTTCTCCGAGTGTTATTCTGGTCCTCTCCTGTCTTTCTCCTAGTGTTGTGCCGGTCCTCTTCTCTCTTTCTATTAGTGTTATGCCGGTCCTCTTCTCTCTTTCTCCTAGTGTTATGCTGGTCCTCTCCTGTCTTTCTCCTGGTGTTATGCTGGTCCTCTCCTGTCTTTCTCCTACAGTAGTGTTATGCCGGTCCTCTCCTGTCTTTCTCCTAGTGTCATGCTGGTCCTCTCCTGTCTTTCTTCTAGTGTCATGCCGGTCCTCACCTGTCTTTCTCCTAGTGTCATGCTGGTCCTCTCCTGTCTTTCTCCTTGTGTCATGCTGGTCCTCTCCTGTCTTTCTCCTAGTGTCATGCTGGTCCTCTCCTGTCTTTCTCCTAGTATTATTCTGGTCCTCCCCTGTCTTTCTCCTAGTGTTATGCTGGTCCTCTCCTGTCTTTCTCCGAGTGTCATGCTGGTCCTCTCCTGTCTTTCTCCTAGTGTCATGCTGGTCCTCTCCTGTCTTTCTCCTAGTATTATTCTGGTCCTCTCCTGTCTTTCTCCTAGTGTTATGCTGGTCCACTTTTCTCTTTCTCCTAGTGTTGTGCCGGTCCTCTCCTGTCTTTCTCCTAGTGTCATGCTGGTCCCCTCCTGTCTTTCTCCTAGTGTTGTGCCGGTCCTCTTCTCTCTTTCTATTAGTGTTATGCCGGTCCTCTTCTCTCTTTCTCCTAGTGTTATGCTGGTCCTCTCCTGTCTTTCTCCTGGTGTTATGCTGGTTCTCTTCTATCTTTCTCCTTGTTGTTACAGTCCTCTCCTGTCTTTCTCCTAGTGTCATGCTGGTCCTCTCCTGTCTTTCTCCTAGTGTCATGCTGGTCCTCTCCTGTCTTTCTCCTAGTGTCATGCTGGTCCTCTCCTGTCTTTCTCCTAGTATTATTCTGGTCCTCTCCTGTCTTTCTCCTAGTGTTATGCTGGTCCACTTTTCTCTTTCTCCTAGTGTTGTGCCGGTCCTCTTCTCTCTTTCTACTAGTGTTATGCCGGTCCTCTTCTCTCTTTCTCCTAGTGTCATGCTGGTTCTCTCCTGTCTTTCTCCTAGTGTCCTGCTGGTCCTCTCCTGTCTTTCTCCTAGTGTCATGCTGGTCCTCTCCTGTCTTTCTCCTAGTGTCATGCTGGTCCTCTCCTGTCTTTCTCCTAGTGTCATGCTGGTCCTCTCCTGTCTTTCTCCTAGTGTCATGCTGGTCCTCTCCTGTCTTTCTCTTTCTCCTAGTGTCATGCTGGTCCTCTCCTGTCTTTCTCTTTTTCCTAGTGTCATGCTGGTCCTCTCCTGTCTTTCTCCTAGTGTCATGCTGGTCCTCTCCTGTCTTTCTTCTAGTGTCATGCCGGTCCTCACCTGTCTTTCTCCTAGTGTTATGCTGGTCCTCACCTGTCTTTCTCCTAGTGTCATGCCGGTCCTCACCTGTCTTTCTCCTAGTGTTATGCTGGTCCTCACCTGTCTTTCTCCTAGTGTCATGCTGGTCCTCACCTGTCTTTCTCCTAGTGTCATGCTGGTCCTCCCCTGTCTTTCTCCTAGTGTTATGCTGGTCCTCTCCTGTCTTTCTCCGAGTGTCATGCTGGTCCTCTCCTGTCTTTCTCCTAGTGTCATGCTGGTCCTCTCCTGTCTTTCTCCTAGTATTATTCTGGTCCTCTCCTGTCTTTCTCCTAGTGTTATGCTGGTCCACTTTTCTCTTTCTCCTAGTGTTGTGCCGGTCCTCTCCTGTCTTTCTCCTAGTGTCATGCTGGTCCCCTCCTGTCTTTCTCCTAGTGTTGTGCCGGTCCTCTTCTCTCTTTCTATTAGTGTTATGCCGGTCCTCTTCTCTCTTTCTCCTAGTGTTATGCTGGTCCTCTCCTGTCTTTCTCCTGGTGTTATGCTGGTTCTCTTCTATCTTTCTCCTTGTTGTTACAGTCCTCTCCTGTCTTTCTCCTAGTGTCATGCTGGTCCTCTCCTGTCTTTCTCCTAGTGTCATGCTGGTCCTCTCCTGTCTTTCTCCTAGTGTCATGCTGGTCCTCTCCTGTCTTTCTCCTAGTATTATTCTGGTCCTCTCCTGTCTTTCTCCTAGTGTTATGCTGGTCCACTTTTCTCTTTCTCCTAGTGTTGTGCCGGTCCTCTTCTCTCTTTCTACTAGTGTTATGCCGGTCCTCTTCTCTCTTTCTCCTAGTGTCATGCTGGTTCTCTCCTGTCTTTCTCCTAGTGTCCTGCTGGTCCTCTCCTGTCTTTCTCCTAGTGTCATGCTGGTCCTCTCCTGTCTTTCTCCTAGTGTCATGCTGGTCCTCTCCTGTCTTTCTCCTAGTGTCATGCTGGTCCTCTCCTGTCTTTCTCCTAGTGTCATGCTGGTCCTCTCCTGTCTTTCTCTTTCTCCTAGTGTCATGCTGGTCCTCTCCTGTCTTTCTCTTTTTCCTAGTGTCATGCTGGTCCTCTCCTGTCTTTCTCCTAGTGTCATGCTGGTCCTCTCCTGTCTTTCTTCTAGTGTCATGCCGGTCCTCACCTGTCTTTCTCCTAGTGTTATGCTGGTCCTCACCTGTCTTTCTCCTAGTGTCATGCCGGTCCTCACCTGTCTTTCTCCTAGTGTTATGCTGGTCCTCACCTGTCTTTCTCCTAGTGTCATGCTGGTCCTCACCTGTCTTTCTCCTAGTGTTATGCTGGTCCTCACCTGTCTTTCTCCTAGTGTCATGCCGGTCCTCACCTGTCTTTCTCCTAGTGTTATGCTGGTCCTCACCTGTCTTTCTCCTAGTGTCATGCTGGTCCTCACCTGTCTTTCTCCTAGTGTTATGCTGGTCCCCTCCTGTCTTTCTCCTAGTGTTATGCTGGTCCTCACCTGTCTTTCTCCTAGTGCTGTGCTGGTCCTCTCCTGTCTTTCTCCTAGTGCTTTGCTGGTCCTCTCCTGTCTTTTTCATGATTTTTATAAACGACAACAACTCACATTGTATAAAAATTGAAAAATTAGACTGAAATATTTTGATAAGATATTTTCCAAATGGTGCAGCCCTGGTTTGTGGAGATGCAGTTGTTGGATCAGTGTGATGTTGTTGCGTTGGGCTCGGCAGGGGGCCGTGTCGGGGGCCGTGTCGGGGCCCGTGTCGGGGCCCGTGTCGGGGGCTGTGTCGGGGGCGGTGCCATGAAAATTCTCATGTTCAAACAAACCGTACTGCGGCCTCTCGCTGCGTTCCTCAGCGCGGCGGGGAATCTGACATGCTAACGAGACCAGCCGCTATATCCAGCTGTGGACTACATTACCCATAATACACCTGTAAAGTTTCTTTGTTTTTACTCCTCTTTCCGTGCCTATGCTGTTCGCTTTGATTCTTGTGTGTAGCGATATTACTTAAGCAAGACACAACATTTCTTCTCTGTTTGACTTAAGAATTATTTATCTTATATTTAGGTTGGCTTCTTGAATATAAAGTGATTGTAAAAGAGGATAGCTCAGTGTTTTGAGGATAGTTTTGGCCTGATCACATCATGGATCACGTCTTCACACATTCATTCTTCATTTATGTGTTGTTTTGGTCTTGGGGTTTCCTGTTTGGTCAGCTGTAGCTCAGATGTCGCAATGTTTTTGAGCTGAATACTCAATTTCATGGTTATTGTGAATACACTGCATGTCTTTCTAGTTTAGAATTGACCAAAGTTGTAGCCAAATCAAGCAACTGAAAACAATAGATTTCTGCTGTCCCTCTCCTGCTGTGAATCACCATGGCGTCACTGGGTATTGTTCCTGTCAGAAATCCGTGAAAACTGCTGAAAAACTGTTGGTTTGTGATTTCAGGACGATGTTCCCATCAAAGAGATCAGCATCACTCACCACGTGAAGGAAGGCTGCGAGAAGGCCGACGCCAGGCAGTTCGAGCTCAGAAAAGTGCTGGGCCAGGGATCGTTTGGAAAGGTACGTTTTTTTTCACAACACGCTCTGTGGATTGGCTGGTCAGGCGGTCAGCTTGACGTTCGGGCGATTCATTGGTATCTCGTTGACCAAAATCTCTCCTAGAAAACCCGCAAAATTTTAAAGTATGGAGCAAATCAGTTCTTGGCATTTCTTTTATATTTGAGCCCAAATCAAACTCTCAATTCACCAGTTAGTTGAATCTCCTAATTTTCGGATGTATTTTATGCCCAAAAATGAGTTCAACGTGGAATTTAAGTCTAGTGAGTACAATTCAGCTCAGCTAATAGTTTTTGTTATGGCTCCTTTTTAGTCAACTAATCGTTCAATAAGAAATGTGTTTGGATTTTCTACAGCACTACAGGCTGGAGACTCTTTTACTGAGATGACGTACTGTAAAACATAGATTTGAACAACATTTTCTCTTTTTTGCAACACTTCATATTTTACAAAGAATACTTAAAGAAAGGAACAAACGGAGACAATGCCACCCTATCAGGCATTGAGGACACACAAAATGGGATCAATGAAACAAGTCGGACACATATACATTACACAACAACGTTTTTCTGGCACAGTTACAGATGCTTGGGCAAAAAACATCCCAAATCTAATAGAATTTATTTTCTAACCCTCAACAGTGACTCCTTTGCTGTGATTCTTGCATGTTTGACCAATCAACTACTTCCAACTACTTCAAAATTGGTTGCATGTTTCATTATTAGGCTGAACAATCTTTCTGTGGAAATAAGCTTGATCAAATACTCAGAAGTTACAAGTAAAGTTGGAGTACCTAAGATTTTAAGTAAAATTTTTTAAACAAATCAAATTATGTATGTACTTGTCTTGTGCACACTGGGGACTTTAGCAGATGTATTCCAATGTGGTTTTACTGCAAATGGCAAATAAATGAATCAGAATTGCATTAGAAAGAGTGTCATCTTTTGCAAACTGGGAGCTGATTGGCTGAGAGAAAGCTGGTACTCTTTTAGTTATTCATTCTCTCACTGAAAAAGTTGGTCTAAAGATGTGACAGAAGCCAAAAATACGTGTATATGAAAACAAGTGATAGAACCGAACTGTTTTGTTGCTTGGACCTACTTACACATGCATTATAGTTCATTTGTATGACGTGCTACGTCTGTAAGCAGGTTAATTGCACAGAAGACAAATGAGATATTAGAAAACGTTTTGTTCTGGCCCCGGGAGCTTGGGATCTGGCCCCAGAAGGAAGCTCCACATTGGGGAACGGCCACAGAGGGACAGGACACACTGAGCTGAGTTCAGGACCTGCATGTCTCTCATAGATTTGTGGGATGTGATTAGTATCTGACACAGCTCTGCTCATGTCACACTGGTTTTGAACGGCTGTGAAAGTGAACAAAGAACAAGAAATGAATTGACACAAAAACAGATTTCTAGATTATAATCTTTATCCCCTGTCACCTTTGCTCTGACGCTGTTTCCACTGGTCCACCGCCTCTTACTTTGGACGGTCATGACTAATGTAAAATCTGTGCATGTAGGATTCAGCAGTGTCGGACAGGCATTTTGGCACAACTGAAGACCCTTTCGCAACCATGATTTGCCTGCACTGTTGTCAATTTATGATATGTATATTTATCATTTTAGCTCAATAAGACTAAAATATTCAACTAATACATCTGCATCTGCAGTATGTTTACATCTGTACATTAGCAGCAGTATGTTTACACCTGTACATTAGCAGCAATATGTTTACATCTGTACATTAGCAGCAGTATGTTTACATCTGTACATTAGCAGCAGTATGTTTACATCTGTACATTAGCAGCAGTATGTTTACATCTGTACATTAGCAGCATGAGGCTCTGAGACACAGTAATTCAAATTAACATGGGTTTCTTCTCACCATGTCTGCGTAGGTTTCCTCCGGGTGCTCCGGTTTCCACTACCATAACAACATTCACCGTGTGTGCAATGATTGGAACAATATCTGACTCTGAACATTGTAAAGCGCTTTGGGTGACCCTGGTCTGTAAAAATGTGCTATATAAATAAACATTACTTACTTACTTTCTTACATTTGGTCGAATTTGAGACGTTTTTGACTTATTTTTCATCATTTTTTGCAGTGTAGGAACAGCCATCTTAGAAACATGATCTGCCAACGTCTGTCTTTATGGAGATGTTTTTTACCAAACTTATGGAATCCAAAATCGATTCCATTGAAATCTTGAGAAATGTGCACTTGATTGGAGTCGCCAACACGCAGGCATGACGGGCTCAAATCTGACAAACTGCTACAAAACACTCGGTAACACGTTCAGTGAGAAACTCAAAGTGCATTCAGAGCAGTTGGAGAGACTTTAACAAACAGAGTGTGAGATTTATGTAATCAATTAAAACAAATGAACAACAGATACGGCCGTGTGGACTTCTGAGTTTGACTTTTGTACTTGGCAAGCTCTGATACAACAGTCTCTCATTTATAAAGCGCTCGTGCGTCACTGCAAGAAGGTTCTGGGTTCGATTCCGCCCCCAGACGTACCTTTCTGAGTGGAGTTTGAATATTAGTGCTCCTGACTTCCTCTCGTGTGTGTGTGTGTGTGTGTGTGTGTGTGAGTGTATGTATGTGTGTGTTACCATAACCTCTGGTCCCCCATATCATTCAAGAATATATTTCACGTTTCAAAGTAAATGGGTTTTTTTTGTAAATGATTTTTAAATATAAGTCAAACGTTTTCCAAATGAAAACCAAGCAGTATTTTGCAAATGTGTTGTGGTTCTGTTCACCACCTGTTTGTGAGCTCTTCTCAGCTGCTTATTTCAACATATTTCTCCTCCGATGAATCATTCCCAAACCTAAAAGTGCCTCTGGAGATCTGCCACGACTGACACATTTGTCCTCCACAAGCATTCTTTTCTTTTTAAATGTTTTTGGTGGCGGATATGTCTTTGTTGATTATGTAAAAGCGTCTTGGAAACTTTTATTCTAAAAGTAATGACTTGATTTTATGAAGTATTTTTCAACAATTAAACTATAAAACCGTTTCTCAATGAAGCAAACACAAAGAATAAATCCAAAGCCAGAAATATGAGGCTCCTTTGATTGAATGAAAAGTGTTATTGTGACCATGTGCCACGCTTTTAAATCTTTAGTCGAAACAAGATTCATACAGCCAAAAAATATAGTCTTGTAATTCAATACATCGATATAATATATAATTCTTATTTAGTAATAACAGTTTTTACAGTGATAAAGTAAAACAGAATAACAGATTTAAGGTAATCATGGAAAGATAATGCATTGTTTGGATATGTTACTTTAATAAAAATCTTAAATAAATGAAGTATAATATCCTCATTGTGTCAGAGCGTTCAATAAAGGTCCCAAAGTCGTTATTTACCAAATCAATCGTTTGTTTGTTCATCTTCATCCCCTTTCCCATTTCTGGGTAGGGGGCGGATGGCAATGGGTTAAGTGTCTTGCCCAAGGACACAACGACGAGACATCAGTGGGAATCGAGGGAGTAGGTCTTGTGAAGCGATCGAACCCACTAGCATTAGGCCCGAAGACCAAAACTAATAATATACGCTACGTTTAGAAATATGTTGTTTAGAAGTGAAATTGTGCAGTAAATAGATATGTACCGTAGAGCACTGGCATTTGAGCCTGAAGGTCATGGGTTCGAGCCCACCACGGGACCTTCTCCACCAACTCTCACTGATGTCTGCTGTCGTTGTGTCCTTGGGCATGACACTTAACCTCTGGGAACACCAGCCACAGTGGGGCGGCTGCGGCTGTAAAGTGCCAAACTGCTGTGTCCTTAGGCAAGACACTTCACCCCATTGCCTAGAATGAGTCTGGTGTGTGTGTGAATGGTTGGTGGTGGTGTGAGGGGCCGATGGCACATACTGGTTGCCTGGCTTCTGTCAGTGTGCCCCAGGGCAGCTGTGGCTACAGTAGTAGATTATCATCACCGTGTTAGGAGTGAATGAATAATGACATGTGAAGTGTCTTTGAGTGTCCAAAACAGCGCTATATAAAAGCGATGCATTATTATTATAATTATTATTATCATCTCCTGTGTTCATAACCACATCTGGTGTCGGCGCAGCCAGATGCCCAGCCATCCACATAAAGAGACTTTTATACATAACACATTCTATCTGTAAATGAAATGATGGCAGATTGTATTTTCCTGCTTGCTGCATTCATACTTCAAAGGCTGTGTTTTCCCATTTTGTTGGTTTGACAATCAGAGCTGCCACCCAATGCTCACAGCACCAGTCCCTCGCTGATCCTCCGGCAGGTGGTGAGTCCACGGGAAGATGGCTGCTGCTCCCTCAGCGGTGACATAGCCTTGTTCTCTCAGCAGGGTCTTCAGGCAACACTTGGGGTTAAGTGTCTTGCCCAAGGACACAACAGCAGCAATGCAAAAGACAAAAATGGCTTTGTCCCATTGGCAAATCTTGTGAAAATGTACTCGGATTAAGATTGAAAAAAAAAAAACTGGAATTAATTATTTATTAGCTCATATTTGATCACTTTTTGCAGTGTATAGGCTGTGAAACGTTCAACTGAAATATTCATTGATTTGATTCTCAGTATTATCTCGCTCTCTGTCACTTCCCAAACATGGGTATATTCCGTGATCTATGTGAGCGCATTTCCTCTCAGCCTTTTCAGAAGATTCTCGGGGGCGGGGGTGCGCCATAGAGTGTTCTCTATGGCACACACTCCACACCGGCTTTCGGTTTGGCTTTCCCCCGGAGAGCCGCTACCATGGAGATTGCCTTTATCAATGAGCAATTAGAGTTTAATGCAAATATTCGCACGATCGACCCAGAAAATCACATCAGAACTCCAGCTTTGCAAGAAGTACTGCCAACGAGTTATTAGAGAGACTACAGGGGGTGTCAAGGGCTGTACGTCGTGGAGGTTTCCCCCGGCAATTAAAATTCCTATGAAGCTGGTTTTAGACAGGGTGTATCGTGTGTTTGTCTGGATGTGGCCTTTTTTAAGGTCGTGCAAGACATGGGTAATTGGCATTTCTATGATTGGAAGTCATCTCAATTAAATGTATTCTTGTATAGCCCTAAATCACAACAGTAGTTATGTTGGGGGCTTTTGAATCCGCCAACACAGAGAATACAAAAAAATGCATAGAGCCTTTGGTCCATAGGGGGCAGAGATCAGTGTCCACAAATGTTGATAAATGTCTGTGAATGTTGTGGAAGTTACAGCCTCCAAACTTTAGCTCTGTCAATATAAACTTGTTCTCCCTCATTTGAAAGCACCTGTGTTACACCCACTGATGTATAAATGACTAAAAAGTCCACAAAAGCATATGTCTGTACTGGGCAGCATGATGACTCTATAGGATCAGGAAGTACGACCACATTAGTCCTGACTAGAACCAGGAAGTACGACCACATTAGTCCAGTCCTCAGGTCCCTGCACTGGCTTCCTGTGGCTCAGAGAATAGACTTTAAAACAGCTCTGCTTGTTACAAGTCTCTCCATGGCCTCGCACCAAACTATATTAGTGACATGTTAGTCCCATATGAACCAGCCCGGACTCTGAGGAGCACAGGGACTGGACTCCTGTTAGTGCCCAGAGTCAGGACTAAACATGGGGAGGCAGCTTTTCAGATTCATGCAGCTAAAATCTGGAACAAGCTTCCAAGTGGACTCACTCACTGATTTTCTTACTTATTGCTTATTTATACTTCAGTGGGAGCAGATGGAGTAGATCTTGTGGGGGGATAGAACCCACAACCAACTGAGCCACTGTGTGATTAGGGCGAGAAAAAAAGGGTTCTCTTAAAGGGGCTAAAAACTTTAATGGACCATTTATGTCACTGATGCAATTGTGCGTGCGTGCCTGTGTAGGCGCGGGTGTGTGTGTGTGCGTGCCTGTGTGTGTTCTTACATGACAATACATTTAAAATAATAATACAATGATTCATGTTTTGTTTCAGGTGTTTCTTGTGAAGAAAGTGACTGGGCCAGACGCTGGGCAGCTCTACGCCATGAAAGTCCTCAAGAAGGCCACGCTAAAAGGTGAAGAATGAACGAATGTATTGAAAAAAAACACATTGTGCAGTGGCATAAGGGTTGTACAAATACACATATTGAAGTGTCCAAGTGGGAGTGGGCAGTAGTACTAACTTGTTTAGACCTAAAGGTAGTTTAACCATCCCAAAGCCCTCGCTGGTCACGCTCCCGGCCTCACAGATAAACCTTTCCTTTTATATCTCTGGCTCTCAGTGAATTGTCCCGCTGCTTGTTTTTCCCCTCGTTGTTGTGGTTTGTTCGTCATCGCCCAAAGTGGAGTTTCGCGCCTCACCATGAGACAGACACAAGCTGAAGAAACACGCCGCATTTAGATCAATGTGGGCAATGTCCTGTTTGTAAATACTCACCTCACGGAGCTCATAATTGGTTACACGAGATAATTCATGGTTCCAATGATTATTCCATGCTCTGTGAGGATTACAGAGAAAACCAACCATTGATTAATGTTGAAACTGTGACTGGAACACCTTAGATTTCAGGTTCCATATCTCTCTGTGTAGTCACCATAGCAACACGCAGCATAGAGCACGAATGGTTACTTTAAAGTTTTATTATACAGCAGGATGTTGATTTGAGAGGCTGAACATGCATAATATTGTGGTTGTGTCAAATTCATTGGTTAAATGTTGGATAACTTTTTCTCCTGTGTTGTGTGTCTTCATTTTGGTCTTGCTAACGGTTGCTAAGGAGAATTTGTTCACTCTTGGCTCATAAGCAAACATGTTTTTGAGAGCGAAGAGGACAACAAATATTATGTAAATTCTTTTTTTTACTTGTATTGACTGTTTTGACCATTGTATACTCCTTAAACAATATTGGTATGATAAGACGGTATCAGGTCTTAGACAAAACTATGAATTTAATCTGTAGTTTGGGTAGTTTTTGCCAATGGTAAAAATTCCATTCTAAATATTTGTTAAGATATTACCACAAAATTACAATTAAATTATAGTTGAAAATAAGTGTTTGCATACATATTTGTATAAGATTCTAAAGTAAAGTTTCTTCATCATATTTTGTGTTTTTTTCTCAGTTCGAGACAGAGTTCGGACGAAGATGGAACGTGACATCCTGGTGGAGGTCAATCATCCGTTCATTGTGAAGCTGCACTACGGTGAGTCGACCAATCACAGAGCAGGGATACAATAAAATCTGAGTTCACTCTCAAAATGATTGAGCAGAAGCCAAAGCTCAAAGTGATTTTCCTGCAGCGTTCCAGACGGAGGGGAAGCTCTACCTGATCCTGGACTTTCTCCGAGGAGGCGACCTCTTCACCCGTCTCTCCAAAGAGGTGAATGACGACGACCTGTGGGGAAAATGTAGCTTTTTTTATTGTTATACAGCAGCATTTGAGCTGTAGAAGATTTTGGAAGTCACTTTGATAGTTTTTAATATTGCTTTAAGCTGAGGTACCTGACTTTAAAACCACACAAAGGGATCTACGTAATAAAATCCATCCAGGCACTATCAGAATCTTTGCTATCACTAGTTTTTCCACATTTTTGAGCTCTGTCACATCAGCTTTTTCCGACAAAACAGAGAAAAGACCAGTCAGTCCAGTCCAGTCTCAGCCCAAAATGTCCTATAGTCCGTCTCAAGGCCCTGTTTTAAAAGTATGCAAAAGATAATGTTTTTAATCAGAGGAAGACGGCAAGTTGTGGTCTTTTTTTGGCCATTTTAATTTTACCAAACTCATTCTGTTGGGACAAATACAATGGTTACGTGTACCAGCTTTAATTCTGCTGTTTATTTCTTTCTTTTTAACGATAAAGGTGAATGCAGTCATTCTGAGCCTGCTGTAACTATAGTGTACCACATTATCCAGTACATCCAGTAAATCCCTTTCACTGGTGTGTTTTTCCAGGTGATGTTCACGGAGGAGGACGTGAAGTTCTATCTGGCTGAACTGGCTCTGGCCCTGGATCACCTCCACGGCCTCGGAATCATCTACAGAGACCTCAAACCAGAAAAGTAAGACCTGAGACCAGACTTATTTACATATTTACAGGTGCGTTTGAAAGATCACACACACCTAGGACTGTATTATGAATGATGACGCAAGCACTTTGATTTTTCTCGTTGTTGGCGATTGTGTAAAGCCATTTCTTGTCGTATGAACACGTTTTCTATTTTCAAATATTTTAATGACAACAGACACACTCCTGATCAGAAATCTCCATCCCCCAGTTCTCAGTAGCGTTTACTTCCCCTTTAACAGCTATAAAGCGTGGGGTCTTTTTGTGGTTGTTGTGGAGGAGGTCTCTGATGGTAAAGCTGCATATTCTCGGTAAAAAGCCTCTGGTTCCTGTAATATCCTGGGCCGCCTTGTCTTGAACTGTGAAATGTTAAAATGTGTAAAAAGAAATCTTAGAAAAATGACATTACGATACATAGCTTCCACACAACCACTAATGAGCAGCGGAGAAACAAAAGTTGTGGCATAATCTTGACAATATCCAAATGGCTGCGTGTGTGAACTTTCATGTATAGCCGTAAGTGGCCATAACTGCATGTGAAAGCCGGATACCGTCAGTCCTTTGAAGCTGTGCAGGGAAGGGCTTGGTTAGTGCTGTGATGGGAGACCTCTGGGATCACCAGGTGCCACAGTGGGGCGACTGCGCCTGTAAAGTGCCAAACTGTCAGGCAAAACACTTCACCCACATTAGAATGAGTCTGGTGTGTGTGTGAATGGCTGGTGGTGGTCAGAGGGCCTGATGGCACATACTGGTTGCCTCACTTCTGTTAGTGTGCCCCAGGGCAGATGTGGCTATAGTAGTAGTTTATGACCGCCTTGTATGGAGTGAATGAATAATGCCATATGAAGCGTCTTTGAGGGTCCAAAACAGCGCTATATAAAACGATGCATTTTTATAATAAGTGGCAGGCTTTGATTTGATTCTCTTTGATGTCTGCTGCTGTTGTGTCCTTGGGCAAGACACTCGACCCCACTTTGCCTTAAGCCCCCGCTGAAAGACCAAGGCTATACTCTCACTGACAGAGCAGCCATCCTCCTGTGGACTCCCCACCGGCAGGAGGATCAGTGAGGGGCTGGTGCTATGTGACAGAAATGGATTAAGGGGAAGAATATGGATGCATGACTTTGATTTGCAACTTATTAAAACAGTTAAACATTATGAACATGGCATCTTACTGCTCTTGTGTTGTTTTCCAGCATCCTTCTTGATGAGGAAGGACACATAAAGCTGACAGGTGCGTAACTCAAAGCTGCCGTCCTAATACCTCGGGTGATTTTTCCACTCATTATTGACTTCTCTCTTGTGTCTAGACTTCGGTTTGAGTAAAGAGTCGATAGATCACGAGAACAAGGCGTACTCCTTCTGTGGCACGGTGGAGTACATGGCTCCTGAGGTGGTGAACCGCCGAGGACACACGCACAGCGCCGACTGGTGGTCATACGGAGTACTGATGGTGAGGGCCTTTGCTTGAAAACAATTATACAGGGATCATCTTTCTCCTGAATTATGCTATCAGTTAAACTAAGGTCTCACAATTTGTATTTATGTTTTACTCCACAATACATTTGTTTGTTTTTAATTGGCCGTCTGCAGGGCATTAAAAATATGTAATTTATCAACATTTTTGTACATGTCCAAGAAATAGGCAGGCAACATTACATTGTGCTTTTTGTTCGTGTGACAGGACTACAACTATTTTAAATGTATACGTAGCATGTGGTGTAATGTCATGCCCACAGTTGAAATTAATAATCATAATAATGATTAATAAATATAATAAAATAAATATCAAAATAAATTAATAAAATATATGAGTTGTAATCAGTTCCACCAGTATCAGAAAAAATTTGTTAAAAATATGAGTATGCCTCAGATCCATTGACCTTATGTCATTTTCCCCTGAAATCAGTCTCATCCAGTCAACTTCACGGAACAATATGGGAAATGGTCATGGTGCAAACAGGAGTGAGAAATGTTAGGTGTTGGCGAATCAACAAATTTGTGAAGTCCTTTGAGACGACTGCTGTAGTGATTTATCTATTCCCAAATACATTGAACTGAATGAGCCACTGCTAATGAACGTACACACTATATATATGTATACATACACTCAGTGGCTTTCTGTTCTGACAATACACTCTGAACACCACCACAGAACAGCTGTAATTACGCTGAGAATAGATTGCTCACAGGTGCGCTCCACGTAACGGTGAGAGATGTGAGCATTCAGCCGCAATTTACAAAGAATATTTATGCCCTAGGGGGAAATGATGTATGGATACATCCTCTTACATATTCATATCAGTTTGTTACTTTGCTCTCGTTCTTCAGATAAAATTCTAATTTGCCAAAATCTGCAAAGGTTCAAGTTGTTTTGTGTTGGTACTTTTGCAGGCCACTGTTTACAGGAACCAAGATGTTTGGATGTTTAAAATTAGGCTGAAAACTTATCTGTTCAGCTGAGCTTACAACTGACCCTATTTATTGCTTTTATTTTTAAACCCACATTTTAATAAGTTTTATTCCCAATACTCTTATGCTGCTCTGTTTTATTATAAAATTATTGTATATTTCATCTAAAAATCTGTGTTTGTAGAATAAGAGCTAAGATAAGTTAGACTTAATTGATCTCACACTGGCGAAATGTACATGTCACATTTGGCAGGGATAAAATCACTCAGACAGAAGTGTGCAAACATGTTAAAGGTTACAAATATAGTCTGTGCAGGATAGAATTATGTACAAGAAAAAAGTGGCAATAAAAGAGTGACAATAGCAGGTTGTTTTCAGTCCTAGTGCATTAGTGACTTAATATGCACTTTCTGAAGCACTTTGACTTTCCTTTTACAAGAATTTTGCTATACAAAAAAAAGATTGATAGATGGATTGTATTCCCCATTGAACATGTACAGTATTGTTACAGTCAATGAAATAGCATTTTTATGACATAATAATCAAGATTCATATTAAATATAGTTATGTTTGACCTGTTTTTAAGTCAAAAGTCCTGTGAATGAAGTCGTTTTCATCTGCTGCAGAGTGCCTCAGATCCTCTTTTCTTTTCTCTGCCGCTGAATCCTTGAAGAGCACCTCACTCCACTGTGAACAGTTTACACTTTGATCTTGTTTTCTGTAAAAACTCCACAGTGTTGCAGTCTTTGACAAACAGGATTGCTGAATGAGGATGAATAAAAGCAATTCAACACATCCAAAGCAAAGTCCATAAAAATAAATGAAAAACGCAATAGTGGTCTCCTCTGATATAAATGGTCTAACTCCAGTTTTGTCTCCGCAGTTCGAGATGTTGACGGGAACGCTGCCGTTTCAGGGAAAGGACCGGAAAGAGACCATGACCATGATCCTCAAGTAAGACACTGGATCAGGGCTCGAACACTTCCAGCTCCACACAGACAGCAGCAGATCAGATTCTCTTTCCACATTTCCTGTCTGTTGTCACACTCTGAGTCTTATCGAAGCCAAATGCAACATGTTCATTTCTCTAAGTTTAATCTTTGAGTTTCATAGATATTTTTAAAAGTTAAGTGAAAACGCCCGACAGCTCATCCTCATACTTTCATATTTTGATTTCTCCTTTCGAAATATTTGCCCTTTCCAAGATATGCTCTTTCTGCCCTCTCCAGCGGACTCCAGTATTTCGTTTGGCAATATCTCGAGCAGCTGCCTAAACAGGAGACGTCGATCTTTGCCTAATCACTTTATCGAGAACTGGACACTGCCCAGAATCTGGCTACACTGCTCTGCTCCACTCCGTACTTTAGATTATTTTCCACAAATTAAGAAATGTTTTATTCTGTTAATGCTGATAGCTCATTGAAGCCCAATAGGGAAGTGCTCATGGACAAAGTTTTGCTCCAACTTCCTCTGGCTCCTATTGACTTACATTTAAAAAAAAAAACATCTGTGCTCCTGGTCCTTCACGCTGTGGCTGTAAGTTTAGTTGTGAGGACTGGATGTTAAGCAGCTTCTTCCTCCCTCTCCTTTTTGAGTTTGAATAATGTACAATGTTATGATAAGTAACTGTTATTGTAATGATTTCCTTGAAAATACTATTCATTTGATGTTTTATGTACATTGAAAATTAAAAAAAAACACCCAAATCATCTCAATTATAATGGAAGGGAATTGGAAATGTGTTATTTATCTTCTCAAAGTTGGACCTAAATTTAACTGCTCGCTCTCAAAGCACTTTTATCATTAGTTTTCACATGCATGCGTTTCTCTGGAATATTTTAAAACAGACGACCAAAGCGTCAAATAGTGACTCATAAGGTTCTTTCCACACAATCGACAAAAAATTTCCAGTACGAAGACAGCCTTTGGTAATGTTTGTCTGGTAACATTGCTGCTTTAATGATATCGATTCCTACGAACAATCCATCCATCCATCCATTTTCTTCCGCTTCATCCGTTGCCGGGTCGCGGAACAATCCCCTAAAGTTTTATTAAAAACATTGAACGTTTTGTCATCAGCGCTGCGTCTGGAGTGTCTTGAGCTTCTTGAGTTTCTCTGGCGTCTCAGAAAACGCTGATGTCCTTCCTGTGGTTTGATCGGAGCCGCGGTGTCGTGTGGCAGATTTATTAATAAATGAGCCAAACTTTTCTTACCCTTTTTTCTTTTCCTTCAGAGCCAAATTAGGAATGCCACAGTTTCTCAGCTCAGAGGCACAAAGTTTACTACGGAACCTGTTCAAGAGAAACCCGGCCAATCGACTCGGTAAGAAGCAGCGGTAGTAAATGATGATCAGGAAGGATATTAGTGGTTTGAAGTGACCAATATCCATAGAATATTAGCTGTAGGAAAAGGAGTAGTATCAGGAGCAGCAGTAGTATTAGTTACTGTGTGTTAACATTAAACAGACAAGCTCCTCATAGGTAACAATAATAATAATAATATTGTTTTTCTTGATTTTAGTGAAAGGAGCTATATGTTTATGTTAAGATTATCCTCTCAACAAGAGAAAGACATACTCAAGTGCCCACACTTAAATGTGAAAGCCAGATCCCCTCAGACCTGGGAGCTGTGCAGGGCAGGGCCTGGTTAGTGCTGTGATGGGAGACCTCTGGGAACACCAGGTGCCACAGTGGAGCAACTGCGGCTGTAAAGTGCCAAATTGTTGTTGTGTCCTTAGAATGAGCTTGGTGTGTGTGTGTGTGAATGGTTGGTGGTGGTCAGAGGGGCCAATGGCTTCTGTTACTGTGCCCCAGGGCAGCTGTGGCTACAGTAGTACTTGATCACCAACGTATCTGGAGTGAATGAATGTGTTATTATTGGGGAATCTGTCTTTATATTGTCAATTAAACACCTTAAAATGTTATACGAGGCATACATTTCGCACTTCAAAACGATATTAAAGATGTATATTTATATTATATTAAGGAAAAATGCATTCAATAGACTTTACAAAACTGACATGTAATTCATGTTTGGGCTAATACTGCCCCCTGCTGGTGTATTTCTCAATGTTTTATTGTGTTTTAGGAGCTGGTCCCGATGGTGTGGAGGAAATCAAGAGACATCAGTTTTTCAACACAATCGACTGGAATGTGAGTGTGGCTTTTAGGTCAAGAAACATGGACAAAAATGATGCAAGAGTAATTAAAACTCTATTGTTCGAAACAGAGATTACAAATGTGTAATGTCCGTCTGGGGCTGCATGATTTTGGAATAATATCTCCTGTTCATTTCTGGACAAAATTGCAAATGTTGAAAAGTCTTTTTATGTGTTCAGAGTAAAAATAACAACGTTTAGAGACTGTTGGAAAAGCGATTACCTCAGACACAATTCTAACCTATAAATACAACCATTTGGGTTTTTTTATCACTAAATTCTTACCGTGACAGGTAATATAAATTGGGAAATCATTTTTCATATATTTTCTTGATACATTTTCACAATAAACAAAAACGTCGCATTACTAATGAACCTATATTCAGTCTATAAACTGGTGACAACAGCTCTAATCACATAAAAAGTCCTGTGTGTTTCCCCCATGTCTGCTCTCTACTGTTCACATAAACATAAACGGCTGATAGAGCTGTGTGCGGACCCTTTCCTGTGCCCTGTGGGATGCTCTGTAACAATAAAACTAAATATAGTGGCTGCATCTCTAGACAGGCCAGAGTTGAAAGAACTTAAACTAATATTGCAATAGTTTTAATAATCGTATGTCTTATTTTGACTAAACTGTGGCCTTTTGTCTTCATGATGACGATTATATGAGAGTTTATTGTTTTGTTCTGACAGAAATTGTTTAGAAGAGAGATCCCTCCTCCGTTCAAACCAGCAGCCGGACGTCCAGACGACACGTTTTACTTTGACCCAGAGTTCACCGCAAAAACCCCCAGAGGTAACGGCCGCACGTGGTTCAATAAAACACTAACAACAACTCAAGTGAAGTAAACATAGAAGTATAAACTAGCAATAGCAGCTTTGTACAGTCTCACAAACTGTACATTTGTTTATCTGTGTGGTAATTGTCCTATACTTGCACTGGTTCGACGCTAAACTGCACTTGTTGCATTGCTCTGACTTTGTAATGACGATAAAGTTGAATCTAATCTAATCATAGCTGTAGAGTAAATGTATTTTCATTATTTCTCTTTGTTTGGACAGATTCTCCCGGGGTTCCTCCCAGTGCAAACGCTCACCAGCTCTTCAGAGGCTTCAGCTTCGTGGCCATAACCGAGGAGGAGACTCAGCCGGCGCCCAACACCCTCGTACAGGTGCTACTCTCTCTCCTGGACAAACTTGGATGGGAGAGCTAGATCCTGTCAGACCTCTGAAGTTAAGCAGGGCAGGGTCTGGTTAGTACTGTGATGGGAGACCTCTGAGAACACCAGGTGCGATAATGGGGCGGAAACAGCTGTAAAGTGCCAAACTGTTGTTGTGTCCTTAGGCAGGACACTTCACCCACATAAGAATGAGTCTGATGTGTGCGTCAATGGTTGGTGGTACTGTCAATGTGCCCCAAGGCAGCTGTGGCTCTAGTTTATCACCACCGTGTGTGGAGTGAATGAATAATGACATGTGAAGCGTCTTTGAGTGTCCTGAAAGTGCTACAGTATATAAAACCAATCTATTATTATTATTATTATTACTGAGAAAAACAGTTCATTTTGACATATTTTTTTCCAATTCCTTTCCTATCAACAATGGATAAATGTATTGAATTACAAGACACTTTTTTACAGCTGTATGAGTCTCCGATTTAAAAGCGCGGCACATGGTCACTGCACTCCATTGACTTTTCATTCAATCAAATATTGAGCGACAACTAGGGATGTACCGATCCGATATTCAGTATTGGTATCGGGGGCTGATATGGGTATTTTGTAAGGATCAGATATTATCGGATTTGTTAAATATCGGAGAGTTTACATTTACAGAGTTCACACACTGGTTAAGTACTGGCTTTTTGTGGTCATTCAGTTATGTACCTGCTCTTTTCTTTTTGTTTTACTGCATGTTGAGGGCCGCTTTTTGATATTTGTTCCTCTTTGATATTTCTTTTATTTTAAGTAAATTTTAAAGGTGAAATATTCAATACTGATGTGATTCTTACCTATGACCTAACTCAGTAGGTCTGTTAAGCAAAAGCCAAACAATATTTTTGATTACGATATAATAAAAAAAACATTTTAAAGTAATACTGGTTGCAAAAAATGTTATGCTTTGAAAATATTAGAAAAAATTGGATCGGTATCGGATCGGTGTCTGCAAAACAATATTTAAGAATATCGGAATCGGATCGGATTACAAAAAATCTGGATCGGTACATCCCTAGCGAAAACTATTATGCTCAATTGTACCAGTAACACAATACAAGATCCTTGAAGCTTAACAGGGATGTGCTCAAGGACAAAGTTTTGCTGCAACTCTCACTGGGTTAGCTGGCTCCTATTGACTTACATGGAAAAGTAAACTGCTTTAGCTCAGTGACCGTTTTTGTTTCACACTCACCGTTTTGGGCGCCCTCTATGAACCTGGTCCTTATTTTCTTGTGATATTGTCTTTGTAAATCAATATATGAGCCATTAAGATTGACCAATCAGATGCCTTCATTCCCGGAGGAAACTCCAGCTTGTCTTAGCAACCATCACAGCAACACGTCTGTCCCTGTTACGAGGCAAAGCTAACCTCGTCCAAACAAATGCCCATATAAGGAAATTGGCTCCAGCTAGCAAATGTTCCAATCAGCTTCTTACGCATTTAGCAAACACTCTGGTGATGTCACACTCTGTCAGTTCATTCCTGATATACAATAAACTCTCAGCTCCAAAACTCCTGTACGATTCCCTGTTGCCAAAAGGGACTTCAATTGTAGCGATAGCCTCGATCTCTGACGTCATTCATGTGTTTCAGAAGTTGCACAGAAGCACGTCGCACTTCTCCGACCTGTACGACATCAAAGAGGACATCGGAATCGGCTCCTACTCCGTCTGCAAACGCTGCATCCACAAAGGCACCGGCATGGAGTACGCTGTCAAGGTCTGACCCAGAACACACTGTCACACAACATTACACACTACTACACTATAGGGATGGGCAACATGGAGAACAAAATGATATTGACAATATTTATAAATAACCCTAAAAAAACTACATGAAAAAACATGCCTATTTTACAAACAAAATTATTTACTGAACCTAAAAGAGGGAGTCAGTTAAAGTAGGAATGAAAACATTGTCACATTTGTTTTAATTTCCTGTTTTTGAATAAATTATAAATATTGCTTTTTCAGAAGTTCTGTCATATTCTGTCTGCACTCGTTGTGTTGAATGAGACACATGCGAGGGCAGGGGCCGAGGGGCAGGGGCCGAGGGGCAGGGGCCGAGGGGCAGAGTTTCGCTTTCAGCCCGAGCCCGAGCCAGGCCCGAGTTCGGGCCTGGCTCGGGCCTCATTTTGGCGCTCAGTTGTCGGGTTCGTGCCGGGCTCGGGCTTCTTTTTTTAAATATGTTTCTTTTTTATTATTATTATAATTATTTTTAAATGATTTTATACATAATGATATGCATATATATATATAATATATATATATATATATATATATATATATATATTTATATATATATTTATATATATATATTATATATATATATATATATATAATATATATATATATATATATATATATATATATATATTATATATATATATATATATAATATAATATATATATATATATATATATATAATATATATATATATATATATATATATATATATATATATATATATATATATATATATATATATATATATATATATATATATATATATAATATATATAATATATATATATATATATATATATATATATATATATATATATATATATATATATATATATATATATATATATATATATATATATATATATATATATATATTATATATATATATATATATATATATATATATATATATATTATATATATATATATAATATATATTATATATTATATATATATATATATATATATATATATATATATATATATATATATTATATATATATATATATATATATATATATATATATATATATATATATATATATATATATATATATATATATATATATATATATATATTAGGGCTGTCAAACGATTAATTTTTTTTAGTTGATTAATCGCACAGTAATGGTGAGTTAACTCACGATTAATCGCATAGTAATGGTGAGTTAACTCACGATTAATCGCATTTTTAACATTCTATTTCAAATCCACTCCAATTGAAGTTAAATGAGATTTTCAAATGTAATGACACATTGTTATTCATACCAAATGTACTTCAATCTGTTTGACTTGCTCACAACCTTCTACTTTTGGGTACAACCAACAAGAGCTGTTAATGAAAGGGAAAATGTAGGTACCCCAGCTTTAATTTTGCGAGTTTGGTTGCATTTCAGCGTGTCTCCTCCTCTCCTCCGTGTCCGTGTGTCACACAACATCAGAGAATGGCCCCTGTGCGTATATATCATATATATATGCATGTATTATATGACCACGTTACTGCTGTCACCATCACACACGCACGTGTCTGTGGCATTCTGAGTGATATTATTATAAATGGGCGGGTCATTCGGACATGTGATTGACTGCCAGCCTATTTCAGAACAGGTACTCCCATATTGCCAGCCGTTTCTGATGATTTTTACTGAATTTTCAAGACCCACAGAATATTGTGTACTATGACTATCTGAAATCCAAAACCATATTCTGAAAGAATGGACTGTCTACGTTCATCAGCAAAAATAATTTTGTTTCTAGCTTGTTTCGTTCCCCTGTAATCCCCAGTCGAGTAGAGGTAAGTTTTATTGAAATCACCAGAAAGCTGAGAGAAAAGAGGCACATGTTTCCAAACCATTCATAGAGCAATGCTGCCATCTGCTGGCTTGATAAAATATTGCCTCAAGCCTTACATATTTGATACAATAGACATCTGGGAACGTGAAAATAGCGGGAAACGCAATTGACGTGTTAACACGTCAATGGCAGTTAATGCGTTAATTTTTTTTTTTTTAGCGCGTTAATGAAAACGGTAATTAACGTGAATTAACGCGATAATTTTGACAGCCCTAATATATATATATATATATTAATAACAATGTCCTTTGATTGACAACAAGTTATTAAAAAAAGTTAATATATTAATGACACCGTAACCAGCGTGTCCTACAGCAGCAGCGAGCCTTGAACACTTCATCCCCGTGTCTCCTGCTGCTGTGGTCAACAGCGAACAGGAACAATAGTAGAAATGGATCAAGTGGAGACAAAACAAATTCAAAAGTGGAGACTAAACTTGCAATTGGAAGGTGAGTGCGTACAACAAGGAAATCAGATGTGTTGGGTTCTGTCGGGCTCGGGCCTGTTATACAGCGTTCATTGGTCGGGCTTATACGGGCTCGGGCTTAACATTAGCGGGCTCAGGCCGGGTCGGGCTTCATTTTTCAGGCCCGAACGAAACTCTACCGAGGGGCAGGGGCCAAGGGGCAGGGGCGAGCGAGGTGCAGCACAGAGCGAGCCAGTATCTCAATTATGTGAAAAAGCTTTTTGTCAAAGTTTCTTTTGCAATATTATTGCATACAATAATTATTGCCCATCCCTGTCATACACTGTCTCACACACTGTCTCACACTGTCTCACACACTGTCTCACACTGTCTCACACTGTCTCTCACACTGTCTCTCACACTGTCTCTCACACTGTCTCTCACACTGTCTCTCACACTGTCTCACACACTGTCTCACACACTGTCTCACACACTGTCTCACACACTGTCTCACACACTGTCTCACACACTGTCTCACACACTGTCTCACACTGTCTCTCACACTGTCTCACACTGTCTCACACACTGTCTCACACACTGTCTCACACTGTGTCTCACACACTGTCTCACACACTGTCTCACACACTGTCTCACACACTGTCTCACACACTGTCTCACACACTGTCTCACACACTGTCTCACACACTGTCTCACACACTGTCTCACACTGTCTCACACTGTCTCACACTGTCACACACTGTCTCACACTGTCTCACACACTGTCTCACACACTGTCTCACACACTGTCTCACACACTGTCTCACACACTGTCTCACACACTGTCTCACACACACTCTCACACTGTCTCACACTGTCACACACTGTCTCACACTGTCTCACACACTGTCTCACACACTGTCTCACACACTGTCTCACACACTGTCACACACTGTCTCACACTGTCTCACACACTGTCTCACACTGTCTCACACACTGTCTCACACGTCCACACTGTCTCACACTGTCTCACTCCACACTGTCTCACACACTGTCTCACACACTGTCTCACACACTGTCTCACCACACTGTCTCACACACTGTCTCACACACTGTCTCACACACTGTCTCACACACACTGTCTCACACACCGTCTCACACCGTCTCACACACTGTCTCACACGTCACACACTGTCACACACTGTCACACACTGTCACACACTGTCACACACTGTCGCACACTGTCACACACTGTCACACACTGTCACACACTGTCACACACTGTCACACACTGTCACACACTGTCTCACACACTGTCTCACACTGTCACACACTGTCACACACTGTCACACACTGTCTCACACTGTCTCACACTGTCTCACTGTCACACACTGTCACACACTGTCACACACTGTCTCACACACTGTCTCACACTGTCTCACACACTGTCTCACACTGTCTCACACACTGTCTCACACACTGTCTCACACACTGTCTCACACACTGTCTCACACACTGTCTCACACACTGTCTCACACACTGTCTCACACACCGTCTCACACACCGTCTCACACACCGTCTCACACACCGTCTCACACACCGTCTCACACTGTCTCACACTGTCTCACACTGTCTCACACTGTCTCACACTGTCTCACACTGTCACACACTGTCTCACACTGTCACACACTGTCACACACTGTCTCACACACTGTCTCACACACTGTCTCACACACTGTCTCACACACTGTCTCACACTGTCTCACACTGTCTCACACTGTCACACACTGTCACACACTGTCTCTCACTGTCACACACTGTCTCTCACTGTCACACACTGTCTCACACTGTCTCACACTGTCTCACACACTGTCTCACACACTGTCTCACACACACTCTCTCACACACTGTCTCACACACTGTCTCACACACTGTCTCACACACTCACACACTCTCTCACACACTCTCTCACACACTGTCTCACACACTGTCTCACACACTGTCTCTCACACTGTCTCACACTGTCTCACACTGTCTCACACTGTCTCACACTGTCTCACACTGTCACACACTGTCTCTCACTGTCACACACTGTCTCACACTGTCTCACACTGTCTCACACTGTCTCACACACCGTCTCACACACTGTCTCACACACTGTCTCACACACACTCTCTCACACACTGTCTCACACACTGTCTCACACACTGTCTCACACACACTCTCTCACACACTCTCTCACACACTGTCTCACACACTGTCTCACACACACAGATCCAACTAACAGTGTGGTTTGTTTCAGATCATCAACAAGTCCAAACGAGACCCGACGGAGGAGGTGGAGATCCTGCTTCGATACGGACAGCACCCCAACATCATCACGCTCAAAGACGTGAGTCGTTTTGTGAATAGTCTGATAAAGTAGATACATTTACAGAATCTGCTTTTACCTTTTTTTATTATGTTTTTATTTTTTGTAACATAAAAAAATAAATGCCTGAAAAGGAGTGGGAAGATTTGATCCAACCTCATTTTCCATTTCCACATTCGCTTCTCTGCTATTGCAAACTTAAAATTCTATGAAAAATCAAACCATTTCTAGACACGGCCAGCAGATGCATTTAAGAGCACAGGGAAAAGCCATGTTTATTTCAGAAATGTATGTATTTGGACATATATAGGCCACACACTCATGACTCTGGTGAATAGCTGCTGAAATATAAACAGCAAGGCAGGTTTATTTGAATAGCACCGTTCATACACGTCTTTCCGTCTGTCTCAGGTCTACGATGACGGCCGCTCAGTCTTCCTGGTCACGGAGCTGATGAAAGGAGGAGAACTTCTGGACAAAATCCTGAGGCAGAAGTTTTTCTCTGAGCGAGAAGCGAGTGCGGTTCTCTACACCATCACCAGGACGGTGGAATACCTACACGTCCAGGGGGTCAGTATTGGATATTGGATACACCCACACAGTATTGGATATTGATTCATATCTATTAAAGCTGGGGTACCTTACTTTCAAACCAAGTAATCCTTCTGCAGTACTGCCTATCTCTCTAAACAGCTCCTCTTGTTTTCACATACTTTTGTATTTTTAGCCTCTGTCACACCTTTAGATCAGCTTTTTCAGACAGAAAAGTTCAAAAGAGAGGACTGACCTGACTCAGCCAATCAGCTCTGAGCCCAAAGAGTCAAACAGTGACTCACAGGGATCTTTTTTACTGATATGCAAAATATGTTTTACAATACAACAATAATGTCTAATGTTATATCTAATCACAACACATAAGAACTTCTTTCTGTTGAAATTCTGTTTGGTTGTAACTGCCATGGAAATGTGGATACCCAAGCTTCAAATGAGTGATAATCTTGAATTTAAATGTACAAAACCGCAGTAATAAAGTAATATATTCTTAAGCTGGCCTTAACATCTGCCCACGGGACAACGGATGAAAATTAGCTTAATTTATGGGAGGGCCTACTGTAGCTTTAGAACGCTAAAGAATTGTAATTCCAACAAGCAACATGTAAACAAGTTTGTGAGCAGTAGATTACAAACTTGTTTATTTGTTGTGCCAAAACGCCTGAGTAACAAAATATTATCACATGTGTATTGTATGTAGACGTTATAAAGGGCAGTGGTGAAAATGGGGATCAAGGAACAGGTTTTCAGGTGGTCAGCAATATACTTTCACAAGACTCTTTCTGTTGGGAGCAAAGTTAGGTACCCCAGCTTTAAATATGACCTTTGCGAAGCCTTTATCTTCTGTTATCCGTTGTTGTGCGGCAGGTCGTGCACAGAGACCTGAAGCCCAGCAACATCCTGTACGTGGACGAGAGCGGGAACGCCGAGTCCATCAGAATCTGTGACTTTGGTTTTGCCAAACAGCTGCGAGCGGAGAACGGGCTGCTCATGACGCCGTGCTACACCGCCAACTTTGTCGCCCCAGAGGTAGAAAAATAATATTGTTTTATGTTTTATTATGAATAGTATTAAAAGGGTATTTATTGGAATAGGCTTGACGTTTTTGAATTCATAAGCTTCTCATTGTTCCTCATCAAAAACAGACCTGGTGTTGTTTTTAGATACATCCATGCTTATATGTAGCACAAACATACAGTATAACTCTGCCCCTTCTCTCTAAAAACACACACGGACGGACGGACACGCGGACAGACGCACACTGACACACACAGATAGACACAAATACAAAGAGACACACACACACACAGAGGCAAACACACAGAGAGAAACACACACACAGAGAGGCAAACGCACAGAGAGACACACACACACACATGCACAGAGACACACAGACAGACAAACGCACAGAGAGAGGGAGAGAGAGAGACACACACACACACACAGTGAGACAAACGCACAGAGAGAGGGAGAGAGAGAGACACACACACACACACACACACACACAGTGAGACACACACACACAGTGAGACAAACGCACAGTGAGACACACACACACAGACAGACAAACGCACAGAGAGAGGGAGAGAGAGACACACACACACACACACACACACACAGTGAGACACACAGAGAAACAAATGCACAGAGAGACAAACGCACAGAGAAACACACACATTTATATTTGTGAAGTAAAATCAGTGTGATATAAAACTCATCCCCTCAGCTTCTCTATTCTTTCGTCCAATCACAATCTGACCTGAACTCTGGGACCGTTGATTTAACCGCAGTTTAGTTAAAGGAGCAATATGTAATATTTGCATGTCAAGTCATCATTAAATGACCCGAATATTTCAAAAGGCGTTATTAAATCATACTCTTTTCGAATTCATCTTTAACTGATAACAGTAGTTCAGCCGAGATATTTGATTATCAAAATTAGTTTTACGACCCGTAAAAGTTGTTATTGTTTTGATGTTGATGTCCTACCCTCCGCCATTTCGCCAATCAGGAAGTGTCATGTAAGTCCGTGATCGGGTTGCCAGAACTCCGTGCGGCTCATTAATCTCAGTGGTAAAATAACATGTGGCGCAGAACTAAAAAAGGTCTTGTTATGACTCTCAAATCATTAATGACAAAACAAAGACTAAAACGAGGATGGAGCGCTGCTCCCCCGCGACCCCCCACCTCAACAGTCCTTCCCGTCAATGAGCATGTATTTCCTTGATACGGAGTAACGCAGAGACTCGCACCACTACTGAGCTGCTGTCCAGCCCAAAAAAGGAGGCTTGCGTATTTTTACTCACGTAGTGACACAGTGATGGGCTTGGTGGGCTCCCTCCTCAGCAGAAGTGGAGCGCATTTCTTGCGGCTCGCCCTTACTGTTCTCATACCGCGGTAAAGTGGCCCTGCTTTTCGGAGTCAGCGGTAAAGAGGTCCGCACATAAAAAGCGGGCGGCCGCTTTCTGCTGTTACTTTATGCGCTTCATCCCCGCGGCTTCTTTTTCCAAAGTTACTGTCAGTAACAGCATAAAGCAGCCACCCGCTTTTAATGTGCGGACCTCTTTACCACTGACTCCGAAAAGCCGGGCCTCTTTACCACCCTCTTCTACCGCTGCCTTCTCTCCCTCCTTTGCCCTCTCTCCCTCTCTTCGCACAATCAGCCTGACCTCACATGTGACTTTTCTCCCCCTCCGGGTTTTTCTGTTGTGGATATTAACCACGTTTCATTTTAAAGCAGGTATTATTTGTTTGAAGCCTCCAAACACCTTTAGTTTTAGCAAACAACAGCAGGACACGCTTTGTCGCTGCGTGACGTAAGCTGCCTAACTTGATTTTGATTGACGCTGTCAATGACTGGACAAAATTACAAACGTAATTTAAATATTTTATATTCTCCTAACACAATTTAACAAGTAGTCCTTTTGAATCAAATCAAATGCTAAATCAATATTTAAGGGCTATTAATTAGCAAAATGTTTTTGTTTTTTTTTGGTTTTTTTTTGGAAATCATCTTGCGACCCCCCCCCAGGGGTGGGAATCACTGGTCTAGTGGTCTAAGCTGTGCGCTTACGACGCAGGAACCCGGGTTTGATCCCGGGCTATGTCTTTTTGTATTTATTGCATGTTATCACATTCTATGACAGATTGCTCTAAAAACGGTAAAAGATGAAGGTCAAGACATTTTTTTGCAGATTATAGCTTAATTGTAAAAATAATCATTTAAGCCCACATGTACCCCAATTAAAATAATGTTAGTCTCTTTTTGATGTGGGACTTTTACATGTTTGTCTAAAAAATAGGGAATAAATACAATTGAAAGGTGATATCCTCTTGAGCAAACCCTGATGTTGATACGCTGAAGAAATACGTTCCAACATCCATTCTTCCCACTCCTATTTTGGACATCAATTGCTTATTTATTTTGCATAAACTATGTATAATTACATTGCTTTTATTTTGTTTTTGTTTTTTATCTCAAATGTCCAAATAATAATAATAAAAAAACATTAATCAAAACATTCATTCAGCATTAGCACGGCTGTCATGGCAATGTGAATGGAGACGGACAAACAACTGATAAAATAATTCCCTGTGTTTGCTGCTGGATTTGGTGTGAATCTGGCAACCTGAGTCAGGGAGAGTGGGAGAGGACTACAAAATATTGACTGTGACTGCAGTACCACTTTTGGCCAGATTTTTACATATTGCTCCTTTAAATCCCGTTTTCCGAGATCACTTGAAAGCAACATTCGTCTTGTTATAGTATGATGTCATTGCACAAGTATGACATCACACTCTTAAATATATACATTTTTGGGATGTTTCTGAAGTGAAATTACGATCTTAACAATCAACATGTCTGTGTTTGTTGCCGGTGATTTTTGCATTTTTGACCTTTCAAACTTGGTTCACCTTATATTTTCTTGAGAAAGTAAATAGATTCATGATCATTACTATTTGAATGATGATGATTATTATTTTTGAAGTAGTGATTCCATAAACTCTAACGTGTTTTGCTGCAGGTGTTGAAGAAGCAGGGCTACGACGCGGCCTGTGACATCTGGAGCCTGGGAGTGCTGCTCTACACCATGCTCACTGGGTCAGGACTCTTACTAGAACTCATTCTTTATCAATTGTTTCCTGCACTTTTTTAGTTTGTTTTACTTTTACTTTTCAAATACTTCTTTAACTGATAACAGTAGTTCAGACACACTCGTATTTCAAAATTAGTTTTGCAGTCCCAAAATCTTGTTATTGTTTTCATTTCGATGTCTCGCCCTCCACCAATTTTACCAAAAACCGGGCGCCAGAACTCACCGCGTGGAGCTAATCTCACTGGTAAAGTACCATGTGGCCACAGAACTAAAAAAGGTCTTGTTATGATTCTCAAATTATTAACGACAAAACAAGGATTTCTATCTTTGTGAAAAAAGAGTTGGTTATAGATTTGTTGTTGACAAAACTCTTGTCTATTCAGCGGTTATGGTCCCAGCTAGATTCGTCTGCATATCTGGCAACCTGAGTCACCTGAGTGGGAGAGGTTGCAGTAACACTTTTGGCTAGATTTTTACATACTGAATCTGAATCTGAATCTGCTTCTTTAACATTGTTAATATATGGCCTGCTCTGGTGCACTCTGGGAACTTTTGCAGATGTATTCTAATGTGGTTTACCACAAATGGCAAATAACATGAACCTGAAACCACAATCATCAACATTATCTACTGACAACAATCTATTTTCAAAATATTCAAATGTTTTGTTTTTTTTACAGCTGTGAGCCAATAATCAACTTGATAACAAAGACTAATTAGTTTCACATCAAAAGTTTAATTACAAAAAATAATTCAATAAATAGATGAACTTCAAGATTAAAAAAATACATATATATATATTATAAATATATATTCCAGAGTCTGGGTCCAGGACTGAGAAGGACCGGTCACCCCAGTGTTTGGACCTACACACAGGTCCAAACACTAGTCCTAGGTTTTTCCAGGAGGAGCAGAGTTAATGATCTCAAAGATCTGCCTGAGTTCGGACAAGTACAGAGGGGCTAAACTCGTGCATTAATGTTGAACGTTGTGTATTGCTAGGTTTACTCCTTTTGCTAACGGCCCGGAGGACACGCCGGAGGAGATTCTAGCTCGCATCGGCAGCGGAAAGTTCTCTCTGAGCGGAGGATACTGGACCTCGGTGTCTGCAGAGGCCAAGGTACACTCACCCATTTATGCAGTGTTTTGGCGATTGTTAATAATAATTTATCATTGGTTGTGGTAGTAGTCCTGCATATACTATTTCTTTTTGTGATCAAAATCATATTTGAACCTGTTATAAATGCAAATATTGATTGTTTGGTTGCGTGTGTTGCCGTCTTGGTGCAGGGCCTTGTGTCTAAGATGCTCCATGTGGACCCTCACCAGCGCCTGACCGCGGGGCAGGTGCTGCGACACCCCTGGATCACACACAGAGACCAACTCCCCAAATACACACTGAACAGACAGGACGCACCACACCTCGTCAAGGTAACGCACACACAAGTAAAATGTTGTTTACAAAAAAGACCTTATCAAGCCTGTGTGAAAATCAGATGCTCCATAGATGTGCCTAAACAGTATTTATGAGAGCTATTTTATTTACAATTTCTGTTTTGAGTGCGGAGGCAAAGTTATGCGATGACTTTGAAAGGTTCAGTTTCCCCATGTAGACTAGCACCAGGCTGGGATGACCAGTTTGGCACGCTGTATAGATAGCATTTTAGCATTCTCTGTATTCTCCTTCTGTGTAAACATTGCCACTTGCCTTTCTCTCCTGTAGGGGGCGATGGCAGCGACGTACTCTGCCCTGAACAGAAACGTGCCTCCCGTCCTGGAGCCTGTGGGCTGTTCGACTCTGGCCCAACGACGAGGCATCAAGAAACTCACCTCCACCGCCCTGTGAGACCCGCCCCCTGCAACAACACGGCCCCTGATTGGCTCTCCGCAACACTGAAGCCCCACCCCGACCCCCACCACCACAACACTCCATCTGATGGGCCCTGTACAATCCCAAATCCACCAACTCCTCACCAATGCTTTTGATTGGCTCTCATCACTCAAGTCCCTCCTGCTCCACTCCTCCGCAGCCTCTGATTGGCTGTCCTACTGAATCTGCCCCGTCAATTCTATCCCTCTCTCTTTTCTCATAGGCTCTTTTCACAATACGCCGCCGTTTAGTTCCGCGTTGTCTTAAAACAGAGGATTCATATTTACTTTCTACATCTTTCATCTGTATCAGCTCAGTGTTGTCAAAAGAATATACAGAAGATATGGACATAAAGCAGATGCCAAATTACAGGAAATATTTACAATCACAAACTTGTTATATACTTTCTAGTCCAAGCAATCTTAAAGCTGGGGAACTTGATTGTCTAAATTACAAGTTTTTGACCATATTTGACCAGACGTTTTTTCCCCCACTCATCGCTAGAGGTTGTGTGAAGCCAGATCATGTCGTTTATATCCATGTAATTCAGAATGTATAGGAACTGGCGGCTTTTTGGCGAGAAGAATGTGCAGCTTTAGCTCAATAACTCATCCTCTGCTTCCACAAAGGACTCCAAGCTGTCAGAGAGGTTAAAGGGGAAACAGACAATACTGAGAACTGGGGGATGAAGACTTATGATCAGGGTCAAAAGGAGAGTTTCTGCTTTCATTAACAATTCAAAATGAAAAACATGTTTATTTGATTTGGCTTCACACAATTGTCAACAGTGACTGATACAAAGCGATTGCGTTATCTTTCGTAATTGCCAAGATCTTGCCAAAAAAGGTCTGCCTAGGCATGTGGCTGGAGACCATGAGCTTAAATTACAATGTGGACTCGTTGTTAACCAGACGAATTCAAATGCACAAATATCTTCATCGTCCAGCCATAACTCTTGCTGAATGTGATCAAGATAAAAATAAATCCTCTGCTTTATCTGGCAACCGAACACGCCATCCGTGCATTGTGAGAAGAGCATTGGTCAACACAGATCCCGGCTATTTCTCTTCCTTCGCCTCTCCTCTGCAAGACAATCAGCAAAAAAAAACCTATTTATTCCTAAAGGAGAGAACATGTATGCATCGAAAGACATTTTAAAATAGACTCTTGTCATTGTTATTATTATGGGATTGTTCGTGTACTGCTGTCGATCTGCTGTAGGAATGCATTTACTCAACCGCAAGTCGCCTCCGATGTTTGAGAAAAGCAGAGAAAGTGGTAAAGTATTAGCTGTGAGTGAACAAACGGGAAGCAGAGGCTGAAGCTTTGTTAGCCCCTTTATGCTCCTGATGCCAAGTGTTTGTAGCAAATAGCAGTAAGTAATTGTCAAAATGTCTTTACAAGTCAGGAAACCATGTCAAAATGCTACTACCTACCACTATACTACTACTACTACTACTACTACTACTATTAAAATACATTGGTTTGAAAGATAGAATGGCTGATAGATGTAAGATTGTCAAAGAATATTTATAAATGCAATCCAAACATGTTAAACTAGCTTGTAGACTTTTGAAATCATAACGTGTGGTATGGTTTTCTATTCTACAACATAGGAATTTGTTGTACCCCACTATAGGAACAGGGAGTATTAAAGGGGCTAATGTCGGAAAACTCCAGATTGATCCATTGAAGACTGGTTTGATATGAAAGTAAAAGCAATTAGAGAAAATGTGGGCTTTGTTTTGTAATTGTCGTTAGATCTTTGCACGGTTCTTTCACATAAGCGTCATTTCAGCTTAGAATTTCCAGTCTTAAAGCATCTTACTTCTCTCTATGCACAGGTTAAAAAGCACAAAAAGCCTCCGGTCACCACAGATTCACCAAGAGACCAACTATTGTTTTGATCTAATTTCACGTTTCACAATTTGTTTTACCCTTTTAGCTGTGATTAGAAATGATTCCACAGGTGCAGTCCCAGGGCCATATTAGCCATTTCATTCATACTAGTTATGTCAAGATGAATGGGTAAAAAAGAATTGTGTTTTTAATGAAATCACACCGGAATTGTAATAAATGAAAACAAGTCTAGGCAAAATCAACTTATTTTGGCTGTTTCTCAAATGGCTGTTTTTCTGTTTCGTAATCACTTACTTCACCAGTTTAGAATAATAGTAGGTAGATGACAGAATACGAAAGGGCTGTGTAATGTGGTGTAATCTTTGTTATCTTTGACTGTCTTGAATAGTATCGGCCGAGCAGGACAAGCAGGCTCAGGTGAAGTGCAATATTAGATCATTAGATAGATTAGATTCATTCGTGGTCTTTTCTTACGTTTTATAATTTAAAACAAATTATAACAGGACAGTCTAAATAGAAACTATGGACCTACAGAACACAGAAATCATATGTTTTGCAGAGCAGTAGAGGAAAAGGACCATGGAAACCAGAGACTTCCAAACTCTTCATCAACTGATGTAAAACTGGGAAAACGGGTGAATTTTTACTTAATGGTAGCATTTATCCAACAATCATAAGCATTTAAGTCTCCTTTTCTCCGTATAAAGGCATCGCTAATATACATGTAGGTGTATTACAGTCCAAATGTTAATGATATAACTTAGTAGAGCTAGAGGCTTTTGAAATGTTGGTTAAAAAACTGTTCTTTAGTATAATATATTTATCAGGAGGTGACGGCCAAGAAAAAATTGGTTTGGATTTTTCCCCAACTTGAAATGTTTTCCAAGCCCATATTTTCTTATTGTTTCGGTCTATCGATGGTTGCTGTGGTGTTTTTGTTCTGACCGATGGAGCTTCCTGGCTAGAAACAAAATTGTAAATAATTTTCTCAGGTTTTTAGAACAATGCATGCGAGTCCAGACCACGACTCGCAAAACAAGAAGCACAGCAAGCGCCGCTCCGGACCGCTCTAGTCTTTAGTCCACTGTATGTGTTTGAAATGCAGCCCCTTTAAAGAAGCAACAACAACATTCCTTTGATTTCACAAAGTTTTTCTTATCCTAAAGAAATTGTACCAAAATAGAACTTGAAACTATGTATGATTTGTTTCGTTTTTCTTTCTAAAAAAAAGTCTCAAGGAGGAAAAACAATAGCAATCCATGTGCCTACAATCTCCACAATGCATTCAGGCTTCAGTATGAGGCGTAGATACAGAATTGTGCAGAAAATGGCGTTGTCTTGAATGTTTTTCTGATTATTATTGTTTTTTATGAATCTATTTAAAGACAATCAACAGAACGTATTAAAAAAAGTAAAGTAGTCACGCTTCTATGTGAGTATTATTAGCCTGGTCAGTCAATTTGAGTCAAAAACAGACATGGAACAACTTCATATTCTTACCCAATTTAGACCCAAACTAGGATCTGATTGGATGTGGGACAAGTGGGGATGGTTCACCTGCTTTTAATTGCTAATTGGCTGACCTCTGTGTTTTGCTGTCTAAATATATAAATAAAGGGAAATTATTTTATGTTTTAAATGATTATATTAAGTCTGCCTCTAAATGTACAGCTCTGGGAACAGGATGTAAAAGGGTTTATTTGTGTTCAGATGTTTAATGTGACAAAAATGGGAAAAGCTTTCTTCTTCTTTACCTCTTTCCTCTTAGCGTTTGTCCTGCTGCTACTGACCGCCATTTTGTATCCGCCACGACGGTCAGACTTTATAGGAAAATAATAAAATTGATTATCGGACAAAACCTGCGGCTGTGTGTATTTTTTGGGATTGGACAGTAATACTTTTAGAAAATTCGTTTTATTTAGCTGCTTGTACAACAACAACAGACACTGGTTGAGTTCACATTGAACCATTTCACAGTCACCAACATTACATTGCTCTAAATCTAATCTCAATACTGGGGTGGCTGTAAAGTGCCAAACTGTTCTTGTGTCCTTGGGCATGACACTTCACCCATGAGTCTGGTGTGTGTGTGAAAGGTTAGAGGTGGTCTGAGGAGCAGTGTGCCTCAGGGCAGCTGTAGCGACGGTAGTAGTTTTTCACTGTGTGACGTGAATGAATATTTTTATAAATACATGTATTTTTATTTGAACAGGGACAGTGTATAATTAAACATTAACAAGGGAGAGGTTGTACAGGTTATAGCAAAGATACTAATTTCCACCTGTAGTCCCTGGGCAGGCTTATGTTACGATTCTATTGAGAATCTCCAGTTGTGGTGTAGACCAAACATAGTGCCTTCAAATTGTTTTTTTTTAAATTCCAAGCATAAACATTATATTGGAGGATTATATACAGTCTTATGAGTCCAAGTTTTTACAATATGAGCTTCTAATTTCATCAAACAAATGTTGATGTTCACAACAAGACAGGAGTTTTTTAGCAGTAGCTCCACACCTCTGGAACGCTCAGCCATGAGACCTACAGGTGCCACAGGTCAGGAAGACCTGTGGAATTTGCACCACCTGGTTTTTATGCATTTTTATATTTAAAATTGTTTTATACTGATGTTTTGATTTGTTTTTAATCTGCTGTTGCACCTTGAGATGTGTTAAAACATGTAAGGTGTGTTATAAATGCATTATCATTCTTCATGGAATGTAACGCACTTCTACCTCTAGGTGTTTCACTCAAGATAAGTCATCCAAGTGTTTAACCATATCATATACTTTGTATTTGTGAAATAATTTCACATTCTCAACCCTCGTGCTTTCCTCGGGTCAAATTGGCCGACCACAATGATTAGAAAACACCCAAAAAATGTTTAGAGCTGAATAACTGCGGCAGCGGTATATTGTTGTATAATCACTGTCCTTGTGCTAAGCCTGAAATGCCAAGGCAGATATTCTTAACATCGTTTTAGTGGACAAAATAAACACAAGTAATACATAACATTTTATTTCATTGAAAAGGAGTTTCATTTTGGTTTCATTGGTAAAATAATTTGACCTCTTCCTTGATATTTTTTTCGGATCCAAAATGTGTTTGTTTTGGAAATTATTTTGATAAAAATAAATCCTAACCCAAATGATCCGCTTATCGGAATCAGACCGAAAACCGTTGCCATGGTGACAATTTAATAATAATTTGGATAAAATAAAACCCGAAAACTACTAAGCTATAAACCAATAAAACTTGGCAAATATGTGAGCTATATACAGTCTATGATTCGTTTTTGCCTTTATTTGTTGTAAATTCTATTCCAATAAAGCTCTGTGATTTTGAATACTATCTCCTGCACATGCGCAGACCGGTGCATTTGTTGAGCCGTCTTGCTAGCCAGTGCTAACCGCGGAGTGAAACATCTGTAATTTACCCGTTTGTAAACACTAATTTGTTCACTGTTAGTCTTGACTGTCGTGAGGGATTTCCAGCGACCGAGGCGTAAAAGAGAATGCCCAAAAATAAAGGTTAGTCACGCGACGAATTAGTGACATGAATACCGTTTTTAAATGGTCATATGCGCTGTTCATCCCGCCGCACTGTGAAAACGTGACACCGCGCGGCTAAAGCTAGCTAGCGCAGCAACTCATAAATCATACAACAACACAACGATGCAGTAGAAATCCCATGTATTTCATTGGGGCGCTGTTTTTAGACCAACCTCTTCCATTCTAGCATAATCCTGCTTTGTTACGGTGGCATATTGGTAAACATTCTACTAAGCTAACAAGCTGTTAGCTAGCATGTTTTTTAACCGCACCCCGATTGGGCCGTAACATGCGTCAGTTTTCATCTCATCAACGTTTAACTGTTGTCATGAATCATAATGACGTTGTACCCCATCTGAAGTACAGAAAGATACGCTGGAGTCTTGCGATATACTGCGATAAAAGGTTCTCAGCCATTGATGCCAGGCTAGTCCTGAAACAGAGGCTGGTTTCGGTATTTTTTCATGTTGAATATGATTTAAAGACGATGTTTACATGTATAGTGTGTCTAATGTAATGAAACCGTGTCTGTTCACAGGAAAGGGAGGAAAGAATCGTCGACGTGGAAAGAACGAGAATGAGTCTGAGAAGAGAGAGCTGGTGTTCAAGGAGGATGGACAAGGTGAATTCACATTAAAATACATCATAAAATATAGCTTAGTCTTAGTTTTTTGCCTCCCTGTTTTTATATGAATCAATAAAATGATTTTCTCCTGTTCCCCTTTGTTTCAGTCAGCCTAACATACAGTCTACACTCTACAATTAACTATACCTGTAAACATGTTCGTATTAAGAAGCAGGAGTTGCCTTAATCCACAATTTTCTTGTTCAAATCTTTTCAATATCTATGGACAACTCCACGTCTGTATTTCATATTTTAAATTTCTTTGGTTGTTACACAATATATTGTTAATGCAAAGAGTGAGTCATATTGGTCATTTCTATTGAGTAATATCGTCTCAATCTGACAGTTGTGTAGTTCACATGGATTGAGACTTCTATTTGAGGTGATTGTTAAACTGTTGTTGGAATACTGTTGCTACTAAGTAATCCTGTGATAGTGTTGTAACAATTCTTCTGTCAAGGGCAGAACTGACACCACATCCATACATTTGGCACCAGTCCTCGAAGATTGATGTTGCAGATGTTTTTTTCTTTTACGTAGTGGAAATAGATTTAGCTTTTTCTACATGACCTGGAACCAACTAAGTCGTTTTGCCGTGGTGAAGGTGTGCACCGGTTACTTGTAATGAAAGGGCATTTAAATCTTTTCTAGTTTTTTTTCTGTCTGTTTTATTCCCCAAAGATTGGCTTTTTATTATGTTTTAAACTACAGTCTACATGAGCTGGAGTTCATGCTCTGTTTATGCAGAAAGGATTATTTAAAATTCTCAGTTCTTTCTGCCGTTGTCCTATTTTTAATGTTTACTTGACTCAAATACTTTGTCAATAGTTGATGGTTGCACTACAGAAGGACTATTCTTGTACTTGAGTTACAAGAACCATCTGCATGAATTGGGTTTAGAACTTTGACCCGTGTTCTCACTGAGATGGTTCTGACAGGGCAGTGAAGTTTGCCCTATGTTTGCTAAGGTTTCCTCCGGGTGCTCCAGTTTCCATTAACATTAAAAACATGTACGATAATAAATGTTTTTTTCTCAGAGTACGCTCAGGTGATCAAAATGCTGGGGAACGGCCGACTGGAGGCGACGTGTTTTGACGGCACCAAGCGGCTTTGTCACATCAGAGGAAAGCTCCGGAAAAAGGTTTGTCACTGTCCACAAAAAACTCATGACCTTTAAGAATTCAGAATCTTTGCCACAATGTTTTTCTCTGTTATTAAAACATTAGGCTTTTTAAAGTCTCATATGTTAAATGTTGATATTTAAAATCTCCCCTACAGGTTTGGATCAACACGTCAGACATTATTCTTGTGGGACTCAGAGATTACCAGGTGTGTGTGTGTGTGTGTTTACATTGTCATTTTTTTCATTTTAAATGTGTTAGAATTACACATGAATTCATGGCTCAACTTGAATTCCGTTCAAAAAAATTAACAAATTCAGATCTTCTAAATGGGCAAAAGTCTCAGCTTTTGTTTTTATTATTTACTATATTTACTCCCTAGTTTCATTGCTTAGACTTCCCTTCTGAAAACAGTTGAAGTACCAATTGTTGGTGTGGAGAAAAAAAATCAATCTTGGCCCCAAACTTTGAACTTATTTTCTGGTTTTGACAAAGATTCCAGGGTCACATCTATTGTCTTGTTAGTTTTTTTTCAATAAACCGATATTCTTGCCCTACTTTCAGGACAACAAAGCTGACGTCATTCTCAAATACAACGCAGACGAGGCTCGGAGTTTGAAAGCCTACGGAGAGCTGCCAGAGCACGGTGAGTTCATACACAGTGCAAGAAGATCCTTTTGTTCCTGTTGTGTGAAACGTCCAGCAGAGGTCGCCATTCTCTTTTCAAATTAAGCTGTGCGTCCCCATGTACTGTAGTATGAAGCTGCTTCTGACATGTTAAGATTTTTTTATATTTTGATTTCATAGCTTTTGTGAAGGTCCTGTGGGGATGTGGACACTGATTGGTCAACTGTCCTCATGTCACTGATCTATTTCTAAAGAAGTGAACTTATGAGTCCAGTGTGGCCTTAACTTGATTCTTTCACATTTCCACACATAATAGGTTCATCAGAATGGGTTCAAAGTCGCATTATCGCAAAAAACAATAATTCTTTCTCGGACACATTCAAATCACTGTGTAATGAAAAAAGCTCATAGGGGCTGCACTAAGAAAACATTTAAGCGTGTAATGTATTTTAAAAACTGCTTAACAAACTGATTAGAGACTGTTTTTATCGCCCCCGATGACTAGAGTTGTATGCTTTTGCGGAGAGCTCGTGTTGGTAGTGACAGTGAGGATAAACCATGGATGTATTATATGAAATGGGACGTTGCTGCTTGAGCCCAGTCTTCAGGATGTGTTCACAGATTAGTACTGCGACACTAAACGCCTCGTCCTACAGCTTTTACAGATGATGGATCTTTTGGGGATTTCAGTTTTCTTTGTAATCAGGGACTTCTGTTTTCTACAAATCGCTCACATGTTTCTGTCGTCACATTGAGGTGCACCACGTACGCACGTCTCAACTGCACACGTGTAAAGCACTTTGGGTGAACTTGGTCTGTAAAATGCACTATATAAATAAACATTACACTTGATCTCCAGAGACGACTAGAGCTGCTAATGTTTGATGAGGCCAACGCTGAGAGCACTGACGTGAACAGATCGTTGTCGTAGCAACGCGGAGCTCAGGACAAACTTATGACTTCTACCTTTTTATTCCTTTTCAGCTAAAATCAACGAGACCGACACGTTCGGACCTGGAGACGACGATGAGATCCAGTTCGACGACATCGGGGATGACGACGACGACATTGATGACGTGAGTCTTTATTGACGGTTTTTTTTTTTTTGTAGTTTAAACAATAAATAGAAAGGAGCTGCATTTATCAAAAGTACATTTTATAGGTTTAATGTCTCATATCAGACACTTGAGATTGGAGCTCAACTTGACTTTACTCACTGTTTAAAGCTTTACTGTGTTTCGGGCACAGTCTATGAACAGTCTTCTGCAGAGATGGTTCCTTCAGTGTCCCAGGCCAGCAAGAATTAAATTAAAGCTGGGGTACCTAATTTTAAAAACGCTTCTGACCAAGTTCCTGCCTCTCAAAAACAGCTTGGTTCTATCACTAGTCTCCCCTTGCATCTGTTTTTGGGCTTTGTCACATTTTAGATCAGCTTTTTCAGACAGAAAAGTAAAATAGAGAAAACCAGCCTCCCTCAGCCAATCAGCTCAGTGGACTGTTAAAAAATATATACTTTCTAACTCTGCTTTTTCCTCTTCCAGATCTGATCTTCTGCAGCTGAAGATAAATGGCCTGATTTCGGTCAAGTTCTGCACCGGTCGCGTGATTAAGTCGATAATAAATATTTTTACTAAGACCAGCCTCTAAACAGTTTATTACAAGTAGAATATGTTCAACCCTTTTTGCGTTTCACATCAGGAGAAAAGAAAATCGCCACGTGGCGTCTAAGAATCGTAACGCTGGTGTGAATGAAGTCATGTTTTGAAGTCCGCCCGGCGACTGATGATGTCATTGCATACGGGTTTTGTAACGGAGCGTTTCCTTCGTCCAAATATGGCTCTTCCCCCGCGCAAAGGTCTCATCAGTTTGAAACACCACTCTTTTTAAGATGTATTTATATTGATTTCACTTGATGTGGAATAGTAAACAGAATCTCTGGATTCACCAATAAACAAATGAACCATGTGTTTTGGTCTGATGTTTGTGTTTCTAAAATCACTACAGTCTTATAATCCAGTACAGTGTGTTGTGCAGTCTCGAGCATTTCCAGGTAGTGTCCCCAAGATCTGAAATTTGTGCATTGGGAAAAAAGAAAAGAAAACGTGACTTAGCCATTTGACTGTTGTTCATAAACACTGGTGTCAGGACTTATTTTGAGACAGTTTCATTGACCTGAAGACTTGCTTTTGAGGAATTAACTTTTCATTTTATCTACGAGGTTTTGCACTAATTGTTCTGAGAAATGCACTAACAGTGTGAAGAGTGATATGAGAAATGCACCAAAGCGACAGATAAAAACTTATGACAGCCTTTGTCACGACACATTTTATTTTGTAAATGGATCTGTTATGTGATAAACAGAATTAGAGGATGATAGAAGATACAGAAATGGAGTTTGAAAAGGGAGCAAAAGTTTATTTGCCTCTATCCCGTCACAACACACACGCAAGACAGGACCATATATTATTATAATTGGGGATTATAAAATTTAATATATACTAATATTTGGTTTTATTAAAGATTTTTCAATATTCTGTAAACCTGTTACATACAATCACTCTAAGATTTTTGTCATGAGCTGTTTGTCAGGGACTGACCCACACAGAAAAGCATAGGTCTTTTATTTGACCATTTCAGTACAATACACCTCTCCCTTTGAGGTCAGGTTATCGTACACTGCCTGTCACTTTAAATCAACTAAAGTTTAAGTTGTGTTCTATGTTTATAATGGACATTAGACTGGACTCCTGTTAGTGCCCAGAGTCAGAAATAAACATGGGGAGGCTGCATTTCAGATTCATGCCGCTAAAATCTGGAACAATCTTCCTGAAGATGTGAGACAGGCCTCCTCTCTGACAATGTTTAAAACCAGGTTAAAGACAGTTCTGTTTAGCTGTGCTACAACTGAGGGATTTTATATTATAATATCTTTCTTTTTAATGTACTGTGATTATTTATGATTTTAATGCTCTTTTAATTTTAATCTAATTTTGTTCAGCACTTTGAGTTGCCTTGCGTATGAATTGAGCAATACAAATAAATTTGTACGGTCGTGCAAATCTTCTGCACGGTGAATGAAAGCTGTAACAGTTTCCCCCACTTCAACACTTTACATTTGACAGAATGTGTTTGTGTTGAGATCGTTACGCATCAAAGACACCTGGAAGGTTATTCTCAGTTTCTTTGTTTTTTTTCAGACAGAACAGAGTTAGAACAAGCTCTTTAAAGTCAATGTTACATCACGCATGGAAAGACTCATAGACATCGAAATATCATATTGGAGTCATAACACAGATGCACAATCATAGCGAACATACAATCGGGTCGTTGTGACCTACGCAAGGCCAGATCACTTGTAGAGCTATCTATTTCTGATTCATGCTGATCCAGATGCATGGTTTCTCTTGAGGTTTATCACTTTTGTCTTTAAAAAAAAAAAGAAAAAGGCATCTGATCTGTAGATATTAGTTCTTCAGACAATGCTCTATCCTCCACCAAACACATTTCGCATTTTTTCTATTAATTCATTTAAAACCTTGCGCAAAGCAAAGTCTGAATAACTACATCAGACATAATTAGTGTTATTTCCAGGTCACACAACATTATTCATTCCATACAAAGTGGTGGTGAGCTCCTCCTGTAGCCACAGCTGCCCTGGGTCAGGCTGACATAAGCGAGGTTGCACTACCAGACTTCTCAACAGCCACCAGCCATTTACTCACATACCAGGCAGTCAGTGTGGGTGAAGTGTCTTGCCTAAGGACACAACAGTTATGCCTCAACGTCCCCACTGTAACATCCCAGTACAAACCAGGTCCCACTGTGCTTAGCATCTGATATCTAGGTAGCACACTTCTCAGATTAATTTTATTTACCATTTGCAGTAAAACCACATTGGAATACATGCACAAGTCCAAGACAAGTACATACATGACTATACACAAAACTTCTACTTCTACTACTACTACTAGTACTGTTGCATATTTTGAATAAATTATGAATGCGCAGATACATACTTACGTTATTGATTTGATTCCAAGAGAGGAAATTCAATCAGCCGCAGAGAGAGGCAGACATCACTCCGGAGGACACGGTGCAGACAGGAAGTGTTTCAACAGACTCCGACTTCTGGACCTAAGTATCTGCTAACAGTATCCGTTATTATTATACTGTAGATCCATGGGTTTATCGAGCCTGATGTCGACAAATTGAAGGCCTTAAAACATAAAGAGGGCGTACATCCGAGCGATTGTGGTAATAAAGCTGGGGTACTTGATTTTCAAACCACATAAGATGAAACTGTATAATACAATCATTCCTGGCTCTGTCACGTATTGCTTGCCTTTGTTTTGTTTTGGGCAAAAGAAAGCTGTATATATTCTCCAGGGGCATCACGTGAGCTGTATAGGAACAATCCCATTCACAGAGAAACTAATCTGCTAAAAATGGACTGAGGTTGTTTCGTTCTATCGGACCAATATCAGACTATTTTTTGAGGCTACAGGCATCTGGTCATGTACATTCATTCTTTGAAGACACAATGACAACTTGTATTTAAATTTGTTTTATTTATTGCTGTGTTACTACTCCAAGAATTAAGAGATCCTTTATTCGTCCCACATTGGGGAAATGTCAGTGTTGCATCACCAGTAGGACAGTAGGAATGAGGAGCACCCAGCACAAGATAAGAGATTATTAAGTATGGCGACAGTGGGTCAGTTGGTAGAGCATTGGCCTTTGAGCCTGAAGGTCATGGATTCAAGCCCACCATAAGACCTACTTCACGACTCCCGCTGATGACTGCTGTCGTTGTGTCCTTGGGCAAGACACTTAACCCAACTTTGCCTGAAGCCCCCACTGAAAGATCTCAGCTCCTGTGGAGTCACCACCTGCAGGAGGATCAGTGAGGGGCTGGTGCTCTGTGTACTGGGTGCAGCTCTGGGTGGCATCCCTGGCCACCCCCCTGACCCAGAAATGGATTAAGGGGAAGAAAATGGATATTTGTCCCAACACAAAGTGATTTGTAGAAGTAAAATGTTGAACCTATACCACAACATACTGGCTTCATCTCATTAGAAAACATGTCATAAGATAAGATAAGATAGACTTTATTGATCTGATCATGGATAGAATCACTCAAGATTGTGCAAATATAAGAAATGTGCAAACATGTTAAATGCGATCAAGAAACAGTGTCATGTTTTGTATAATTTTAAGGAAGAGCCCCGAGAGTCACTATTTGATTCTTTGGGCTGAGAGCTGATTGGCTGAGTGAGGGTGGGTCTCTCTTTTTCACTTTTCTGTCGGGGAAAAATCTTATCTAAAGATGTGACAAAAAATATTGTCTCGTGATGGAAGAGGCAGGAACTACGGCATGGATTTTAAACACATTTGAAGGTTAGGTACCTCAGCTTTAACTGTAGCAAAATGCTCTTAGTATTATTAATGACGCTGCTGCTGGGATTTTGTGTTGGGATAAAACTGTGAGACCATCCAGACCATTGACTGTAAATGATCCAGACAAAGCATCTCCATGGAGACGACATCACCTGCCCCTGACGCCTCTGCTGCAGACTCGGAAGAGCAGACTTTCTTCTCTTCTCTGGGTTTGAGAAGTGTATACATGTGTTGTTTTGTTATTTTTAGCACGTGTGAAGACTGCATGAAGCTGACCCACATCGCTACGTGCCAAACATGACGTAACTCCGCCGCTGGGGCTCGTGTGCCGCACGTGCGCTCCGTGTCACGAGACAGAGGCGGAGGTAGTGAAGCGGCAAACACCAAATACTAATATTATTATAACAGTAAAATAACAGACAATCAGCTCTCATTCCACAGTGTTCATTAGTGACGCACTGGGCTCTTTCTTACAAGTGCGCAAAACAAAACGGATTTGTTCAAACGTTAATTTTTCTCTCTTTCTGTTGGGACAAACAAAATGTATTTTATAAACAAAATAAATGAGTTCCAGCTACATTCGCGACAGCAACATCCACATTTCCCATGTTATATCTGAGGAGAAGCTAGTCCGCGCAGCCCAAGTTCAATTAAATACATTTCAATTAAAATAGTAATTTATTTCGATCATGACTTTGATATGAATCCCAATTTTAAATCATACTGAGGAACATTCCAAACAACGCAATGATATATTCGATTAACCGAAGCAGAGAGCACGTTTTTGTACAAGTGTTATTTTTACTTTTGAATCTGTCAGTTCTGTTTAAAAATAGAAGATTAATCTGTGAGGCGCGTTCACGGACCCCTCCTCTCTCCTTTCTTCTATCTTATCTCTCTCTCCCTTTCTCTCTCTCTCTCTCTCTCTCTCTCTCTCTCCCTTTCTCTCTAGCTCTCTCTCTCCCCCCCCTCTCTCCTCTCTCTCTCTCCCCCTCTCTCTCTCTCTCTCTCTCTCTCTCTCTCTCTCTCTCCCTTTCTCTCTCTCTCTCTCTCTCTCTCTCTCTATCTCCCCCCCTATCTCTCTCTCTCTCTCTCTACTCTTTCCTCTCCCACGTACAGCATCATTCCTCACTCGTCACTAAACGGCAGTGACTGAACCCTGACTACATCCTCTTGTAATATTTTGTTGATTTTTTGAGACGGTTTCTGGACTTTTAGGATGACCAAAGTGTCTCCTGGCCACGCGCAGATGGCAGGTAAGATTATGAGAAAATGCTGAATTTTTAATGGTAATTTCTTTAGCAGCGGTACCACGTGATCATCGATTTTTCCTAGCAATTATTCAACAATTTTAAATATTTTGCCCATACAATTTTGATCATATATCGAGTCACTACTGTCCAATTATGAATGTTTGATGGTATTTTTATTTTTTATTTTTTTACTTGCGCTGATATATTGGGTTGGACAGCAATGATGAGGTAATGCATTGGTTAACAGTTAGTACAGGATCTTTTCTCATAAGATTTCTTACTTTGGCTCAATAAAAATAGCCTACACCTGCCTCAGAATTCAACCTACTTTTCTGGTTATTTAGAGCATTTGTGCTGGTGGTAGGATTGGGAGTCCATCTAGTCTATAATAAAGTATTTCTGTACAAAGCAAACCCCTAGATTATAAAGGCGGTCAATATGTGTCAGAAAGTATTTGATGTATGCCTTTAATAAGTTTTCAGTAGAAGACCGTGATGATCCTTAATACAAATAGATATTTAAAACACTACTCAGTGATTTTAAAATAGCTGTTTGAACTCATGATGAAGGAGTGTTGAAAGGATCCACATGTCTTTTTATAGAGATGGACTGAACTAGAGAAAATGGGGACAACATCCAACAATATCCATGAAGAATTTTACAAAAAAACTTGTCTTTTGTTGCGGTTTGAAATGGAGTGACTACAAAAGGTGTTTATTTGCCTGGTTTGATAGATCACAATATAATATTTCCCAATAGGTTTGTGTTATTAGTTTAGAAATGAGTAGAAACACTAACTAATATTCCTCCACTCCAAAATTATTTTATTTTGATACATTTCCACCTCTATATGAAGATTTTAGGCAGAATCACATCATTATCTGTTCTAAAATCTCCTTTTATTTTCGTAAAAAGTATCGAGTATAAGCCTTATCAATGTGTGAACCAGCTGCAGGGATCGTTACAAAATGTTTAGCTTTATTATTAGTATTAAAATTCCAAACGCTGTGGTTGGTGTTTGAGACGATACAGACGATATGATCAAAGCCCATGATTCAGCGGATAAGTCGTTCTGATGTCACCAGGAGAGGGAGGATCTAAGCACGGCACAAGTCTCTGGGGACTGGCGTGTTTTTGCATCTATTTAAGCATCCACGTTTCAGTCGCTGTTTGTCTGCGAGGTGTTGTCAAGTGAGGCGACAGCTGAGGCTTCTGACAACGGCAAGTCATTGATCTGTTATTGGAAAAGTCGTCAATATCCAATGTGGGATTAACAGACTTCTTATAATTTCTTTTACATTCAAGTCAATTTTGGTATAGCCCTAAGTCACATAGTTATCTCGGAGGATTCAACAAAACCGTTGAAATCTCCAACACATATCAGAGGATAAAAAAATAAAAAAACAGAAAACACATTGGTATTGGTCCATAAGGGCAGATGACCAATGTCCATAAATGTTGTAGAATGTAGAGTGTCCTGGATTTAACCACAGTCCTTATAGTTAGACCCACTGACTGTCCAACAGACCCTCCTGGATCTGCAAGAAAAAAACTTTAAAACCCAGTGGGCGAAAAATGAGAAACTTCTGGGAGATCCACATTGAGAGAGGGTTCTGCTTCTACAGACGGACGAGCTCTAGATCCAGGACCAAAGCTACAGCACGAGGACCAAGGCCACACGGTGCAGACAGCTCCCAGGCGACAAGGGGGTGTAGCCATGAGTCGGGCCGGGGCAGTATCGAAATGAGCCTTGGTGATATACCTAAACAGTGTGTAAAGAGTAAGCAAACCTCATCTACAAAGATATAAACTTATTTGGTGTCAGAAATGATTTGATGGGGTAGAGCCGCTGCTCCTCCTCGATCGCTTCAAAAACCTGTGTTCTTGTGAATGTAAATTTTTGTTTTGTCTTTTCTTTGGTTCTCTCATCGGAAACAAATAGAGCGTGGCTATTTTCCCATTTCAACTAATGTTTTTTTTTTTCTGAAGGGTGGTTACAATGATCGATTTCTAATGTGGAAAATCACTGGAGAGTTGCATAAGAATCAGACAGAGGCAGCTTATCCATTCATCCAGGCACACTCCAGGTCCCCGAGGGAAACTCGAGGGAATCCCGAGGTGATTCCAGGCCAGCTCAAGGACAAAAGGCTACAGTCGGGGTTTTTAAAACTGATTTATAATGCACATACAGAAAGAACTAAACCACTATTTTGTTTTGATAAACCACACGCGCATTAGTCTCTCCAGTGTAATCAAGATAAAAAGATCCTTTCCTCGTCCCAAAGTGAGGAAATGTCAGTGTTGCATCATAACAAATAGAAGAAATAATATTTCAAACTTATATTTTTCATATACAGCATAACAAAACAAAATGCAGACATTTGATTTTAAAAATACAGTTTGAAAAGGGGTTTGTTGAAGCAAATGCTTATTGGGCTCCAACCCCCGTCGTTCACACAATACAAACGCACGCACGCACGCACGCACGCACGCACACACGCACACACACACACACACACACACACACACACACACACACACACACACACACACACACACACACATACACGTTTTTGTTACCTGGTGGGTCCCTTTGACAGGGCCGTTCAGAATGGGACCCATAGACATAATCTTTTTTTACCAAGACTTTAAGTAATACAAAACAGTCAATAGAAACCAAACAACTATTTTAAAGGAATTTTATTTTAGATTTTGTTTTCGAATTGCAGTGATTCTATTTTTGACATAGAATTTAATGCCACTCCATGTCCGATGTCTAAGGTCATCTGGTGAGGCATTAATGCAGGCCAGGCAGTGAGACTTCCCAGGGACCTTTCCAGTCTGTATGAAAGGTGTCATGGTCTTCTCCACAGCCTTCACCTCAGATGCAGACCATGGCTTTCTTACACGTTCTAGGGAGAGAAATAAAAATATATTAGCAATATACACTCCCAGGGTTAGGACCAAGCAGCCTGGCTGTAATCCCCCACCTGGTACACTTACCAGAAGGGGCACTGCCACTACCATGGGGTGCATCTGGATGAATGGTTGAAGGTTCTCCGCTTGAAGTTTCTTTTAGCCCGTCCGTTTGTGAGAGGATCTCTACTGCTCTCCCTGTCGCACAGAAAATAAAAATACAAGTGGCCTTTAGGGGAAAAAAATCATACATATTTTAATAATATCAAGAATTACCTTCAGGCTCAATTTGTATCTGGTCGAGGCTCTTTCCTTCGAATTCCGTCACTCTTCCCTGCTCCATGGCCATCAACACTTTGCTGATTTTGGCCAGCTCCAGTGTCCCCTCTGGTAGTCTGTAATATTGCCTGTGGATGCGAATGTCATGGCCGAGGAAGTTGGCAAGTATGTCCATCTCATTCTCTTTCATATTGAGAACTGTAGACATAGTAGCTATGTGCTTTCTAAGTTTGGTTGAGGATAGCATCTCTGGATGCACCGCACCACATTCTTTGGCTACCTGGCGTAGGGAGTCTGATCCCCTGATGTGGGTGTCTGCGCCCGGGCGGGAAAAGAAGTATGGGTTATGGTCAGAGATGGAACAGGCCCTTCTGTTCTCCACCAGCACCTCCATCGAAGCAATCATTTCAGGAGTCAAAAGAACCGGCACTTTCCGACTTCTTTTCCCTTTAATTTCAATGCGTTGAAAATGCTGACACAGCTTTTTCTCAAGTTGGGACAGTCCCAGAGCAATGTCAGAATGGATCCCAGTCTTACTTCTTAAGGTAAAGGCTGTCAGTGGCATCTTTGAAACCTCACCTTCCCTTCTTCGATTGAAAATGATGACCTCACAAAGAGTCAAAACTGCCAGTTTAGACCAATGCTTAGACGTTGGCTCACTTATTAGGGTTTGCACATATTCAGGTCGACATACCTCAATATGTGCATGCATGGCTCTAACGTCCTCAGTCAGAGGGAGCAGGTCCGGAGTGTTCCACTTGGCTTGCCGGAGGGTCTGTAGGGCAGCAGAAGAAACACAGACGTCCCACCTCTTCTCAAAAAGCAGCCGGCTTCGTTGGAGGTTTTTAATAAATAGTTCATCAACACAATGCTCCATTTTTGAGTCACATTCAAGAATATCTGCTAGCTTTCTGAGGCTATGGCCGAGTTTGAGGGCCAAGGATGGAGTCTTGTATTGATTTGTTTCCTCATCATATCCAGCCACAGACCTGACTGCATCAATCACATGGTTAAAGTTGGAAGGAATAAAGAAATCCTTAATTGTTTTCAGTTTCCCTGCGGTTTTTGCTTCGTTAATTAACCTACCGACTTCTCTCATTTTCTGCCTAATGTAATCATGCTTAGTCTTATCATGCCCGTGTTTTAAGTACAGGTGCTCTCCGAGTCTCAGAATCCCCTTTTCTGCTTTGACAACACCCGTGACCTCATCCTGATGCATTGCCGAAATTAAAGACCACAGCTTTTTGCTGATGCCCTCCGGTACAGGCTGGGCTAGGGAGCAGAGGGACTGGACCCTACTTCTACCTGGTTTAGCCTGGGCATCTTTCTGTGAAAGCCGGCACCTGGCCACATGCCTCCACAGCGACTTTCGCTTAAGCAATGCCCCACAGTCTATACAGTGCAAAAACTCACTGGATTTAACTGGGGAATTTGGCTGTTTAGCTGGGACTAAAGTTCCAATGCCGGCCTTTAAAACCTCAAAATTGTGCTCACGGTTTCCACTATTCCTGATCAAATCAAACTGAAGTTTACGTGCTTTAGATTTCACAGGTAGAGCCAATGCTCTGGCTACGTCACTTTCATTTCCATGTTTTCTAGTCAAATGACGGGACATTTTGTGGCAGGACATTGAACAGTAGAGGCAGAAGTGTCTCTTGCTGTAAACTCGCCCCCCATTTTTCTTCTTTTGCAGCTGCATGATAACAATCTTATTTGCCTTTGGTTCGTCACTTTCCGAGTCTTGAAGAAAAGTGTTTTTGATTTTTCTTTTTCCATACTTTTTTACAGGTTTCTTCTTGACAGTTAAATCGTCAGAATCTGAGTCGACTTCATCAATTAGGGACTCTTGACTAAGCTGCACAAACAACAAATAATTTGTAATCATTCTATATAACAATTTGAAGTCATGACTTGTAGTCAGCACTTACCAGTGGTTTGTAAGCGTGCGCTTCAGTGTGCTCCTCCATGATTTCTTGCAGCCTAATGAACCACACACTTGCACCTTTTTCTAGCCTGACACCTGATTTCCTCTGTTGTGCTGCTCCATGATTGGCTCCAGCCTGCTGGACTGAAATTGCCCCAGTGTGCCCCTCCTTGATATCCCGCAACCCACCACCAGGGTTCCGACACATAACACACTTTTTTCAGGAAAGTAAACCTCCAGGGGTCCTTTCCATATTTTTACAGAGACTGCATAAGGACCGTTAGAAAAGCATTACCCATTGATTATTAAGCTTGGACCAGTGGGGTCCGGTGTTCGGGCCCCACCACGTAAAACCAGTCCCCATGACGTGAGTGGAATCTCAGGTTATGGAACCCACCAGGAGTTGAAAACAAGTGCACACACACACACACACACACACACACATTTCTATCTTTAGCTTAGTAAATTATAAAAAAGTATACACTATTTAAGTATAAACCAATATACTAAAGTACAAAAATATATACTTGTTTGTATACATCTTAGACTGAGAGGTATATTTAGAGCTCTGACTGCAGACGCTGCTCCCTCTTCATCACAGTCTGCTACAGCGACTGCATCACTGCTCACGACGCACTGATCCGACTCTCATTCTCAGTAAACCTCTGAGTTGAACTTCAAGGACTTCAAGTAGAAGAGACCAGTACTGCAGGGGCTCAGTCAGGTTAAAGCTCGGGAACCTAAATTCCAAACCACTAACAATGGAACTATGTAATACAATCCTGGCTCTAAAACAGTTTGCTACTATCACTAGTTTTCACATGCATGTATTTGTAGCGGCTTTAATATCTTTAGACCAGCTTTTTCAATCAGTGATAGCCAAATTGCGACTCTTTCTCATAAGTAAAATAGAAGATAACATTTTTTTTTTCATTAGAAGAAAACAGCGTGATGTGGTGTGAACATTTTACTTGTACAAGATTCTTTTAATTGGTACAAACAACATGAAACTTTATTTATTAAAAAGTTAGATACCCCAGCTTTAATATCTGTTTCAACATAACTATAAGGCCTATCCACGTCCTCCTCAGTCCGACCCATGTTTACATTGACTCTAGCTAATGCTCCATGTCATTATTGAACCTCGAGCTCATAAAATATCCTTCCTCCAGCCCTCGGCCGCCTTAAAACAATAGCCACTCGCAGACACGGGGTCACGCAGGGAAAGCATGTGGACATCATAAAGCGTTAGAGTGAAGTCACGTTTGCAGCCAGTTGCCTCCTGGACGTTGTAAATTCATTTGAGTCACAATCTGTTTTTCTCTTTCCAGCTGCTTTATCGCCTTCTTCTGCTCCACTCCTCATCTCCGCACATCACCGCTCTCCGTCGCGATCGCCCACCAAGAACGACAATATAACAGGTAAATAAATGATCAAAATATAAGGCAAAATCAGGACAATCTTGTATCTCTTCTATCACACTAACAGATTTTGCACATATCTCCAAAAAGCTCTTTTCATTGAATTTCTTTATGTTTTTACATGTTTTTTTCACAAATCTCTCAATATGAACCAAAATTGAATGAGAAAACTTGTTATTTTATTAGAATTAGAAGGAAACTATTCAGAAATGAGACGGCTCAAGCATCAGAGTGAGTGAGCTGCAATGGGAGTGACTCGGTACATAATGGTTTATTAACGCTACTTTTGTAAAAACTATTAAATGAATTGATGTTGAGAGATTTTTCCAGTGCAACTTCATTAAAGTTCTGGTACCTAACTTTTTCCATAAATCATATATTTAGTTTGTAGTTTGTGAGTCACTAGTTGACACTTCAGGCTTAGACCTGAGTGAATGTGGTCTTCTCTCATGGATTTTCTATCTTAAAAAAAAATAGTTGCGACAGAGGCCAAAAAACATGCATGTGATGAACTAGTGAAAAGTTTTAAGAGCAAGGACCTAGTGACATGGATTTGATCACATATTTCTATTGTTTGGGATGTGAAAGTTAAGTTAATACAGTTTAGTCTGCTTATGTCTGCACCTTAGTTCAACCTGGAATCAATTGTTAATTTAGGTATAACCAAGTAGAGATTTAATTCAATTCCATTTATTTTTGTATAGCCCTAAAACAACAGCAGTTATTGTGGAGGACTTTACAAAGTTGTCGATTTTCCAACACAGATTAGAGAATCACACAGTTCAAACACAGGAAATGCACTCATAAAAAAACTGTTAGGTTTGTACAGGTCTGTCCAAACAGGCTGTAAAACAGCTGCAGTACATTCAAAATGCAGCAGCTCGAGTCCTGACTAGAACCAGGAAGTACGACCACATTAGTCCGGTCCTCAGGTCCCTGCACTGGCTTCCTGTGGCTCAGAGAATAGACTTTAAAACAGCTCTGCTTGTGTACAAGTCTCTCCATGGCCTCGCACCAAAATATATTAGTGACATGTTAGTCCCATATGAACCAGCCCGGACTCGGAGGAGCACAGGGACTGGACTCCTGCTGGGACTCTGAGGAGCACAGGGACTGGACTCCTGTTAGTGCCCAGAGTCAGAACTAAACATGGGGAGGCTGCTTTTCAGATTCATGCTGCTAAAATCTGGAACATTCTTCCTGAAGATGTGAGACAGGCCTCCTCTCTGACAATGTTTAAAACCAGGTTAAAAACAGTGCTGTTTAGCTGTGCATACAACTGAGGGATTTTATGTTTTTATCTTTCTTTTTAATGTTCTGTGATTATTTATGATTTTAATGCTATCTTGTTCAGCACTTTGAGTTGCCTTGTGTATGAATTGTGCTATACAAATAAACTTGCCATGCCTTGCCTCCTGTTAGTGCCCAGAGTCAGAACTAAACATGGGGAGGCTGCTTCTCAGATTCATGCTGCTAAAATCTGGAACAATCTTCCTGAAGATGTGAGACAGGCCTCCTCTCTGACAATGTTTAAAACCAGGTCAAAGACAGTTCTGTTTAGCTGTGCATACAACTGAGGGATTTTATATCTTTATCTTTCTTTTTAATGTTCTGTGATTATTTATGATTTTAAAGCTTTCTTGTTTTGTTCAGCACTTTGAGTTGCCTTGTGTATGAATTGTGCTATACAAATAAACTTGCCTTGCCTAGGTTTAGCTATAGGACCCCAAAGCAGAGACTGATACAGACACAAGTTTAAAGAGTTTATTCTCAACAATACTGGAGGCAGGCAGTGGTGGCAGGGAACAGGCCGACTGGAACTCAGGCTCTGGCGATATCGAGCACGATGGAATAATCTCACTCCATGACTCAGCACCATGGGAAGTCAGCCACGCCCCTGCCACACACTGCTCTGCTGCAACAGAAAACTCAGGGGGGAGGGGAACAGATCAAAAACTAAAATGATAACAAAAACACATAGAGTGATTGGTCCAGAGAGCAAGGTCCATGAATGTTGTTCCCTGGATAATCACTACTGCTCTCAGACCCTCCTACAAATGCAATAAAAACTCTAAAATCTCTATAATGTAATGTGTAAGATTGACCAGTAGAGGGCAACCTTCATCTGTCTGTTTCCACTCTAGCGCCAACAATCATGATATGTCCCCTTTAAGATGGACATTGGTACATATTTATATACGTATTCATATTTTTCCAGGTTTGTCGGACGTGTTGCGGGATAAGGAGCGTCGTGTGCAGCAGCAGTTGGAGCGGTGTGCAGAGCAGCGAGGGAGGAAGATGGAGGAGCAGCGGAGGAGAGACGAGAGAAGGAGGAGCGCAGCAGAGGAGAGGAGGAGGCAGCAGCAGGAGGCGGACAAGGTCAGAGCTCTCTCCTCATCACCTCCTTCAGTATCACATGGTACTGACCCAAACTCAGTCACAGATAATGCAGTTCAAAGTAGTAGATTGTTCGAGTGTGGATTTTTCAGTATGATTTAAAAAAGCTAAGCTAAGGTAACTAATCTATGTCATTTTCACATACTCGGAATTGTCGATTTGCCAACAGCAAGCTCGAAAATCATACAATTATGACACAACTGGAGCACATTGTCATTGGTCCATAGAAAAAAACAATAATAAGTAATAGTCCTACTACTACTGCTGCTACTACTACTACTACTACACATATTTAACTAAATTAACTATGGATTTAAATTACAACATTATTTACTAAAGCCTGGTTCACACGAGACGATTCTAACATTGTCGGCCGATTTTCCTAACCTGAGCGACCCCACTCACGGAGATAACAAATCAAGGGTCTAACCACTTTGGTCGTACAGTGTGTGGTGCGCAGCTGCACGGCAAAATCACGCAAACCACACACATTTCCCCCCCGAGCATTCCCAGGTCAGATGGAAATCTCACAAAATCTCTTGAGATCAAGCGTGACTTCAGAGTAAACAATCATGGAGGATGAAGAGGATGCAGTGGCGATAGTTTGTTTGTTTTTAACAGAGAAAAAGTGTTATCAAAGGAAAAGGCCATGGTCAAAGAAATGGAGACAACACGTGCATGGACTATATTATATACTGTATTTATGTGCCATGCCACCGACTGTCCCGAAGTCCTTCTGAGTGACGAGTGCAGTCTTAACACACCACACATGGCAGGAAAATCTTAATTTTTTTACGAAAATTGGAGTGTGCTTAAGATTGTCGTTAGGGGTAAATCAGGTCTTAAATCGGCCTAATTTCTTGCCGTGTGAACCAGGCTTAAGTATAAGCAAAGGAAGGTTTCTCACCCATCATCTGTACTTCTGCAAGTTTTCCCGACGTTTCGTCCTCAATCCAAAGGACTTCTTCAGGGAATGAATTCTCGGACCGCGCGTTGGAGATTTATAACCTATGGGTGTGGTTAGCCACACCCTAATCCTGATACTAACTCATAAACAATCTAAGGTCTGCTTGATGTAGAAGGGAGCAGGTCTAGCGACCCTGCTGAGGCTAACGACCCTAACTCCTTAGCATGTCACAGACCTTGTCCCAAGTTAGGGCGTTGTTTTTAGGATGTCGTCATAGATGCGAGGCAAAACAAATCTTAACCCTCCTCCTCTGTTAAGAGAAGGTTTTTGTTTCCTCACAAAAATGGCTTCTTTCACCCCTCTCTCAAACCAATTCTTCTCCCGAGCCAGAATTTTAACCTCTGTGTCATCCACCGTGTGGTTGGAGGCCTTGAGGTGGAGATGAACAGCCGACTGTGGCCCACTAGAGTTTTCTCTACGATGTTGGTAAAGTTGTTTCTGTAGAGTTTGTTTGGTTTCTCCAATATAGTGGTCAGTGCACTCCTCTTCACTACATTTAATTGAATACACCACATTGCTCTGTTTGTGTCTGGGTGTTTTGTCTTTGGGATGCACTAATTTCTGTCTTAACGTGTTGAAAGGTTTGAAATACACAGGGATTTTGTGTTGCCTAAAGATTCTTTGTAGCTTCTTTGAAACTCCCGCCACATACGGTAAGGACACGCCTCTCCTCCTACTTTCTTCTGTCTGTTGGACTGTGTCTCTGGCCTTTCTCGTCCTTTGGGCTTTAGTGAAAGACCACTTGGGGTAGCCACATCTGGAAAGTGCTCTCTGAACATGTTTGGTTTCTCTGTTCTTTCCCTCCGAGCTTGTGGGGACCTGGTGGGCTCGGTGTTGAAGCGTTCTAATGACCCCGAGTTTGTGTTGTAGCGGATGATTTGAATCAAAGGCCAAGTACTGGTCAGTGTGAGTGGTGAGTGGCTAACCACACCCATTGGTTATAAATCTCCAACGCGCGGCCTGAGAATTCATTCCCTGAAGAAGTCCTTTGGATTGAGGACGAAACATCGGGAAAACTTGCTAAGAAGTACAGATGATGGGTGAGAAACCTTCCTTTGCTTTGACTAATCCCTGTACGACTGAGGGCTTACACAAAACAAATCAGGCTTAAGTATCATTTTAGACCATAGATATCACTAAAACAAACATAGCATAGACTTTACTTTATTCAAATATGGTTAAAATTCTCTCAAAGGAAGAGAAAACATTTTTGAAATTCATAATAAAAAATATCCACATGTTTTCCCAGATCAATATTTGACAGATTCAGTGATTAAACTATAGTGAATACTGTATGTGCTGACAAAGAACATGTGGAACTTTGTGAATTATAATATTTGTGGATTAGCCCAGGGATTGCAGAGAAAATAGCTCTAATCTTAAACAAGAAGTCTGAGGTTTTACCATAATTACAAGAAAAGATTTAGTAACCTCCACCACAATGGGAAACTATAGGCTCTTTGGAATATTGTGATGTCACATGAACACAGCCTGTTTCCCTCACATTTTAAATTCAGTGCATTTGATCCAATTCTTCAAGATGCTTTCTTTGGGGCATGAATCTAATATCTGCGTGTGTTCATGTAGAAATCCCACTTGTTTATCCTCTCATTTCACAACAATCAATAATTCATATTTTCAGCACAAAGGGTTAAGCAGCTGCGTGTGTGCGATGGGATCTTATTGATTCTGTATTGGGTTTGCTTTGCCCCCTCCCACTGCGGCTCATGTGCATAATTCAATCAATCGTCTGGAGGGGGATGACATCAGTGGCCCGTGTGGCGTTTACTGGAAACAGGAAAAAGGGGCGTCGCTCTGTGTGAGAGCTGTGTGGAGACCAGCTCATCATTCACAGAGTACAACTGTAAAACACATTTATTTATTTATTTAAGGATAGCCCCATTGATCCCAGTTTACATGAGGATCGATTCAACCCCTGCCTTCAGTCATTAGTCATTTTATGTAGATGGTAATGTTCTTTAAAGGACATGTGTTTAAGCAATTTGTCTTTTTTAAGGCGTCAATAACAGATTTTAAGTTGTTTTTAGATCCACGCTAATGTCAAGTAAAGTAGCAGAAAGAAGTAATCTCATAGCCTGCTCCTTCATTACTCTACTGTAACCTTTTTTATGAATGTGCAAGGCAAGTTTTTTTGTATAGCACAGTGCATACTCAAGGCAACTCAAAATGTATAAATAGATAGAAACAGTCACACAAGGCATTAACATTAAATAATCACAGTTCATAAAGAAGATTGAATATACAATCCCCAGTTCATGCACAGCTAAACAGAACTGTTTTTATCCTGGATTTGAACATTTGAGAAGAAGCCTTTCTCAAATTTTCAGGGAGACTGTTCCAGATTTTAGCTGCATAAATCTGAAACGCGACCTTTCCATGTTTAGTCCTGACTCTGGCACCAGTAGGAGACCAGTCCCTGTGCTCCCCAAATACTACATAAATAGTTCATTTGCAAAAACACAAACAAATTTTAAGTTTAAAATCAAGAAATTGATCTGGCTTGAAATTCTGCGTAAATATCAATTTCTTCTGCTAATTTGACTTGTGCCATTTTCCCATAGAAATTCTTTTAAATTAGAAAAAAAAATATTGTCAACTAATGCAGTAAGCGGTTGACTAAGACTAAATGCTTAAAGTCAGACAGCCCTTGTGTTGATCAGTCGCTGCGATCAGGTTGAGTGTTGAAGGAGAGAGAGGAGCAAAAGGGAGGGACGATCGGCGGGGTGGAGAGAGAGAGTCACTCAGGGGGCGAGCGAAGCATTCTGCCGTCGCGGTGACTGCACCCGGACGCGGTTACCATGGCGCAGCATCTTCCCTCCCTCCCCAACGACTTGATAATCTCCTCCATCTCCGCATCGTCCCCCGGTCTGAGGCGCCGCAGTGACGGATCTGTAAGGGAGTGTCTGTTCTTCCCCGTGTCCGAACGCAACGAGCAGGAGCGTCTGGAGGCGCTGGTGAGACGCAGAGGAGGCAAAGGAGGCAACAACAACCTGCACAACGCCATGAACCAGAGCGGACAGGGCCAGGCGGGGGAGCTGGACAACAGGCCCAAGCGCTGGACGTGGGGCGGACCTCCTGAAGGAGTAGAGGGTGAGTCCAAACAGCAGCAGCAGTAGCAGCAGCAGCAGCAGCAGCAGACACAGGGGTGATGTCATAACATGGTGGTTTAATAATGCAGAGGTGAGGACAGAAGGGGATACAGGGAGTTTTCTATGTATTTAACATAAAAGACAATGGAAAACAGACAGACTATAACATTATAACATAGTTCAAATGGTGGTTCTCATCAAAGGGAGGTTTAATAATGCAGAGGTTAGAACAGAAGAAGATACAGACAGTTTTCTATGTATTTAACCTTCACATAAACTTGGGGATACAGACGAAAACATTAAAACATTGTACAAAGGGTGGTGCTTAGAAGATTCTTTAGATAACACAAAATCGTGAAGAAGCTTGCGCTGCTTGATTACCTGATTGGTTTCCAGCTTCTTTACATTTGTGTCTTATTAAAATAAACTTCTAAGCATTAAACATAAGAAGTACATATATACATTTAGAGCAGAGGGTAAGTGGAGTTTTCCTGTTTACTTACCCATAGTAGATGCCACCACAATTTGTCATTGCACAAAAGGCCCAAGCTCACATTAAAGAGAGGTTTATGAATGTAGAAATGAGGATAGAAGAATGATTCCATATATTTCACCACAAAAAATGCAAATTGAAAACATTGTAACTATAATGCTATGTGGATTGGGAAATGAATGGAGATTTTGTTGTGTGTTTAGCCATTGTGGATGCCAATCATATATAAGACCATTTTACTCATCATGACATCATGGATACAAAAGATTAATTGGAGATCTTGTTACAGAATTAAAGTTTTTATGTTTTTTATAGCCAAAACGGATCAAAATTATTATACAATTTGTAGTTAAATATGAAGCGTTGAGAATAGAGTTGAGAACGGAGAAGTAATTAACCATAAACAATCCTGTAAACTAAAACATTGTAACATATTGCTAAGGGAAATGTATTTTTTTCTATATATTTAGCCATAGCGATTATACATTATTTATATGAAACCCTTTGTTTTTGGGTTGAAGGCCCAATCTCCCATAGCATGTTGGTTTACACGCAAAAATAACCGGCAATGAGTGAGATCTGTGAGGCAGCAGCTGTGTGAACGACTGAAGTGCGATTAAATTAATATTTAGCCATGATAGATGTCGATGATTTTTATGAGACACTTTGTCGCTGGACTGAAGGCCAAGCTCTCATAACGTGTTGGTATAAAAAGGCAGAGCTGACGGTAGAAGGCAAAGGAACTGATAGTTTGACACAGTGGATACAAATGAATGATTGGAGATGTTGTTAAAGTGAAGAGGATAAATGATGTTATATCAGTTTGGTTTGATGCAGAGGAGAGATTAATCTGTTTGTCCTTTATACATGAAGAGAGATTGGACGTACTTTTTACACTGGCCATAACATATACTCTACTCTACTCTACTCTACTCTACTCTACTCTACTCTACTCTACTCTACTCTACTCTACTCTACTCTACTCTACTCTACTCTACTCTACTCTACTCTACTCTACCCTACCCTACCCTACTCTACTCTACTCTACTCTACTCTACTCTACTCTACTCTACTCTACTCTACTCTACTCTACTCTACTCTACTCTACTCTACTCTACTCTACTCTACTCTACTCTAACCTACTCTACTCTACTCTACTGGATAGCACTCTCGCTTCTCAGCAAGAAGGTCCTGGGTTCGAATCCCGGTTTTGACCAGGCCTTTCTCAGTGGAGTTTGCTTGTTCTCCCCGTGTCTGCGTGGGTTTCCTCCGGGTACTCCGGTTTCCTCAGGGTACTCCGGTTTCCTCCGGGTACTCCGGTTTTCCCTACCACTAAAAACATGTACAATAGGTCTGGCATGCGCCTCCTGTACTGGCGACTCTGCTCCCATCTCTGTGTGGAGTGAGAGACAAATGCCCACAGTTGTAAACCGCTTTGTGACTCTGGTCTGTGAAAGGCTGTATATAAATAAAGATTACTTACTTACTTACTTACTAAAACCAAAGTACAAAAAAACACAAATTCCACACCGTGACATACTGTATATATTTTACTACAATATCATAATTTATTCATTAATAAAACTTACTTACTTCTTCCATCCATCCATCCATCCATTTTCTTCCCCTTAATCCATTTCTGGGTCGGGGGGGTGGCAGTCAGAGCTGCACCAGTTCACAGAGCACCAGCCCCTCACTGATCCTCCTGCAGGTGGTGAGTCCACAGGAGCTGAGATCTTTCAGCGGGGGCTTCGGCCAAAGTGGGGTTAAGTGTCTTGCCCAAGGACACAACGACAGTAGACATCAGTGGGAGTCAGTGGAGAAGGTGTCGAGGTGGGAAACGAACCCACGACTTTCAGGCCTACAGGCCAATCTTCACCAACTGAGCTACTGTCGCCCTTACTTACTTCTTCATTATGCAAAAGTCAGGGATTTTGTACTATTTATTGGATCTTTATTATGCTAAAGTTGGAGGTTTTTAGATTTTCGTCCTTATTATGCTGAAGCTAGATATATATACATGCTTCTTTTTGTGCTAGAGTCAGGGATTTGATTTAATTAGTTTTTGTTCATTTATCTTCATATCTCTTCACCGTAATCTTTATGTTAAAAGCCTGACGTGGCATTTGCCTTCAGATTCCTGGAAAGATTTTAATGTTTTCTCTATATCCATTTCAAGGGTCGATGCTGAATTATTACCTTTCAACATTCAGTCGACTTGATGCAGTGAACTAAAAACAATATTTAGCTTTAAGTCAATATGACGAAGCTGTAACTCAAAATGATCTGTGACATGGCCTCGCGACACACAGCGCTGGGTGATTGGTCTGAGCTTCTAGTTTCCTCTGCAAGGTCGGTCCTCTAGTCTACCGGACATACCATTAGATAGACCCAATGCTAGCAGGGCCGGACCTACCATTAGATAGACCCAATGCTAGCAGGGCCGGACCTACCGTTAGATAGACCCTACCCTAATATTTTTGGTTATGTATGATAATCAATTGAAAAAATAGCACAACATGAAACTGCATGCACCAATCCCCTTAAATCTAAAATGGACTATTCCTTTGACAGCCGCTGTATGAACCAGGAAGTGCAGCCGTTGAGAAGTGAGAGCTGGAGCTTGAGTTGTAACTTGTTTGTTTTGTTCACTTTAACTGGACTGAGTCTGCTTCACAGAGATGTTTCAAGTGACCTAAGTTACTAGTGGAGACACATGATCACTTATTTGGTGGTTTTACATCCTTAAATTAAGCATTTTTGTTATAATTTGAATGATATAAATACTAATGCAGATCTTAGATACAATTGTCTTTGATTAAACACAAAACACTGGAGAACTAAAATGGGTGAAACAAAAGTCCAAAGGCTTTAGGTAAAAACAAAAGGCTGGTTCTGAATTATAATAAGTTCCAGAATAAGCGTTCACTGAATCTAAAGTCAAGGTCTCTGCCACAGTCAAAGCACAAACTGGCAGCGGCCGAGTGGATTTCCAGTTTTGATATATTCTCCCCAAAGAGAAGGAGACACAAGAGGAGGAGGAGCACCAAAACTGCCCTGATGACAGTTTTACCCTCAAGTGAAGCAGAATTGGTCCAGTTAAAGTGAACCAGACGAGTAAATGTGTACGCGCTTTGAGTAGCTTCAGCTTCAGCCACATCATCTGCGTTTTCTGCATTTGAAAATATATACATTGAGATCACCAAACACACGTGCCACAGTAGTTAGCATAGAGTACAAATCATATGTTATAAGGGTGAGGGATGTAACAGGTTATTTGAATTATTGGTTTTAATTGACGTGAAGTCATGAAGCTTCTATTAGTTTTATTGTTATTGTTGACGTCAGATGTCGTGTGTGTGTCCTCTTGTCCAGGACACTCTTGGAAAATATATTCTTAATCTCGTTGAGGTTCTCCTGGCTATGGGTTAAATAAAAACATACATCCAACAAATATTATGATAGTTAAAAGTAATTTCTCTCAGAGGGGGCATGACTTCAGCTTTGTTCTGGTCAAATGCATAGAAATATTGAGTAAACATAATCGGGTAACTAATCTAACTAAATTCAAGGAGGGAGTTTTGATATTCTGTAAGTAACTCAAGCTCTTTAGAGGATAATTATTATACAACATAACATTTTATCAAATTTCAATGATTCGATTGATCATTTAGCAAAAGAGAGGCTATGAATAACCCGTTCAAATCATGTTTACAAAAAGCCTCTGTTGTCATGTCTGATCCCCCTCTGAAGGACTGGGAACCACCTCCTAATTGGTGCTATGAGGCTGAATTTCATCTGTGATTGCGACGTTATCGGTGGCGGATATGGGGGCTGGGAGAGGTGTGGGTTATAGATGAAGCGCTGGGGGAGGGTGGCTTTCCTCAGACTGGAAATGACAAAGCAAAAGCAGCAGGTGGATCTGGGGTGAGGCGATAGTTGTAGCCGGATGTTGTGATACATTGCAGAAGGCTCATTGCTGGCGTTTTTCTCTGATAAATGACACGTTTCTGGCTGGAGATGGCGAGCAGGTGCTATGTTTGCCGTCGGCTGCTACTGTTGCTGTCCTTCATCTTGGAGCTGGGAGCGGATGCAATTCCCACAGTGATTTTTAACCTTGAATGCAGCGAGGCTAGGCTAACAGACACGCCCAGAATCATATTATAAAGACATCTCCTGTGATATTTATCTACTGCTCAAAATATTCTGGGTCAGAGATGCTAACATTAACGCATATGGCTTTAGTCAATTCATGTTATGGTTTGTAAGGATTATAAATTTGTAGTTATTTTTGCCCTCGTTAACAATATATCAACAGTCATAGAAACTAGCCTTTGTGAAATGATCTGAAACACAGTATTAGTTGTAGTTGTTTGTTTAAAAACACACATTGCATAAAGTAATCATCATTTTTTAACACTGGATGAGACATGCACAAACCTGACTCTTCTCTTTTGACAATACACAGTATTGAGTAAAGGGTAAATAATATGCTAAATGCTTTTCACAGCTTTTGACCATGTTCGAGTTATGTCATGAATGTTTCATCAAACTATTTCATAGGCTGTTGCTTTCATATGGATCAGGTGAAGAAGGTTATAAAGCTCCACACAATCCACACCAGAGACAGCACTTTGCATAATGACAGATCTTTATGTCCTATCACTGCCCTCTCGTCACAAAGAGGGGATCTCTTTTGAGCTGTCGCACGTGCTGCTCTTTCCTTGTAAAACTGTAAAACATCTGTTTGAAAATGTTTATTTTGCTGTCTATGATGAGCTGATTTTAATCCATTATAATGTGATTCTCTGGGGTTCTGGGAACTGTAACTTATTAAAAACATTTTATTTCTCACCCTTTTATTTGACTCATGCCTTACCTTGTGGTCAAAAGCTGACACAGGTCAAAACAATCCACCAACCTTTCCCACTCTTGGCCTTAAAAAACATTCTTTCATGGTCCGAGCTGAGTCTTCTGGGTCTTTACGCACCTTTACTCTGGAATGTTACGGACCGAGCAGAAAATAGTTTTAGATTAATATTGCTATTTCATATTAACTACATAAATATCAATGAGCCATGATTGTATTAGATGATCATTATAAAGCAGATAGAAGCTTGGAGTCTCTTTTTAACCAATAGCAGTGATGGAATTGAAAATCTGATATTTTTCTTAGAATCACAGTTAACTGATGACAGTAGAGATCCAAAAACTACTACATCCTGCAAGTAGCTGGTGAGCAGTTTAAAACGTAAAATCCACTGAGTCACTTTCCTGGACTGTTACTGATATCTGATACCTTTATTGTCCAGTCATTCTACATGGGTCTATATGGTGGGGCTGTGGTCTCGTGTCCTGCTGGAGAGGCCAGAGATTCTGTGGTGCATTCATAACAGTATTAATAATTCAGCCGCAGCGCTCGGTCTATAGAGGCCATCGAACAGCAGCGTTTGGGACCAGCTCCTCCTCGGGCTGATCCCAGGTCAGTGAGAACGTCCCGTCGCAGCAGAAATGCACACGCTCGTGTTACAGACGAGAGAAGGACGAAGAGGCCGAGATGCAGCGGCTACAGCAGGAGAGGAAGAGGACAGTGGGAGGTTTTCTGAAGGCAGTGGATATCATGCTCTCCCTGTGCATCTGGATGCTCTGGTTTCAGACATTAAAGTCCATTAAGCTAATAACTCTGACCAAGCTTTTTGTTGGCTTCGAGTATGGTTTAGTGGAGGGTGCACATATGTCTGAAGGCAGGATTGGGCCTGGTTAGGACTAAACACATTTGCTAGAAAAATAACTATCAATCAATCAACTTGTATTTGTATAGTGCCTTTCCTACACAAAGCAACACAAAGCACCTCAACCAGAAGGGATGCACCAATACTGGTATCGGGTATCGGGGTGATACCATAGGCTCGTTCTCGTACTCATTCCAGAGGACCTGATGCCAGAACCGATACCCACATTTTTTATTTGCATTAGCATCACGACAGCAGACAGCTGTGCTGCACGTGTTGCCAGAGCCAGAGCATGTAACATGAGGTTGTTGTATTTCATGAACACAGCTCTCACTCCAGGGATTTGCTTTGGGATCTCACGCTGAGTCTCATATACTGTACTCGAGTACCTCAGCGTCTGTGCTAAAGCACGCTGCGTCTTCCTCCTCATCAAAAGAAAACAAAATCAGCCTCACTGGCGCTGCTGTGTCGCAATTTACCCGCGGAGTGTATGAGCAGCCACTGCTAGCGGTTTGTGGAATGAACTCATTGCACTTGAGTTGTGACCGATGCGACAGCAGCAGCAGATGCGTGATCACAGCTGCCCGTGGTACATAAATAAATAAAGTAACGTTGCGTCTGATCAAAAAAGAAACGGCATTACCTTACTATATTGTCGATAGTAAACGCGTTGCTTTAGTACTGGCTTGTCCGAACTGACCGAACAGGACTGAACCAGGCCTTGTTTGCGATAGGAGACCTCTGGGTGGGGCGGCTGTAAAGTGCCAAGTTGTTGATGTGTCTTTAGGGAAGTCCCTTTATCCACATTATCCTGTATGATTCTACTTAATTTTCTATAGTCAGACCTGAATTGTGCCACAAATTTTGAAAGTTTGGATAAATTATAAAAAAGATAACAATTCTGAATGGTGCTCAACAAACAAGACAAAAGATACTTGCTCCATTGACAAATCCTGACTCAAATCAAAAGATCAAAAGATATTTTCGCAAATCGGTTATTTTCTGCTTATATTAAATCCCATTGTGTTTTCATATAATTGCAGTCTATATGATTTGCTAATTTGGATTTTCATTGGATTGTGTTGCACAATGCAATACTGTAATACTTTAGTTTTAAGGTCTCGTACATTTCTACTTCTCTGGTCCCTGGTCATATCTGTAAGTTAGAGATCTACATGTATATAGCTAACATACATGGCTTCTGCTCCTCTCCTTCTGCCTTTCCTCTTGTTCTTGATTAACGCTTCTGCTTCTGCTTCACCTGTCGCCCAGGTAACACTAGAACCCCGCCCTGCAATGCCATTGGCTCTCCTCAGCCCAATGCGCTTCCTGCTTCCAGTGCCAGCCAATCACGTCACGGTATAAATCACATGACTCCATGTGTGCCTCGCCAACTTTGCAAAAGCATTTGATTTTCTTTGTGTAACTTGTAACTGTTAAAATTCCTTTGTTTGGCTTTTTAATGTGTTTTGTTTTTTCTGTTGTGTCTAGTACAGTGTGTTGTGTTCACATCTGTGACCTGTCTATGGATCCTTCACTTAAGATCTCCCCATTTACATAAATACATTACAAGCCAACGATTTTCAACTAACTATCCAACGAACAGCGAACAGACACAATAGGGAAACTAGGCATTCATTCTGCCTGTTTACCAAATTTAATTATATAGGCTCGACAATAGTGAACTGAAAAACGTAATTTATTCATAAAGGTGCGACTACAGCTACCCACTCATCTTCTAACTTTTCCTGAATGGTTTATGGAATTAATCAATATCCTATGTGTTCCATTATAATGTTGAAATTTAACTGAAAAGTGTATCAATGTATTTACATAGAACCTTTAGCCAATACTTGTCCACGTTACATCACAAGGTCATTCATCTAATTGATCAGAGGGTTTGGTTCTGTTGGAGTCACTGTTTTGTGCTTGTTTTGTTGTAATTTTCTTACTGTGATGTTGTGATGAATAGAATAAAGCCAGGGTTAATTAAACATCTATCTTCTTTTCATGTGGTAGATTTCTTGGCTCCTTCAGATCAGCCAATCAACAAGCAGCTGTCCAACTCCTCAGCCGCGCTGCACTCACCAGAAAGAGGTAAAAACATAATAAACTGAGACAGTGTCACATTGATATGAATATGTTAAAAGGACAGTAAACAGTTTCCTATCTTTTTTAATTCCTTGGTATGCTGTTTTTAGTTTGTGTCTGTATTTAAAGCTGAGGCTAAAGTATATCAGAAATATGAAGGTGCCAGACTGTGGATTAATGTTTAAACAAGAAACAATTTATTGAAGTCAATCGGGGCCCGTGGGGGAGGGAGGGGGTGCAGGCCAGGAGTCCAGGGGGAGACCCATGAAGCTGCAGGGAATGTTTTACAAAACTGGTCTACAACTAAAGTATCAGACCAGTTTTATTAGGTTTGTTTTATATATTTTGGCTCAGACTTAGACTTCAAATTAAGGTTTCCTTCGGCTGCTCTGGTTTCTCAGACTACATAAAAAAGGTATAATCCTTCAGCATCAACATCTGGAGATGGGCACTAGTAGCATCAGGATGGGTCAACTTTCTCTATGGAGACATAACATAACTTTTATTTTGCCTGTCTTCCCTTTGGTGATAATCTAACATAGGTAGAAAACAACACGCTATCCTTTATCCTTTTTTGCGACCTTTATGTAGATGACTGCTGCCCCAAATAGTCATAGTATGATTACAATATTTGTACATATTCGTGGAGTTCTCTTGCAAAAACAGATATCTTAGTTTTGGAAATTGGTGAAAAAGTTGTGTTCAGCTCGCTACAATCTTCAATATATTTTGCTAATGGCAGAACCAGAACGGCACGGTGGCTAGGTGGATAGCACTCTCGCCTCTCAGCAAGAAGGTCCTGGGTACAAATCTGAGTGGAGTTTGAATGTTCTCCCCGTGCCTGCATAGGTTTCCTTCGGGTTCTCCGGTTTCCCCTACCACTAAATGCACACTAGGCTCTGGTAGTCCTGACCAAGCCGAGCATCAACACGTGCTGTACTAGAGCGACCACTGCTCCTGACGTAAGCCTTAGCGGCATCAGGATGGGTTAAATGCAGAGGATTAATTGCCCTACGGGGATCAATAAAGTGCACCTTTACCTTGACCCTTTCAGAGAATTCGCTCAAGAAGGGATAAACGTTACTTGTATGGCTCTAAAATATGTCTGCTTATCAAAAAACTGCTTGGTAAAGGGCCAAATTGTAAACCTTTCAAATCCTAATGGCACAAATCTGTTTTTGTAACTAAACTATTCATATGTGGTTCCTTTACAGCAGAATCAGTGGAAACACCTTTTTAGTACAGCTAAAGCTAGAATCTATTGACTCGTGCACCAGGACCGTAGTACTGGTAAAGACAGTGCCCGAACTTTGATTCCATGCTCTCTTTGATCTCTCTTTACTGCACATTTGCATATTTCCACACTGTCTCGTTTCTCATCCATTAGTTTACTCATTCTTTCTTCATTCCTTTATTTTTTTCGACAGTTTCCTCCAACAACCAAAGGCTTCACAGGAGTTTGTCAAATCGAAGGAGCATCGCAGCGTTTCCAGAGGAGACGACGAAAGCGCGCACTCCCACGGTCTGTGAAGGTTTTATACATTATTAAGCGATAGATCTGAAACTTCTACTGCCAAAGTCAATGAGGCCAAAGTCTATTGTAGCTGGGAAATGGGAGTGCTGGGAACTATCTATTGAGTTTTTTTTAATGTCTTTACCTTTAGCTTTAACCATTATTTTTAGTTTATTGACAATACTTTTTATTTTGATGCTTGTTTTCTTCATATTCATATTTGAAACTTGTGATTCCAATACCACAATTTCAGTATTATCCCAAAACATTAGTTACTATCATTACCTTGTGGTCGTTTACAAGTATTACGAAATAAAAGTCCTCCTGTTTATGTGATGTTATTGCATTGAATACTGCCTTGTTTTTCTTCAAATAATATAGTCCTTATTTTTCTTTTTTACGCTTTTAGGGCGACGGTCCGACTCGCAGTGCATCCTTCAGAGGAAACAGCAAAGGCCCCGCCACGCCCAAACGGTGAGCGGACGCCACAGTCAGAAGCCTCAATCCCACTTCAAAACGGGGACATTTTCTCACACACCGAGCAACACGGGTTGGTGTGTCAAAGCAAATCTGCATTGAACCCGCCCTGTGACCTAGTGTCATTGTCGAGCCATGTTCAGTTTTGACCAAATGTACTGGTAATTTAGACAATGTTTTTTGGCCTGTTGCTTCCATGTGGGTCAGGTGAAGAAGGTTATCAAACTAAACGCAATTTTAAAAAGGGCATCATACTGATAGAAGAGCTTTGAGACAAAAGGGGCGGGGTTACATGATTGATAGAAGTATTTTATATTATGCCTAGCGTACATCGGACTGGCAACTGATTGTATCCGTCGCATGTGAGTTGCTGCCCCGCACACATCGACAATCTGGCGAAAACGGGCAACCCCAGTAGCAGACCAGTCTCGGGAATAACAGTGCGTACATCAACAGCAACTGGCCTCAACTACAGTGTGTTTTCTGACATAAACTGTAGAGGGCGCAATACACACACGTTGTTGGAGCACATCGGGTGATATCTCCGGATCTGAGGACAACTAGTTGCCAAAAAGTAGAACACGGGCAACTGACTGAAACCAGAGATCGACTGTTTATCTCCAGTTGTAAGAGCGCTCACATCGACACAGCCGCCTTGCAACTAGTTGTCTCCAGTTACTCTGTCGATGTACGCTAGGCTGTAGTGTGGATGGATCTGAACACAGCTCCAGGTCTGTGTTTGAAGAGGAACAATGCTGTGACAGGGTTTTAAATTAATAACGTTGATTTCCATTATAAGCTTTCTTGAAATGTCCTTAAAGGCTGAATGTTGGTGTTGTTCCAGAGTGCGCTCACACCGCAGCCGGCCACAGTCGCCCTGCTCCCCAGGACAGTACCCCCCCTCCCCCCGCAGACACAAGGCCTCTACCCCCTCCACCCCCGGGACGCCCTCCACCCCAGACGCAGAGGCCAAACTCCACAGCACTTTAGAGCGAAAAACCAAAACTGAAGGGGACAAGAAGATCCCCAAGTCCACCAGCAGAGAGCTCAACGCAGGTACATTCCCAACCCTTCTTGATATATATTATATTATATTAGTGTTATTATTTTTTCATATTTGTCACTTCCCCGCCCTGATAAAGGACTAATACAGGCATCACTCAATTCAAATCAATGCAATAGTGAATACAATCATAAACTTGAAAAAATTCGGTCCAGATTTTTACTGTTTGTTGTTTACATTGTAGTTCAAAAGCTTCACCAGATGGAGGGCTCAATGCTCAGTTTGGAGAAAGATAGATAGTAAATACGTTTGTTAAATTTTAGAAAAAAATGTAAGAAAAAATAAAACCAATCCACTGTAAACCCATGCTAGTTATTGTTACTACAGTAAATTATACTACTAATTATGTCATGTAAACCCAGAATCTATAGTTTTTACAGAAATCTATTGCACACAAGAGACCTTTAATCTTTTGTACTTTTTAACTGTTTGCACATCTCCTGTAAATTCGCACATCCTGAGTGATACTACAGAAGAAAATGTACATTTATTCATCAAAGGAGTTTTATCCAATCTTATCGTGATTGTGCACAGTCCCAGACCATTAGGCTCAGATTCGGAGATTCATAAGGTTGATAAGGCTCAAGTAGATCAGAAATATGAAGGTGCCAAACTGTGGAGGAATTTATGAACAAGAAAAAATATTTTACATTAAATCTGGGCCCCATGGGGGAGGGGGAGAGCAGTTCAGATTTGAATGCAGAAATGTTGAAGCCTCTCGTCTTATGCATAATTCTATTTCTCATTTGCATTGTCAGAGTCTCCGATGACGCCCACCGGCCGCAGTGTTGGAGGCACGACAGACGCAGAAGAAGCTTCCAGGGTTTTGGCCGAAAGACGACGTTTGGCTCGAATCCAGAAAGAACAAGACGAGAGACAGCGGCTGGAGGACGAGAGGTTTGTGTCTCAAGTTTAGCACCAAACCTGCATTCATTCCCAGGTTGAATTAGTGACAGAAAACTCCGCCTTAGCACCAGATATTTGTTCAAATGGACGTGTTTATAAAGCTGCTATTAATCATGTAATTCATCTTTGAGTAATCTATATTTTCTTCATTCAAATAAACTGTTTGTATTTGTGGATGACTTGGCAGGGTCATGCAGGCATTTTTGCACAATTGTAACTTATAGTCCTCAGCAAGCCGTTAATGGAATAAATGAATGGCTGGAGGTCAGTCCCTGTGCTCCTCAGAGTACCAGCAGGAGGTCAGTCCCTGTGCTCCTCAGAGTACCAGCAGGAGGCCAGTCCCTGTGCTCCTCAGAGTCCCAGCAGGAGGCCAGTCCCTGTGCTCCTCAGAGTCCCAGCAGGAGGCCAGTCCCTGTGCTCCTCAGAGTCCCAGCAGGAGGCCAGTCCCTGTGCTCCTCAGTGTCCCAGCAGGAGGCCAGTCCCTGTGCTCCTCAGAGTCCCAGCAGGAGGTCAGTCCCTGTGCTCCTCAGAGTCCCAGCAGGAGGTCAGTCCCTGTGCTCCTCAGAGTCCCAGCAGGAGGCCAGTCCCTGTGCTCCTCAGAGTCCCAGCTGGTGCATGTGACTCTAACATGTGTGCTATCCCCTTTTAGGTCAAGCTTGAGATTGAAGGTGGAAACAGTTCCAATTAAATTAATTTAAATTTAAGGCCGCTGGAAAAACGACAAATGAAATCCTACTTGGTCTGATCTTAACAGGGCTCCAGGTAGAGCTTCATTATGTTGTATGAGGTAATGGGAATGAGAACAATGCTTGAGCGAGCTATGTATTGGAAATAACAACTGAAACAGGCTGTAGCTGATCAACGTTTTAGGACCACGCCTCAGAATAAACCTGTGATAAATCTGCAGTGATGGGAATAACGGCGTTACTAGTAACGGCGTTAATAACGCCGTTACTTTTTTCAGTAACAAGTAATCTAACTAATTACTTTGACAGTAACTATAACGCCGTTATCATTTCCGACATCCCGTTACTGCGCGTTACTCAAGACGCACAATGAACGTGTTGTCATGAGAGAAGGGAGGATGAGAAAACCTCTCAGCAATTATTGGCTGATGTAAAACATATTTCCTTTACAATCTACATGTCTACAGTTGAGAGGATGGCTCATAAATTGTGTTTTTGAAACAAATATGGGTCTTAATCGCGCTCATCCACGGCTTGTATCACCGTGAGGTCAGCCTCAGAGGAGCGCATGTGAGCGCAGAAGTCGGCTGCATACAATTCCATCGATAAGCTCCTTTCTCTTCCTGGTTTATCTGCTAAGGACAGCAACAGGTTTGGCTAACATACATATAACACATTTTTACATAATCTAAAATGCACATAGGGTATTTTTTCAATTACTATAGGAATGATAAGAAAGAGAGGTGAAGTGTAAGACGGTTGATTTTAGAAATTGGATGCACTCGGCTGCCGCTGGCAAAACACAGGAGTTTATGGAGGACACACGCGTTTTGTTTTGCTTTTTAAAACTCATTGGACTCATTTCCAAATGGAGGATTACATATCTACGCTCAAACCATTAACTGGATTTAAACAAGGAACTGGTCTGAACCGAAGTGGACTGTGCAGGTCATTTATAAGGTAAGACCCATAACTCATAGTTTTGCGTTTTGTATGAACAAACAATGCGGGCATAAAACATATTTTGCTGTAGCCAAACAAATTGTCCACTTGATTTATATGATAAATATGTTCATCTGATTGGGCTGAAGTCAGTGCTTCACCAGCCTCACCGCTCGTCACCGGTGTTTCCACATTCACAGTGGCGGGTGTTGGTGTTTAGTGAGAGATGAAGAGTGAACAGGACTTCAGCAGCAAAACAGCCTTTTCTAGATGGAAATATTGGCTCTGTTAAAGGTAAAAATGCGCACGTCGGGTGCACATTATGTTCCAGAACAAAACGAAAAAGTAACGCAATAGTTACTTTTACTGGTAACTAGTTACTTTTATAGTGGAGTAACTCCGTTAGTAACTCAGTTACTTTTTGGGAGAAGTAACTAGTAACTATACCTAATTACTTTTTCAAAGTAACGTGCCCAACACTGTAAATTTGAAAACACAAAACTTGAACTCAGTCACGATTAGACTCTGTTGTTGTTAATCACTTTTGTTGCAGTTTGTTCGATGACAGCATTTCCAGGAGGAGAGTGGGAACACAGCTGTCAAAGGCCTGTGACACTTTGTTGTTTGTTTTCAATTCTCCCATTTCTCAGTATTTCACATTCAGACTCTACTTGGAACATTGCTCAAATCCAGCCAAGCAAAAGAGGATTTTTTATCAACTATTCAGAGGGGGGACATTTATTTGAACTGCAGCGAACTGTTTTAAAGTCAAGCCAAATGTTGATGTGGATAAATATGTGCGGCTCATCAGAGTGGACAGACTGAGCCCTGACGTCACTCACAGCGATTGTCTTTCACCAGACGATGCAGATTAGAGATTACCTCAAAACAGGTTGTATTGATTGATTGATTTATTTTATCGAAGCAACAGGCTCCTATCACTACGCTGCCGAACGGAACGTTTCAAGAGATCATTTGTTCCTTCGGCTGTCAGACTGTACAACAACAAAAGAGTCTTCTGCTGCTGGACACCTGAATTTCTCCTATGGGGGATCAATAAAGTATCTATCTATCTATCTATTGGTGGAATAGATTCTCTCATAGCAACCCCATAGCAACCAAAGATCTAACCTGAGGATGAGTCTGTTCCCGCTTGTGCTATTTGCTAGCCAAAGCTGAATTTGGAAATAGGCGGCATCTGATTGGTCAGTTATTATTGGTCATATAATTTATAAAGACATCTTGAGACAAATAGTAAGGGACACACAGTCAAAACGGTTTAGTTTTCAATGAAACTGGATGAAGCAAAAGTGAGGAGCCAAATTTCACCCTTGAACTTTCAAAAGCTCTGTCCATCTGTATCAAAACATGAACCACTTAGCTACTTCAAATCCCACAATGCGCACTCCGCCATTGGTGCAAAGGTTTACGTTTTTGGTTTTGTCTTGTGATTCTTCCAAGGCTGCGTGCGGAGGAGGAGCAGCGGCAGCAGCAGGAGCGTCTGAAGCGACAGGAGCAAGAGGCGCGAGAGGCCGAGGAGGAGCGTGTGCAGCGAGAACAACAGCGCAGAGAGAAGGAGGAGGAGGAGAGGAGGCAGAAGGAGCAGAGGTGGAAGGACATGCAGGAGCAGCTCGACAAAGACGTACGCAACACACACACACACACAACTACAGCACCACACACAGGACCTGGCGCAATGTCCTGGTGTTGTGTAGTTACCAAACAGACAACAAGAGAAGAGGAGAGGAGCACAGGGTTGAAACACACACAGGGACACACAACAAGAGGAGCACAGGGTTGAAACACACACAGGGACACACAACAAGAGGAGCACAGGGTTGAAATACACACAGGGACACACAACAAGAGGAGCACAGGGTTGAAATACACACAGGGACATACAACAAGAGGAGCACAGGGTTGAAATACACACAGGGACATACAACAAGAGGAGCACAGGGTTGAAACACACACAGGGACACACAACAAGAGGAGCACAGGGTTGAAACACACACAGGGACATACAACAAGAGGAGCACAGGGTTGAAATACACACAGGGACACACAACAAGAGGAGCACAGGGTTGAAATACACACAGGGACATACAACAAGAGGAGCACAGGGTTGAAACACACACAGGGACACACAACAAGAGGGCACAGGGTTGAAACACACACAGGGACATACAACAAGAGGAGCACAGGGTTGAAACACACACAGGGACACACAACAAGAGGAGCACAGGGTTGAAACACACACAGGGACACACAACAAGAGGAGCACAGGTTTGAAACACACACAGGGACACACAACAAGAGGAGCACAGGGTTGAAATACACACAGGGACACACAACAAGAGGAGCACAGGGTTGAAATACACACAGGGACAAACAACAAGAGGAGCACAGGGTTGAAACACACACAGGGACACACAACAAGAGGAGCACAGGGTTGAAACACACACAGGGACATACAACAAGAGGAGCACAGGGTTGAAACACACACAGGGACACACAACAAGAGGAGCACAGGGTTGAAATACACACAGGGACACACAACAAGAGGAGCACAGGTTTGAAACACACACAGGGACACACAACAAGAGGAGCACAGGGTTGAAATACACACAGAGACACACAACAAGAGGAGCACAGGGTTGAAATACACACAGGGACACACAACAAGAGGAGCACAGGGTTGAAACACACACAGGGACACACAACAAGAGGAGCACAGGGTTGAAACACACACAGGGACACACAACAAAGGGACACACAACAAGAGGAGCACAGGGTTGAAACACACACAGGGACACACAACAAGAGGAGCACAGGGTTGAAACACACACAGGGACACACAACAAGAGGAACACAGGGTTGAAACACACACAGGGACACACAACAAGAGGAGCACAGGGTTGAAACACACACAGGGACACACAACAAGAGGAGCACAGGGTTGAAACACACGCAGGGACACACAACAAGAGGAGCACAGGGTTGAAACACACACAGGGACACACAACAAGAGGAGCACAGGGTTGAAACACACACAGGGACACACAACAAGAGGAGCACAGGGTTGAAACACACACAGGGACATACAACAAGAGGAGCACAGGGTTAAAACACACACAGGGACACACAACAAGAGGAGCACAGGGTTGAAATACACACAGGGACACACAACAAGAGGAGCACAGGGTTGAAACACACACTGGGACACACAACAAGAGGAGCACAGGGTTGAAACACACACAGGGACACACAACAAGAGGAGCACAGGGATGAAATACACACAGGGACACACAACAAGAGGAGCACAGGGTTGAAACACACACTGGGACACACAACAAGAGGAGCACAGGGTTGAAACACACACAGGGACACACAACAAGAGGAGCACAGGGTTGAAACACACACAGGGACACACAACAAGAGGAGCACAGGGTTGAAACACACACAGGGACACACAACAAGCGGAGCACAGGGTTGAAATACACACAGGGACACACAACAAAGGGACACACAACAAGAGGAGCACAGGGTTGAAACACACACAGGGACACACAACAAGAGGAGCACAGGGTTGAAACACACACAGGGACATACAACAAGAGGAGCACAGGGTTGAAACACACACAGGGACACACAACAAGAGGAGCACAGGGTTGAAACACACACAGGGACACACAACAAGAGGAGCACAGGGTTGAAATACACACAGGGACACACAACAAGAGGAGCACAGGGTTGAAATACACACTGGGACACACAACAAGAGGAGCACAGGGTTGAAACACACACAGGGACACACAACAAGAGGAGCACAGGGTTGAAATACACACAGGGACACACAACAAGAGGAGCACAGGGTTGAAACACACACTGGGACACACAACAAGAGGAGCACAGGGTTGAAACACACACAGGGACACACAACAAGAGGAGCACAGGGTTGAAATACACACAGGGACACACAACAAGAGGAGCACAGGGTTGAAACACACACTGGGACACACAACAAGAGGAGCACAGGGTTGAAACACACACAGGGACACACAACAAGAGGAGCACAGGGTTGAAACACACACAGGGACACACAACAAGAGGAGCACAGGGTTGAAACACACACAGGGACACACAACAAAGGGACACACAACAAGAGGAGCACAGGGTTGAAATACACACAGGGACACACAACAAAGGGACACACAACAAGAGGAGCACAGGGTTGAAACACACACAGGGACACACAACAAGAGGAGCACAGGGTTGAAACACACACAGGGACACACAACAAGAGGAGCACAGGGTTGAAACACACACAGGGACATACAACAAGAGGAGCACAGGGTTGAAATACACACAGGGACACACAACAAGAGGAGCACAGGGTTGAAACACACACAGGGACACACAACAAGAGGAGCACAGGGTTGAAACACACACAGGGACACACAACAAGAGGAGCACAGGGTTGAAACACACACAGGGACACACAAAAAGAGGAGCACAGGGTTGAAACACACACAGGGACACACAACAAGAGGAGCACAGGGTTGAAACACACACAGGGACACACAACAAGAGGAGCACAGGGTTGAAACACACACAGGGACACACAACAAGAGGAGCACAGGGTTGAAACACACACAGGAACACACAACAAGAGGAGCACAGGGTTGAAATACACACAGGGACACACAACAAAGGGACACACAACAAGAGGAGCACAGGGTTGAAATACACACAGAGACACACAACAAGAGGAGCACAGGGTTGAAATACACACAGGGACACACAACAAGAGGAGCACAGGGTTGAAACACACACAGGGACACACAACAAGAGGAGCACAGGGTTGAAATACACACAGGGACACACAACAAGAGGAGCACAGGGTTGAAATACACACAGAGACACACAACAAGAGGAGCACAGGGTTGAAACACACACAGGGACACACAAATGAAACACATTAGGACGGGACTGACTATCAATTGAACAGACAAGAACACTGAAAAGAATCAACATTTCAAAATAAAACCAGGTAAAATGAATCAAAATGTCTTCACCATGACGACGGTTTAACAAGCTCCATTCGAATCTGGAGCCAAATCTGTGTGTAGCAACAGCCTAGCAACCAAAGAGCCAATGAGGAGCGGCGCCAGTTCTCACACTAGTCACACGCTGAAGTCAGATGTGAGGACAGAAGGGCCCTGATGAATTTACAAAGACATTTTTTTACACCAGGATCATTGAGAGCATTATTTTCTAAGTCCAGAATGTTGAGTGTGACCCAAACATTTTACTTTTCAATGCAAGTGAACGGAGTCAAAACCTTGCTTGATCACATCCCATATTGGGCATCATAGAACTAGCGGGTTAGCATTGTCCATACATATACATTCTATAGAAAGCTATTCATATAGGTATATATTATATGTTCTGCTAATGCACTTTTTTAACCTTGTACTGTATGTCCATGTCTGCCTTGGTCTTAAAATGTCATGAGTACAAGTTTTCAGAAAAGTAAAGTCATACTAACCGGTCGAGTAGAGATACTTGTCACTTGCTGAAATGGTTTATGGTGTTTTCAGAGAGAGGAGGCGATTCATCGCGCTCAGGAAGAGGCCGAGAGAAAGAGGCAGGAGCGAGAGGAGCAGCACATCAAGGAGGAGCAGGCGCGACAGCTGAGGAAGAAGGTGAAGACACTGCAACCATTTCACTGCAAACCATTCTCCCAAGACCAGCGTTTATGATCACACACGCTCATCCACTGTACTGCATGCATTTTAATCAAGAATCGAGCAGAGTTTGTTGCATTAAAGTGTGGATTCAAAGAAAACTGAAGGATTCAAGAAGAAGAAAAGGGACAGAGGGACACTAAAATACCACAAAAGACGACCTTTATGAAAGCTGTAGGTTCTCTGTCAGCTGAGGTCGAGCTGTTTTAGTTTACTCTGAGTTCTATGGGACTTTTTTCTGGGTTGCCCACATGAATTTAGTTTGCGGTACCACGGGCGCCCCCTGTGGCCATAGGTGGGACAGCTGTAAGCTAGTAATACCCTATCCAGTTATTATTATAGATCCATGACTAATAACTATGACATGGACAAAAGTTCTCATGAATTCCTGGGAACTGGTTGGTTATGAGAGTACAGATCTGGTGAACTCTCTGAATGAGTTTTATCCTCATACAGAGCGAGACCGGCCTTAGGTACCGTAAGTTCACATCCTAATGTCATTATCATTTTGTATTTTCAGAGAATTGACGAGATAATGAAACGAACCAGAAAGAGCGACGTGGAGCCTCCGTCTGCAGTTCAAGGTGACATTTTATATATTTTTTGTGGAGGTAAGAAAGTGTCAGAAATCAATAGTTTGTCTTCAAATGCAGATTACAAAGTCACTGCAGAAAAGAATACAGTGCTGTACTGTTATTGAAGTGGGGTCATCATACAGTAGGTCTCTCATATTTGAACGCACTGGACAGAGCAGTTTTATAGACTCCCTCTTGCTGCTCTAAATTTGTATTGATTCATGGCAACACAATCTGCTGCAGGGTGACTCAGCAGAAGGTAAAGCGCCCCCTAGTGTTCAATAAACTCTTTTCATCCAATACAAATCCAAGTGTATTTAATTTCCTGCTTTACGGATGAGAGGAGTCAGCACTTTGCATTTCCTGTTGTATTTTGGGCCGACCTCCTCCCAGGTTCATTCAAGGTGCATTAAGGTAAAACAGTGCAGAGGTTCTGACGTTGGAAAAAATGGAATTGCCAAGAATATATCCATCTTGGAGAACAGAGTTAGTTTTGATGCTTAGAGCTGAGGTACCTAACTTTGAAACCACAAACAATGGAACTATGCACAGTATTAAAATCCATATTTTTGGCCTCAGTCACATTTTTAGATCAGCTTTTTCAGACAGAAAAGTGAAAAAGAGAAATCCAGCACTCAGCCCAAAGTGTCAAATAGTGACTCACAGGCCCCATTCTTACAAGTATACAACAAAATCACGTGTTTTCTACAGTACAACATTTCATAACATTAGAATTTTTCTGTTGGGACAAATAACACTTATTATTGAGGAAACAAAAAGGGGTTAGGGACCTCAGCCTTTAACGGGTTTGATTTATGGACAATTTTTACTTTTAAGTTGCTGTTTCTCAAGTATTTTTAATTGATTTGTTTATAGACCTGGTCATCAACAGCTGCAGTGTAAGTAGCTAGAGTTTGCATGTTCTCCCCGTGTCTGGGTAGGTTTCCTCAGGATGCTCCGGTTTCCCTACCACTAAAAACACAAAAGTAGTTCCCCGCTCCCATCTCTGTGTGGAGTGAGAGACAAAAGCACATAATTGTAAAGTGCTTTGTGACTCTGGTCTGTGAAAGGCGCTATATAAATAAATATGTCTTACTCACTGTTCATGAAGTATTTCAGTCACTCATGCCGGCTATTCATTTTCTTATTTTACCAAAGGGAACATAGCAAAAACGACTTTTCACAGCTCGGGTCCGGGTCATAGATGATTTAGCTGCAATAGAATTTTTTCGTTAAGGAAAAAACCTTTGCTGATTGCTAACTTGATCTACAGTGTGAGAGGTGCCTGTGTGACCATGTTTCCACTGGTGTTGTGTTAAAGGAGAGCAAAACAGCCGAACAGAAAAATGGGATTACAAACACATTTTTGTAGATTGTTATATAGTTTGTCAGACCTTGCTGTGGGTAAGCTAACTCTGTGGCCACAACAGCCCTGGGGCAGAATACGAGGCACCAGCAGACCCCCCACCAGCCTTTACCTTTGCAGTGTGAGGAGATCATTCGCTCACAGGTTTCCTTCTTCTGTTCCAGCGTTTGAGGCGAAGTCAGAAGCCGCCGCCTCAGTCCAGGACGTGTCTGCGATTTCTCTGGGGCCGTTAGAAAACAAGAGCTGTGTGGACGAGCTCTCAGACGGAGTGCAGTCCATGGACGTCAGGTAAGAAAACAAAAACTAAACTAAATTTTACTTTTACATTTACATAACTCATTGTGGTGTTTGCATTTTCAACAGAATTACTATAGTTTCACAATGAACTGTCTGTAATGAGGCTCAGAGAAGACTAAAACATTTATTTCTTATGCATTTTTCTAAGATTAAACAGGCAAAGTGGGTTTAGTGTCTTGCCCAAGGACACAACGACAGCAGACATCAGTGGGAGTCAGCGGAGAAGGACACGTACTAAAACTCAATAAAACATTTTAATTTAAAAAAAGAATCATGAGCATTGAAATCACATACAAAACATTCAATAAAAGTGGTGATAAATGCAGGAATGAAAACATACTCAAACACTCAAAAAATCGTTAATATCACAATAAATAATGTCATAATTATATAATATTTTGTCCAAACACAAACAGCTGCAGTGGTTTCAGGAATATATCTAAATCAGGAAAATAAGTCTTTAGTTTAGTCTTGAATGAGCTTGGCGTCGGAGCACATTAGGGACTGCATTCAATTGAAAGTAAATTGTAGAGTATAATAGTATATAGTATATATATAGTATTTTCTCAACTTAAAGCTGGGATACTTAACTTTCAAAACACAACAAAACCTTACTGCATCAAACTGTCATCCAATGCACCTAACACCTTCAATCACTAGTTTTCACATGATGCATTTTTGGCCTGTGTCACATCTTTAAATCAGCTTTATCAGACAGAAAAGTGAAAAAGAGGATCAGCTCTCTGCCCAAAGCACCAAATAGTGACTCACAGGGATCTTTCGTAGTTTGCAATGTTTTCTAATTTGATAAAGACAGCATTGTGTTTGTCTTAAAAAAAAAAAAAGAAATCTTCTGTAGGCCTCTTTCTGTTGGGACAAACCAAATGTATTATTTCTGAGGAACAATGAGGAACCCCAGCTTTAATTATCCTGTAATTCCCAGATCTTATAAACAATGCTCTTCCGAACTCACTCTAAAAGCAACTTTGTGTTTGAAAACAGAAAGATGTTAAAGGTGTGTAATTTTTGCAGTTGCTTCCAATTGAAAAAACATGTTAACCAAAATAAATGTGACCTTTTTACGAATATTTACCTCAACCATGTTTTTAAATGGTTTACCTAGGCTTAGAAATTGACCCATAAATGTCCATGAGGCTGGAGGACTCTGCGTCAATGCTCAATCTTGAAATACAGTGGTTGTTGAGGGACAAAAAGGAGCCGGGAGTTGGGGACCACGGTCAAAGACGACGTATTGTCCTGCAAAGCTACCGTTGTCCCGTAAATTACAATATATGATCTCAACGCTAGATGGGAGTAAAAACTACACAGTGTATCTTTGCCATAGTATGTGGACTAACCATCAAACATGTCTCATAAGTCAAATAGACGTTGTGCATTCATCTTCTGCGTGTGACCCACATGACGCCGCTGGCTTTTCTCTCTGCTTTAACGATTGTCCCTCGCTGTTGTGTTTTTAAGCTCTCCGTCTGTCTCTATCAGCCCCGTGTCGCGCGAGGAGCACCCCAGCACTCACGACTTCTCCCCGGTCACCGAGGCCGACGCCATGGGCTGGTCCGACTTCAAACTGCAGCCCACGGCGGGCGGCGGAGACCTGAACAAGAACCTGCTGATCCAGCCCTGCAGCGCCAACGCTCCCCCGGTCATCCCCCCAGTGGGAGCCAAGCTGGACGTCCAATAAACAGGTAAAGTCTGGACATAAAATCAACTATCGGTATTTTTGTCATGTTAATTGTGGATTCAATTCAATGTATTCTTGTACAGCCCTAAATCACAACAGTGGTTATCTGGGGGGACTTTACAAAACCCTTGAATTCTCTAACATTCTGGGAGGCAAGAAATGAAACAGAAAACACATTGGTTTTGGTCCATAAGGGGCAGATGACCAATGTCCATAAATGTTGATAAATGTCCATACATGTCGTTGAATGTTAAGAGTCCTGGATCATCACCACTTCTTAGACTCTCCTGCATCGGCGAAGAAAAAAATATATACTGTGGATCTCATATACATATTATTTTTGGCCCAATAGCAAAAAAACACTGGTCATCAAGCTGAGTGGACCATCTGTGTTGAATATGGGGGTGGCAGCATCATGCTATGGGCACTGCTTATAAAAATAGATGGGAAGATGGATGGAGTGAAACACACACAGGGCTATTTTAGAAGAAACCTTGCTTTTACCTTTCAGCAGGAGAGTAGACAGTGGTTCAAAACTAAAAGATTCTATTTCATAACATATCTCCTGTGTTTTTATGTGTTATATGTTTTTACGCCCTGTGCAGCTCATACGAAGTGCCCCTGATGTGTTAGAATGGCAGAGTGAAAGTCTAGATCAAAAATATAAATGAAAAACTGAGAAAACGGCTGAGTAAAACCTTCAGTCTTAAGATGAGCAAAGCTTGTAGAGTCATTCTTCAAAAGACTTTTTATAATTCCAGCAAAAAGAGGTTCTACAGAGACTGAAAATGAGTTGTGTCGATACAGGTTTCAGTGTTATTTGAAAACAAAAAATAAGGAAAATGTTGTGTAGTTTTGTTGATTCGCCTTAGTCACACCCCTGGATCTGTCTTTGCTCTTCAGATGACGATTTTAAACAATTTCATAATGCATATTTTTATCATTACAGGGTTGAAAGTCCAAAGGCGAGACATAGAAACTTCATATCCAACCACAGCAATCAACGTCTGCAACGAAACAGCGGCTGACTCCCTCCTCCGTGATCCAAACATCTCAACTAACACCCAGCAAGCTTTGGCTTTTGAGGCAATGCTGACGGCAAATTATACAAACGTTTACCATTCAGGAACAGGCTACAACAAGACGAAACAGATGTAAGACGTTTAAAAACCAACCAACACCGACAATAATTGATTCAACGTTTGCTTTCTATCAAAACTCGTCATCTTTCCAATTGCTTCCCATTTCAAATCAGTCGATATTCTCGCGAACCAAACTAACAGATGAGTTCTGTGTGGCCTGCATTGCCTCAAACGCCTCTAGAGCTTGAGTTTTGCTTTGTAATACTTGTAAATAGCTGCTAAGGGAGAAGTGGAAAAAGTAGTATCTTCAGTGGACTGTGTAGGTGGTATAGCTGTGTTGTGGGACTTTCCTATTTGTTCCGTGTGTATAGACTTGCCCACGACTCTCAATATTATTTATACCTTATTAAGAATCTAATATGGATGGGGCAAAACGTATGGAAAATATGTGTAAAGGTTCTAAATAGGCCAGTTACTAGTGTATTGTGAATCGGCACTGAAAGACTGCAATAAAGAAAACAGCAGCGTGATGTCAAATGGCTTGAGACGCTAAATTTCATCTTGCTTTGAGCCAAAATGCAGCTTTCTGGTTATAATTATTGGACATATTAGTTCAAGTTACAGGGGAAAAGATTCTGTGGAGTTAGAAATTGGCATTAAATAGTCAAAAGCTACTACACTGTTGAAAATTGCTTAGAATCTTGAGACATCAGCTTTTTACATGTTTTTTTTTTTATTAGCGAGATTTGATTTATCTATTTGACGAACTAGTGTTAACATATGTCAAGGCCTTTCAGAGTAAAATGAAGAAATACATTGTGCAGGATGTAAAACTCCATTGATAATAATTTGGCCTGAAAAACAAAGGTTATGTTTGTTAACAAGTCTGGGCTATTTTACTCCATCAAGTGAATAGAGCTCATGTAATTCTTTTAAATTTAAAAGTGGGTTTCCTCAATTTGAAACCACAAAAAGTGAGATGCAACTACTTCCTCGCTTTCAGTCCTCTTTGGTTCTGTCCCACACATGTATCTTTGGCCTCTGTCACATCTTCAGATCAGCATTTTCAGACAAGATATGTGAAAAAGAGAGGACCAACAATCTATCTTTCAGCTCCTACTGTGTCAAATATGTGTTTCATGATAAGATACAGACAGATTGTTGTTGGTCTCTTTCTACTGTTACAAAGCACATGTATGTATTAAACAAAAATTATAAAAAGTTGTGACAGAGGCCAAAGATTCATGCGTGTGAAAACTTGTGATAGAACCAAATTGTTTTGAGAGCCGCGAACTAGTCACATATCACTTTCTGTGGTTTAAAACTGAAAAACCCCAATTTTAATAGAATTTCATAAGCTCTACTCACTTGATGGAGAATAATAGTCCAGACTTAACCTTTGTTTTTCAGGCCAAAATAATTACCAATAGAGTTTTACATATTGCACAATGTATTTCTTCATTTTACTCTGAAAGGTCTTGACATATGTTGATACTAGTTCGTCAAACACTGAAACCAACTCTAGCTAATAAAAAAAACACGTAAGAAGCTGAGTTCTCAAGGTTCTGAGCGGTTTTTAACTTAAACTAGTGATAGAACCAAACTATTTTTTAATAGCAGTGAACAAGTCTCAAATCAAGATGAATATTTCCAATTTGAAGCCCTTTCGTTCAAAGCATATGCACATTGTTTGCAGTCCACCGATGCTGCTGTCCACGGCACCAACACTAACAGTAGTAACCGTGTTGTTTCACATGTATTTAGCATAACTTCCACCAAACCTCACCACATCACCCGGACGCCTTAAGACCTCTGCTACAAGTCTTTTTACCAACAAATCCACAATTTAGGAACGAATGCAGCTTTTCAAAACCAATACAATGTCCACAGTATTGAAAAAGACAGTGAAAAACGCTCTCATCTCCTTTACTTTACCATAATAGACAAAGTTTACTTGTATGTATCTTGTTCTCATACAGTTTGTTTGATCGTTTTTTCACGTCAATCATGCTTAAAATGACTTGATTTCAAAGAATACATTGAGATTCACGTACTTCAGACTATGTTGTATTGAATTGCTTCCATGAAATTGAATATTTTACTGTTTTTTAGAGAAGACAAGCCCAATCAAAGAAACTGCTGGGTTATAAATTGCCAATAATAATCCCTTCATTAATATTCAGGTTCAAATTTTGGATAGGTAATCAGATCTGTAATGTTAGTTCAGCTGACATCTCTATCATGACTATTTAAGCGGTTTTTGACCCAGAATGTCACAGAGACTTAACATTTACACATACATATTTGTTCTGTGGTTGTTTGCAGCGTAAGAAATGTTAAAAATCCAATTGGACCCATTTTGTATCAAGTTATCTATACTTTTAAGGGAAACTGTCTATTTACAGTCCCTTTCCTGATATTTATTCTTATCAAAAGCTGGACCAGTGCATTGGTATTTGATGTAGAATAATATTTGCCCTCAGAGAATTAGAAATAGACTATTTAAAGTTTGACTAAAACTGTAAAATTAAGAACAAAGTGGTCAATTCAAGTCACTTTCAACGAGAGATATGTTTTGTGTTCTTGCCCCTTTGCCAGCTCAACACCATGATTTTGTGTTGCTAAATTTACTTTCAAACAGAATGGGACAAAATATTACCTTATAAACCAGCGCAGTGAAGACTATGGACAGGCCATCTACATCTACCTGTTTTTCTTATGAGCCATAGTAGTTCCAGAAATGCTGCAGCTCCATACCACGTGTCATCTTTAATCATATAAAAAGAGTCCTGAGTAGCCAATAATGCGATGTAATGGATGGTATGTTTATCCTAATAATTACTCTGTGACGCTGCAGCTTGGTGGAATATATCATTGTAGATGTGGTGCATGGAAACTGCTGATATCAACCAATAAACTTCATCAAGTCACATGTGTCGCTCTATCAATCTTTTTCTTTTTTATTAACCTTTTCATGTTCACTCCTTTAAGAAAGCAATGCAAATGTTGTTGTTTTTTTCTTCTACGATTTAGAGCACTAATTACACTTATAATTTGTTTTGTACCCCTTATTTTTATTTATTATTGACCTTTACCAATTGGTTGAAATGCAGTTTGATGATAAAAGTGTATAAAGCCAAGTGACTTAGATTCCCCAGAGTTTACTTCCAAGCTTCAAGTAACTGAGTAATCTTTTATTTACATAGCGCATTTTCACCCAAAGCGAAAATTGTGAACCATTAAAGGGACAAGCATGTAACCCGTTATTATTATGTACTGTAAAATACAGCTGCAGTAGACACTGAGGAGCAGGAACAGGGCTGAGGACTGCAGGAAGGGTCTGAACCTTCAGCTTTAGCGGTGCTTGTCGTGTAGTTTTCTGTCACTGAAATATTTTCTCCCTCACTCTGTCTTGATCATTACTGCTGTTTACTTAAAGAACACTATAGAATACATAACAGATACATGCAGTATTACTGGGATTAAACTAAACTCTCATGTTGACCATCACTACATCACAATAACCTGATGTTAGATGTTGTTTGTAAATATTGTATTACACGTGCACAACCTCTGTCATGGGGGCTCATAAACAAAACAAAGCTAGTTGAGCTACACCCCAAAGAATTGCTGCGGTGTAAATCATTATATGATTACTTGTGCGAGCCACACGTTTCAATTTTACATTTATATTACAAAAATATATATTTTGTTTTCACTTCATAGATGTCTATTACTTCTTTCAGGAGAAGAAAAATTTATGTATAATTTACATAAGATTATTCAGTGGATTACAAGGAAGTCAAACTTCGAAAAGATAAATTCAAGTTTCATTTAATTCTGATGTACATTCCAGGCAAATGGGGAAAATCTCCATGGCAACAACTGGCATCATTTACCACAGGGAAATACTAACAACTATTTCAATATATTAACCAGTTATCATGGTGAATAGTTTGTTTGTGCGGTGAATCTGTAAAAATAGACGTAGTAATTTATTGTACTTACAATATATATATTTTATTTTACTTTGACAACGGAAGTGGAGTGAGGACATCACGCAGAGGCCTTCCACGTTTGTGGAAATATTTGCAGTGTTTGGCTGACGAATTGGTTTAAAGGCTCATATTTTATATATTTATTTACATGTTGTACGATAGATTGGAATAATCAGTCAGTTATCTTTATTTTAGAAAAGGAAACTCGTCGTGTGTTCCAGGTGCAGGTAAGAAAAGTGCATTTGGCTGCTGGTGAGCTAACGGCTATGCTAACGCTAACAATCTAGCTTAATAATGTTGTCGTTAAAACAATTGAACCACACGCATTGGAACTACGCGTTTTGTGAGAGCGTCAGTGTACTAACCTCTGCAGTAAACCACTGCAGTGAACATGTTAGTTGTGTTTTGGTACTTTGTAGATGCGTATCTCAAGCTAACAGCTAAAGCTAACAGCTCGTTAGCATTAGTTTCAGCTGCTGCTCACGTTATAAAATCAAACAACTTCACTTCCAGCAACAAAATAGATAAAGGATAGTTTTCTTTTCAACGACATTTTTTGCATGGTCGTAAAATCATTTATAAATAACATAATCCAATCAAATGTTCTCTGTGTAGCTTGTTGTATGTTTATTTTTGCCCTAGTGATCCAATCATATTTCAGAATTGTGGTAAACATATTTTTCCTTTTCAAAGGTGTATGAAATGTCAAGGCAGAGATCACACTCTCCCAATTACAGGTTTGTCTCCTCTAAAACTATAATGAAAGCTATTTAGTGTAACCATAAAGATGTGTCATTTTTACTTATTTGCCATTGTTATGCTTTGGAGATTATTCTGAATATATTGTATTTTATTTGTTTTACCAGAAGTTTCCCATGGGAAGACCCTGGCTTTGACCCGCAAAACGTTGTTGATCACCTGGACAGAATGCCTGTGGACCAAGAAAGTGGCAACTTTAGGAGAGGAGGGTCGCACAGAAAAAACCCTGGGCGATATGAAGACAGGGGGCCACCAAACCCTGGGCGATATGAAGACAGGGGGACACCAAACCCTGGGCGATATGAAGACAGGGAACAACCACACCCTGGGCGATATGAAGAAAGGGGACCACCACACCCTGGGCGATATGAAGACAGGGGACCATCATACCCTGGGCGATATGAAGACCGGCCACCACACCCTGAGCACATCAATAATCACCCCCAGAGGAATCCCGGGTGGAGGCGAGAGGAGCCTAACGGAGAGTTCAGTGAGAGGTTTAGGGATAGGAGTCCAATAAGACAAGAGAGAAATCAACAGAGAGGGAGAGACAGGGGACAGCAGAGGCGCAGAGGCCCCAGCCACACAGACACCTGGATCCCACACAATCCGATTGTAAACAGGAACAGGGAGATGGATGGCTCCCCTCAGTTTGGGTAAATCACCAACAACACTTGAGAAATCAAGAAAACTCAGGAGAATCTTACCTTTCAGATCCTATCCTTCTTTTTTGTCTTCTGTCGCCTCTTCATTTTGCCACATGCGATTTAGCGGCTTGATAAAGCATTGCTTTCCACCCTGTTAAAACCTTTCCTTATTCAGCCTTTGATATGAAGCATATCAATGTCCAGAGGTATGGATTCAAGGCACGGTGTGCACTGGCCAGTTCAGGTTTTGCAACGTAACATAATGTGTTGTGAAACATCATAATTCTGGGCAAAAAATATCTACACCTTTCACTACATGAAAGTAAAGTCCTGGCTTTGATCCCTGGGAGACTTTCTGAGTGTAGTTTGCATGTTCTCCCTGTTTTTGGTTACGTTCACCTTCCACTAAAAACTTGCAATGTGACTACGGACCATGAAACTAGCCTTGAGATCATTCTGTCGTATATAGATCTTTTAATAAACAGTTTCAGCAAATAATGAAATTAATCATGCAATTTAAGCCCCAGCCAACTGTATTAATGACAAGAATGGCCATGCCTTGAATCCATTTCAGATATTAACTGAATGAATAAACGATGGCCTGACACCAGTTGGAAAAAGGAATGAGCCATTGAGAATGTATAAAGAAAATAGGTTCTGTAAAGACATTTTGTTACCAGCTGTGGGATTGTTGGGAATCTCCAACTAGGTGTTGGTCACTTTAAGTAATCGGAATGGTTGAACCTCAGTCTGGTGTTGGGCCATGTTAGTAGATCATTGTTCAATCTAAAATAATAATTGTGAATCTTCTATTGTTGCTTGTTTTGAACCATTCACCTCGTCTTGTGTCAACACAGGTGCGACTGGGGTGAGCCGCATGAGCAGCGCTTTGCTGCAGATGATCGCAGAGACCAGTTTGACAGAAATGATGGTGGGCCTAAATATCAACAAAACCGAAACCACCTAATGGAAGACAGACCACGACGAGAAGAGAACAGCCCTCGACCCAAAAGCTCCAGGTCTTTGAGCAGGGAGAGCCAATGGGTTCTTCGTTTTGAGGATAATCGAAGTAATGATGGTTACCAAGAACCTGAAGGAAGGCGGAGCCCTGTTCCCCTGCCTAAGCCTAATATCTTCTCCCAATACACGGACAGGCCATCAAACCGAGGAAGACCAGCAAACAAAGGCCGAGGGTTCAACCAGAGAGGAAACTTCAGTCACAGAGGAAGGGGAAGAGGCGCACAGAACCGGCCACAGCAGGACAGAGAAACTCCAAACCAAATGCACAGGGATGAGTTTTATGAGGAACCTGACCCTGTGTGGGATTGTGAAAAACCAGACCGTACATGGAGAGACGGCAGACGAAACCAGGAGGAGGAGAGGGATTTGCAGAGACCAGATTCAGATCCAAGAGAGCAACGTGGACGCAAAGACCCCAAACCCAACATGATGATCATAACGGAGGAGACGATGACCATCAAAGTGGACATGAGTCGACCGGTGAACAAAGACAGGTAGAGTAATGTTCAGAGAAACCATAGAGGTAACTTTAGGAATCGACCAGATGGAGTCAGAGAAGCAGCCATGAGGAAATATCAGACAGTGGCCTTAAGAAAAATATGAATGTAAGTAGTCTTCAATATTAATGAAAAAGTATTAGAACAAAAAATGATAATATGGCATGCATGGACGGGCTCATGTTGACTGCAAGACACCCACAGGAACAAAGTGAACCTGAACCTGTTGAAGGTTTGACTGATGTCTAAAAGAAGACTAACTTGGATCATGGCATGGTACAGCATCGATCGATAATGAAATGGTGGGATTGAAAGGGAGAAGAGATAAGATCATAAAGGAACTCACCATTACTGATGAATGGAAACAATGTAACAGCCTTAATGGACCAGAGATGTAAGAAAATTACAAAGAAAATGATGAAATTATGATGAAATTGCATAGCCTGGATTCCACCCTTTTGCATATGGACTTTCCAAACAGTTGGCAATTTGAGATGTATGAAGAAAGTTTCAGTTCAAGTCAAACGTTACCTGAGAGGCCAGGTAAATTAAGACTCAAGTGAAAGAAGTGAAGAGTACAAGTGACAAAGTTTGAGAATCCTCCCAACTACTGGAATGTGCCTTTTCTTGCATCAAAGCACCTTCCACTTCCTCAACATCTGGGAGATTGGAATGCATTTTTACAGCAGGTTGTCTGGAATCTTAACAAAGATACTTCAGAGATGTCTGCAAGACTACTATCTAAGAGGGGATATGAAGATTAATTGGAAAGCCTGGTTTTTGTTATCAACCAAAAATGGTCTTCGTTTTGACTGTTTTTGAGGAGTTGTCAGTTTTAGCCGCGTTTCCACTGCAGGAACTTCGGGGTAATTGGTCCTGGAAAAAAAAAAACCCAATGACCACAACAACCGGAGCGGTTACGACAGTAAAATAAACAAATGGGTTTGTTGCATGGATCTATAATAACAGGTTTGGCGTAATGAGTTTCGCTTATGCGGCAATCGAAACTCATGACATTGACGAGTGGTCCTACTGCAGTAGAGACACGGACACTGAGGTACCACAGAGAGGAAGGTTCCTGTAAAAGTTCCACTTCGCTCCTTTTACCAGGAACTCCTGCAGTGGAAACGCGGCTTTTGTTGAAGACTATTGACCTCACTGAACGCATAACTCGACCTTCAGAGGTTTTGCTCATGATCTTCTATTCACACAGATGAACAAAGCCCCAGTTGAAACTACATGGATTTGAAAGACTCAAAAATCATCTCTGTTAATCCAGTACAGGACTCGACATTGACGGTTGTCCGCTTGCCCGAGGCAACTAAAGATTTGGAAATGTTTAGCTCACAGTAGTACTTTAAACCATTCAAGCCGGGAACGCATTTCTTCCTCTGTAGCCAGGAGTGGACACGTCTGTTTATCTTTTTTGACCATTTCTCTTCATTGGTCAATTCTCCTGACCAATAAAATGCATCAGGATATACCAGGGATGATAATTCTCTGCGGATCCGTGATATCCGACTTTATCCCAAAGGAAATGTAATTTTTGTGAAATGTGTGACAGCGGGCACTTGAGACTGTTTGGTGTCTGACCAGATTCCACATCCTCCGTTCTGACCCGGGGCAGCTGCGGCCGCTTTGTAATGACAGCGGTTCCAGTGAGCCGCTTTGACAACAACTCTGCGAACGTGCAGCTGTAACGTGGTCATAGTGTACGAGCGCAGGCCATAAACGCGTGTTCAGGACCATCCCCAGCTTGTTGCAAGTGCGGGTCTTTCCCGTGTCTCCGACCAAAGCACAACCAAAACTCACAGAATTGAAGCGAGGGTACCTACATTTTTACACTGCATTACCAATGATTGTTGGTTGTGTACAAAAGTAAAATGTTGTGAACAAATCAAGCAAAACACAGCACAACAGGCAATCTTGTATTCTATTTTGCATACTTAAGAGCCCTGTGGGTCATTATTTGACATTATGGGCTGAGAGTGGATTCTTTGATATTTTTTTCCACAGTTAGTGCTGCTTTATTGCCGTAACTATTTAACTCATTGAAAAATATTTGAGCAAGTAACTTTTGACATTGGTAAATTTAAAATATAAATGGTACTTGTCCAAAGGACAAGGGACTGACAAAGCTCAATGTCAAGGCCTGCTGTAATTTCAGATATCTTAAAATCCAAGAAAAGAAGCCAAAGGAGTTGTGATGTCCACCCTTTTGACTCCACATTCATCCAAGAAGGCTTTGGGATTCAAGGAATAGTTCAACCCAAATTAAACTTTCCAAAATCCCAGATAATTCAAGGCCGTTAGTTTAACTAAACCTCCTAAACCAAATGTGCCCCACTTTCTGTTAAACTAGACAGAATTTTAAGTCATATTAAATCTTCAATGGTTGATTTGTTTTATCACAACCTCACTTTTCTCATTTCTGAAACCCATTGACAGAAATATAATTACATTCACCTTTTACAATAAAAGGTTTTTTGGTGCCATCCAACATGGTCAACTCGGAAGAACTGAAGAACCCAGGATCCAGGATCATACACACATTTGAAGAGGGAACAGTATCACATAAGTTTTATGAGTGACTGCATCTGACTCCTCCAGAAAAACGTGTTTGGACCTGGCATGTTGGAACACAAAGATATTGAATGGACTAATGAAAAAGCCTGAGTTATAAGGAGAATTTCTGTATGAAACATCCATCCATCAGGACCAACACAGTAATGAAGTTATTTCAAGGCTGTTTTCAACATTTAATCCTAACTGAAATGTGTAAGATGTATCCAAACCTTAAGTATGTTGGAGACATAACTGCGTGGCGTGATCAAGAAGTATGTTGTCATTGCTTCGTCCCACTCTAATGGTTGGAAGTGGTGCCATGTGTCATTCTGCATTTCAAAGAACCAACAAGCCTGCAGTGAGAGACTCCATGACCTGTGAATGATGAAGTTGGTGTGAATGCCATTACAGGAATCTGTCTGGAGTCAACATTGGGCAAGCAACCAATAAACAACCAAAACCTGTCTATGGTTACTACGCCATAACAGCCATCAGAAGTCATTGTGCTGAAGGCTGGATGGATTGATGGAGTACATTTCACTATTCTAATCTCCACATGGAAGACAAAACATCCAACAATGTCATATGGGACAGGATCAGTAAAGACATTTTTGAAACATTTGCTCTGAATGTCCAAGGATACTTTGAAATACTTTGGACGATTTCAACAGATCAATTCTTTTCCCCAAAACTCTGTTACGAAATGTGGAGGAATTATTGTGAGTTTGGACCACCCTGAAATCCCCTTGTGTTAACTACACAATTGAAGGAAAACAAATGTCCAAAGCCAAGGAAAGAAATGAAGCTAAATCGGTGTTGAAAATCATATCCATGCCACAAAATGGAGTCCTCTTAAAAAGTCACATGTAAAGGAAGTGGAGAAGTAAAATGGACCACAGCCTTTTCAAAATGTGGGATTTTTGGATTTGCCAATGAAAAAGAGGTTAACAAATGCCATATCTCATTAATTTGAGGAGTTAGCAGTGAGCTTAGGTCTAGTTAGTTTAGAGCTGCTTAGATCAGTACTGTTACTTTTGAAATGCTTGGTCCCACAGGTAAGTCTGGTATAAGCGGTAAGCCATTGTTTTTCTTCTTTTATTTTAAATGTTACTAGAGTGATCTCACATCTAAGTTAATAGTATTTTCTCATTGCTAAAGTAAAAGCTATTGTGAATTTATTACATAATCTATGCAAAATGACAAGATATGGATGAGCTAATTGATATTGGGCTAGCATATCACCAAACACACCAACATAGACACACATTCAGACTCAATTGTTGTCAGAAAAGATACAAATGAAACAATGTGAAATAGTTATTAGCTAATTTAGCCAGTCACACACTCATTCTAGTAGAAGGATAACTGTACAGCCAGTATTCCACCTGTAAAATACGTCTCCGCAAAGGGAACACTTTGTTTCTCCCGTGGGCCGTTTTCAGTATGATCCAAAAATGGGAACCACTTTGTTTAAAGGGATCCTACAGTCATGGAAAACCTTGACCAGTCATGGAAATTAACATCCACTTTCCAGGATCTGGTGTGCAATTTTAATGGGCTTTGGAAAAGTTTCAGCAGTTAAAAAGATTAGGCTTGGAAAGACGCGAGAATCCAATGTCCAGTGATTCTGGCATTACATACATTTTGATCTGAAGTAAATTTAGCTTGACCAAACCTGGAATCTACCTACATTTGTATCCATGTGTTTTAGCGGGATTAAGAAGTGGACATAATTGCTAGCTGAAAAAAAAGTCTCCAAAGATGCAGTCTGTTCTACAAAAGCATCCAACACAGAATTATGACTATTTATTACAGATGTATATGTACTAGAAACATTAGATGTGTTTCTCCGGTTCAAGTGCTAAACGTTGTCTCCGTGTGCAGTTCCGTGCTTTACTCCGCGGCCGGACAGCCCTCTCTCGACTTAGTCCACGTCGGGCGCCAGCGGCTGGACTTCTTGTCGTCTGCAGAGAATCTGGGAGCGAACCGGGCGAACGCCGTGCAGCACACCGGAACGTTCGCACAGGAAATCATCGCGCTGACGCATCTGGTCAAAGGTAGAAACGCGTGCCTCCGGGCGCCAGGTCCACTGAGAACAAGAAGTATATGTTGGCTTTGAGTTGGGCGCAATGTGAAATATTCTGTTTGGCCAAAAGAGTGGTTTTAAAACAAGTGTCACTCAAAGATCAAAATCATAAAATTAGTGGCTAAAAATCTGATGTCTGGAATTACTTTTTCCTCAAGTGTGTAAACTCAGAGCCACCTCCAAAGTCTCCATTGAGATATCAGATGTAGAAATGCCAAAGATATGCAGTAGAGAAAGGCAAATTGTTACTCGAGTCTCCTTGGAGATTGGATTTAGGCGTTTGCTGTGACTCCAAACTGTTAGAATGGTGTAGTTCAGTCACTGCTCAGGACATGGCCTACTAAAATATTCTGCTCTTGTGAAAAATAAGATAAATCGCCCTGAAATATTGGCTTTTTGGAATGTTGTGATGTCACTTGAATTAGAGCTGTAGGTGAAATTATCTCTACTTGCTCAAAAAACCCTTCACCCTAAAAGCACATGTTCACTTTGTGATTAGTGGAAGTTTTAAATATGTTCCGGTTTCAGACTTGTACTTCGGAGGAGAGGGCATCTCGCTGAATGAACGGTTCTCTGCTTCTCAAACTGAGGGACGCACTGAGGACGAGCCGCACGAGATGACTCTGAGTGAGAGGTTCAGCTCCAAACGGTGAGTTTTAAATTCTCTCTGTATGAAAACACAAGAAACCAATGCATCAAAGGCTGGTTTGAAAGTTGGGTTCATCAACTTGAATTAATCCTTTTGTTGATTGTTTGTTTATTTAAAAGGTTAAACGCGCACACAGACAATGATGACGGCATTTTCATGAGACAGGGGCCACTTCAGGTAAAACAGTGTGTGTGTGTTTTTGTCTCTGTGTGTCTCTCTGTGTGTGTGTGTCTCACTGTGTGTGTGTGTGTTTGTCTCTGTGTCTTTCTCTGTGTGTGTGTGTGTGTGTGCTTGTCTCTGTCTCGGATGTTCTTGTCTCATATTATTTTAAAGCGGGCAATCCTTAGTCTAGAGTACTGATAGGGGTTTAGAATGGTTTAGTATGTTGTCTAGTAGAAAGGACTTCCAGACCAAAGAATGCGGCGAGTTTTAACATTTGGCCATTTTCTTGGACATAACTTTCTTAAATGGCTTCTGTGCTGTAGTTGTATTGAAATAGACTTTTCCAACATAAACACAGAACCATATGTCAGTCTTCTCCTCTGCACATGTGACACTGAGCTTTCTCTCTGCAGCTGTTTGGATCTGCGTTTGTGCCGGACCCTGACGACCTGAGACACGATCTGGAGAAGCGCAGACAGGAAAGACTGGATGGGGTCAAAATCACCATCGCTGGAAGTTCGTCACAGCGCCCCCTAGTGCCCAGGTCAGCACATAGGACATAAACGCATGAAGATGTAAATTAAAGCAGTTTATCAGAAGCTTAAACAGGACGTGTATGAGCAGTGTCACCGTGGGTCACAGATGTCTTGAATATAGAACTAAAGAAATACTGAGGGGTATCTATTTGTTCCTTTTTTAGACAGATTTTGGGCCTTTATGTTTTATCATCTGCACGTTTCTCATTTTGTTTGAGAAAAACCTAAAGTAACTTGATGCCAATAATATTTCACTCATCTGAATGCAATTACGTTTATTTAAAGGGTACAATGTACATATAAACTGGGACACAAACTAGATTTTTTCTGTTCGACTTATCCATCACTGAAGTCGAGTTGACAAGTCGATAAGAATAACGCAGACATACGACTGTTTAAAAGACAAATAATTTGTATTTACGTTATCTATAATGATGTACAGCAAAGTGCAGAATAAAACTCATACAAACCACAGGGCATCAACAGCCTTTCCCTATTTTAACCAGTCAACTGCATTTTCTATGGAAATAAATTGAAATAAAGGCATTCAGAACTGAAGCTGGTAGCAAAGAAACTCAACATGTGCCCTAAAACAGACTAATAATTATAATAAAATTGTAAACTCACTCACTTCCTCACGTAGCCACAAATCTGGGGCAGGTGGCTGACACTGCCAAGTAACGGTTTGTCAGTTCGGCCAGATGCGGGAATTTCCTGTGGTTATGGGCTCATAGTCTGTATGTGAGGTGTTGCACAGTCTCGTCTCTGGAGATGAGCGGCTCTCTGCGTCCGCTCTCAGCTCTGTTTCGACTGCAGCCGTGTCCATGTTGGCGTCTTGTGTTTACACAAGACAGATTCACACTTGCGCAGGAGAGCGAAATCAACCCTTGACGAGACAGCTTCTCTAAAATTAGGTCGATAAGTGCCACAGAATTTGACTTATTTATTACTTAATAAGGAAGCTCCGGTAATGCCCTAATGCAAACTAATTTGTTATTTACAATATTTTGTTTATAAAAGGCCATTTTTCTTTTCTCCTAGTTCATAGTTTATTAACATAGTGGGAATGTCTGCAGTATTGAGGACCAAAAATGACTAAAGTATAAATAAATAAATACAGGAGTATATTAATAAATACATTCATTTTGGACAATAAAAACTAAATATTTACATTGATATGCTAAATATTACTCTGAAATCAAATAAATATACTTTTATTTAGGTTATTTATCAATATCTAAATGTTTTCCTTTATTTATCCATTTATTGCATATATTTATTTATGTATTTCTACATTTCTTCATTTATTTATTTATGTATTTCTGTGTCGCTACATTTCTTCATTCATTTATTTATGTATTTCTACATTTCTTCATTTATTTATTTATGTTTTTGTGTTCCTGTATGCTAATTAGGTGGGCGGTGCTGAACTCAATCTAGAACAGGATTGGTTAGGATTGCGTGAACTCTGGTCTCGATCATTACTGCCTCACATTACGGTACTCTGTTAGCTAGAGATCCTCTGTGCACTTTTGTGTGGTATGATGGCAGTTTCGAATGTAAGTTTTTTAGGAGCCATTGCTCATCAATTCAGCATTAGCAAATGATGTTAATGATGTTGAGCATAATGCACCTGAGGACTATCTACTCTTTCGGCTGGAAAGACTATTAAATGTTTTAGTTCATCACAGTGCTGACCCAGAGGTAGACTTTGATGCAACTGTGCTGGACGCTCTTCAACAAGCTATACAGCAGCTTCACATCCTCTCACAAACCGAGAAGGCTAAAGCCAAGCGTACATCGGACTGGCAACTGATTATATCCGTCGCATATGAGTTGCTGTCCCGCACACATCGACAATCTGACGAAAACGGGCAACTCCCAGTCGCAGACCAGTCTCGGGAATAACAGTGCGTACATCGACAGCAACTGGCCTCAACTACAGTGTGTTTTCTGACATAAACTGTAGAGGGCGCAATACACACGTTGTCGGAGCGGCGCATGGAGCGCGCACATCGGGTCATATCTCCGAAACTGAGGACAACTAGTTGCCGAAAAGTAGAACACGGGCAACTGACTGAAACTGGAGACCGACTGTTCATCTCCAGTTGTAAGAGCGCGCACATCGACCGATTTCAACTGATCATCTCCAGCATCTCCTCTCAGTTGCCAAAAGCCGCCTTGCAACTTGTCTCCAGTTTCTCTGTCGATGTACGCTAGGCTTAACTTTGCTTCTGTCTGGTTGCCCTGGCTGACCTACTGCCCACCAATCCTGTTCTAGATTGAGTTCAGCACCGCCCGCCTAATTAGCATACGGCAACACAGAAATACATAAATAAACTAGAAACTTGCAATGGCTGAAGCCATTGCGATTGACTGCGGAACAGATCTAATGTGGAAATCTGCTAAAAAAAATCCTTGAAATCCTTTAAAAGGCCTTGAAACTGTTAAAATACTTGATAGATATTTGAAACTCCTGAAGTCCTTGAAATTGTTGAAACCTTTAAACTCCTGAAATCCTTGAAACTGTTGAAACATTGAAACTCCTGAAATCCTTGAAACTTTTTTTAAACCTGGAAACTGTTGAAAGTGTGGAAACTCCTGAAATCCTTGAACCTCCTGATATCCTTGAAACTGGTTAAATTCTTAAACAGTTGAAATCCTTGAAACTACTGAATGTATTGAAAGTGTCCTTGAAACTGAAAAATCCCCTCACCGCTGAAACAATTTGGTTCCTGTAACTAAGGAAACCTGGTCTGTGGTCATTATCTGGTGGTGGTCTGAGTCTTCGTTTGGGTCTTGGTCTGGTGGTATAATGCAACCTATTAGGTTGCATTATACTGGTTTACATGGAAAAATCCCTATTAGGTTGCATTATACTGGTTTACATGGAAAAATCCCTATTAAGTTGCATTATACTGGTTTACATGGAAAAATCTCTATTAAGTTGCATTATACTGGTTTACATGGAAAAATCCCTATTAGGTTGCATTATACTGGTTTACATGTACAAATCCCTATTAAGTTGCTTTATACTGGTTTACATGTAAAAACCCCTATTAGGTTACATTATAGTGGTTTACATGTAAAAATCCTTATTAAGTTGCATTATACTGGTTTACATGTAAAAACCCCTATTAAGTTCCATTATACTGGTTTACATGTAAAAACCCCTATTAAGTTCCATTATACTGGTTTACATGTAAAAACCCTATTAAGTTGCATTATACTGGTTTACATGGAAAAATCCCTATTAAGTTGCATAATACTGGTTTACATGGAAAAATCCCCATTAAGTTGCATTATACTGGTTTACATGAAAAAATCCCTATTAAGTTGCATTATACTGGTTTACAAGGAAAAATCCCTATTAAGTTGCATTATACTGGTTTACATGGAAAAATCCCCATTAAGTTGCATTATACTGGTTTACATGTAAAAAACCCTATTAAGTTGCATTATACTGGTTTACATGGAAAAATCCCTATTAAGTTGCATTGTACTGGTTTACATGGAAAAAACCCTATTAAGTTGCATTATACTGGTTTACATGGAAAAAACCCTATTAAGTTGCATTATACTGGTTTACATGTAAAAAACCCCTATTAAGTTGCATTTATACTGGTTTACATGGAAAAAACCCCATTAAGTTCCATTATACTGGTTTACATGAAAAAAACCCTATTAAGTTGCATTATACTGGTTTACATGAAAAAATCCCTATTAAGTTGCATTATACTGGTTTACATGGAAAAATCCCTATTAAGTTGCATTATACTGGTTTACATGGAAAAATCCCTATTAGGTTGCATGATTACACTGAAGTCCTTGAAACTGCTGAAGTCCTTGAAACTGCTGAAGTCCTTGAAACTGCTGAAGTCCTTGAAACTGTTGAAGTCCTTGAAACTCTTGAAATCTTGAAACTGCTGAAATCCTTGAAACTGTTGAATCCTTGAAACTGTTGAATCATTGAAACTGTAGAAATGTCTGAAAGAGCTGAAGTCCTATTAAAATGCATGGGCCTATTAAAATGCATTGCAGAATTCTCAATGCAGATTTTTGTCCGATTGCGGAAAAACCGGAAATCGCTGAAGTCCCAAAAGTAATAGCAATAATCTCCCAAACATGTGGAACGTTTTGATGTATAACTTGTGGAAATTGTTGAAAATGTGAAAGCTGTGAAACGTGTCAAAAAAAATGACGGAATAAAGAAATACAAAACCAATGGTTGACTGCGGAAGGTTCCGCAGTCAATCAATAAATGAAGAAATGTAGAAATACATAAATAGATAAATGAAGAAATGTAGCGACACAGAAATACATAAATAAATAAATGAAGAAATGTAGAAATACATAAATAAATATATGCAATAAATGGATAGATAAATAAAGGAAGAAATGTAGATATTGATAAATAACCTAAATAAAAGTGTATTTATTTGATTTCATAGTAATATTTAACACATCAATGTAAATATTTAGTTTTTATTGTCCAAAATGAATGTATTTATTAATATATTCCTGTATTTATTTATTTATTTATTTATACTTTAGTCATTTTTGGTCCTCCATACTGCAGTGTGTCGGCCGCATTGAAAGAACAACATGACTGATGAATGTAAATCCAGATATGAGGCATATAAGGATTGACCAATCAGATGCCTTCATTCACGGGGAATCTTCAGCTTGTTTTACAAACAAAACTTTAAGTTAAAACATTTCTTTCCAGTGAGCTAACGTGCGATCCCAGCGATGAGGTGGAGGACGACTTCTCAAACTGGTCTGAGGAAAACCCGACGAGGCGAGGCCCGATGGTGAGTACCAACTGGAAAGAATATAATGTTTTAATCTGGCTCCAGTGTTTTAATGTTTATATTTATCTGTGATTGAAAAGACTCAGAGAGGAGGAGGAGGAGGACCTTTCCGCTCAAACACGTCTTATCGCAGAAACAACCGACAAATGAGGCGACCAAACTACCGCAACAATAACAATGGAGGTAATTCTCACAAATGTACTGTTCATGAGAGAGGGCGGGAGTCATGAATGTGTATGTTTTACTATGTGTATATAATATGTACACATGTTTTACTATGTGTATATAATATGTACACATGTATCATTACGTGAACATTTTCAGTTTTATTTGAGGAGTATTTCAGGTTTAATTCTCTGGTTTCCAAACTGCTCTAAATAAAAGTCTGAGTCATGGTAGTTTTAGATGTTTAGGTTTTGTAGAAGTTTAGTTTGTAGTAACACCGGTTTCATTTAGAGAACAAAGGGGATTTCAGAGTTATTATATAAAACATATTTGGTTAGATGATATATTTTAATCACTTTATTTATATGTTGTGTTACATCTTTAGACCAGCTGTATGAGATAATGTGACAGATGCAGAGTACATTTCTGTGAAACTGAAGATTAAAGATGTTAAAGAGCCTGGGACTAGTTTTGAAACTGGCTGTAATGTATCTTTGTCTTTTCCCACAGCTCCAAACTGGTGACACACAAACACATTTCAGAGGAGAATCCGACTGATTCCGATCCAAAATGTGACAAGAAATTTATTTGTCTTTGTATATTTTGTAACATCGTCCTTTATATGTTCATTCTGTACATTTCTCACAATAAAATAAAATTGTGTGTCCAGAATGTGGTCTGTTCTGTGCCTTTTTACTCAGACATGTTTTCTCGGGCAGAAGTTGCCCTCATGTGGTTGTATAATCAGCTTTGGTTTCTAAAATAAATCTATACAAGGCTTTAAAAAAAAGACAATTTTATTTCCAAAAATACAAAAGATGACACTGTTAAAATGGATGCTTTTACAATTACACTGGATTTAAAACTATTACAAAACAAATAATTGAAAAATGGTTTAGGTTTCTTCAAAGCATCATGGGAAGTGTAGTCTTGAACAAGTTGTGAAAGGCACATCACATGGCTTCAATTAAAGCGTACACTATTAATGAAGCTAAAACGTTTGGAAATGATCCAACTCCATGAAGACCTTAAACTGCATCTGTGCAACGGTTTATACAGGAAATAGTTTTAAAAAGGCAAAGTCGACACCTGATAGAGGTCTTGCATTTTGATCCACCTTTGTTTTCACATTGATAATTCTATAGCATGTTGGATAACTAGCATGTGCAGTGTCACTGTACTGGTGGTGTGAAGAGGGAGCAGCGTCTGCAGTCTGAGCTCAATTTACTGCTCCATCTAGGTTCCCGCCTCTGGTCATGAGCTTTGGGCAATGAGAAAGGACAAGATCACAGGAGTTTCCTCAACAGAGTATCTGAGTGCTCCCTTACAGATGGGGCGAGGAGCTTGGAGTAGAGCTGCTGCTCCCTTACAGATGGGGTGAGGAGCTTGGAGTGGTTATAGTAACATTAAATTGTCAACTTAAGCTCATTGTCCAGAGAAGTTTTTCTAGTCTACGTTTGCAATAGTCGTAATTCAATCTTTGTTTTCCCTATTAAATATTGTAGTTTAAGTTTTTATACGCACCTGATAAATGATACTATGTAAGAGTTTAGCTTCATTCAATACAGAGCTCTATTTTCCATTCAAACCAAGGCTGCATCATAATTCAAATAAAATGAATCCTTATCTTTCCTTGTTCTTCCATCTCCATTTTGTTTCAGGAAGAACGATTGTCATGATTCCAGACGCATTTCCTCCAGACAATAGCAGTTCTCATTGTACACAGTAGGTGGCGCTCAGGACCACTGCATTAGGACTGTAACCTGTGACTGGGTCCATCCTCATGGGAGCGGTGTGTCTGCATGGATCCTCATGTTTTTAGATGTGGAAAGGCAGGTTCTGTTCTTTGGGTCCTGTTTGGCAGATCTGGAGTCAGTTCAGTTACACGGCTGCGGGCGAAAGGACACCTCCATGTTTTCCTCCATGATGATGTCGTAGCGGCACATCACGGGCCTAAAAACACCAAATTAGAGGAGTTTATATTAATGTATTTTTTGTTTGAAATTACAGTATAGAGACAGGGTTGGGACATGGAAAACCTGCAAATGTCATGGAAAATGTGAATGAAGAAATATAAAGTTAATGCTTATTCTATACTAAAATATTTTTGAAAATGATTGGTAGTTTCATAAACCCAGAGCGCACTGAAACAAACCAAAATAATAGACTTGATTTGGAAGAACTTATGGCGCAGAACGGCTGCCTAGCTTCCATCAGTGGCCGCAAGGGCAGCTGTGGCTACAGTTATGGTTAGCCACTGTGCCGAGTGTCCAAAGCCAAATGCATTTTTAGGTCCAAGCCTAATTATGGATTAAAAGATGTGGTGAGAGTTATGTTCGCCTGAAAATAAATCACGAGTCTGTCGCTCTATTTGGACACAAACTGAATCCACCAGACAAAGCGGATCTGCCGGGTGTAGGTGCTGTTCTGGATTACGTCCTGGAGTCCAAAAGCGGGTCCGGTGGTCAACTCAAAATTGCGTCCGTAACGCTTCTGCTCAAATACTTTAGACCAGTGTCTCCCAAAGTGGGGTCCGCGGAGCCCTGGTGGGCCGCGAGGGTACTGCAGGGGGGCCGCGGGAGGTCATAAAAAAAATAAAAAAATAATATAATTATTTAATGTTAAATTTATAATGTTTTGTTTGTAATATTAAAATATTTGTGTTCATTATTTGACTTGAATAATCCACTGTAATCATTTTTGTATTACAATGTTTGTAGCAGAGGCTATTTCCCCAAAATAAAATAACCAGAAGAGCCTATTCTTAATGTTGTCTTCTTGGTTATTATTTTGGGGGGGCCACACAGACCCGACAGATTTTTAAGGGGGCCTCGGTGTTACTGAGTTTGGGAATGGCTGCTTTAGACTGATGTATCATGTGTTGGAAAAAGAGGTTCTGAAATCTCAAAGGGACTATCTTGCTTTTATTCAAATAAATAAACCTTTAGAATCTGAATTTGCTTCATATAATTGTACTCGAGTATTTCTTATGTCTAATTATCCCTGAAGGACCAGGACATAACAGGACTGATGTCGTCCACATGGTTCCTGTAGTGACTCCCCTCTGGTCCTCTGTGGTCTGCTCTCACCTGTGGGGCTGGTCCAGGGGGCTGAAGCGGACCCTCATCAGTCTGATCTTGTATCTGGGTCCGATCACGTTGCCGGTGTTGATCCTGAGGCTGATTTTCTGAATCGAGGAAATGTCGTCATCAAACTCTGCCAGGAGCCGAGTGGAGGTGAACTGCTCGAAACGCAGGAGTTTACTGGAAACAAACAAATATGAAAAGTTAGACCCTCGCTGAAGAACTAGTACCACTGAAGTACAGGTACCATTGAAGTACTACTGTAGTACCACTGAAGTACAGGTACCATTGAAGTTCTAGTACCATTGACAGCATGTAATATTTCTGGGGTCTTTCCGTCACTTGTTTGTGTTCAGCTTTGACATTAATCCAGTTTTAGTAGACTAGATCCAGTACATATTTTCCATCTGCAGTAAAACCACATTGGTACATTTGGAGAAATCCCTCGGGGTGAAGCACAAACTACAGTTATTTGACATGTAATTTTAGATTGTTTTGTCTTGTCATGTCAAAAACTGAAATAATTGAATGAATAAATAATCACTATGTGTGTCTGTAAATATGAAACCCCAAAGACGGTGCATTAGGATGATTGTCCTCGCCGGTCTGAGACTCACTGGTCGATTCTGGCCTCTGTGACGCTTTTGCCGCTGTGGAACCGTATATAGACCACGCCCCAGCGCAGGTACTGGTTCCACGTGACCAAATCCACTCTGTAGCTCAGCTCTGCACAAAACAAACAGTTAGTTAAAGGTAAAGCCTCAGCCATCCTACAGAAAGTAAAGCAGAGACTGACTTCTGTACGGCAGGGTGGACGAGGTGCTGAAGAACACTTTGGTTTGTCCTGCTCGGATCAGAGCCTCTCTCCATGGACTCATGTCGTACACTGTAAAACAACACACGACAACACATTATCAACAAGTCACCATTAACACTCAGCTCTCATTCAAACCAATAGGATTCTGGGAAAGCGCCCCAAAAATGGGAATTTATACAGTTTTTTTTCTTTTACTCAATTGACTTAAGTGCTAAAACTGGTCATTATAACTTAATATTTAACAAATATTATTATTATTATAGATCCATGAGCCATACACACACGTACGCACACACACACACACGCACACACACGTACGCACACACACACACACGCACACACACATTATCATGATCATACTGTACAGATACTGATATCATCATCATGTATAATTTTACATCACAGTTGCCTGTCTCTTTTGTGATCCATAAATGACTAAATAAATAAATGAAAAAACGAAAGAAAAAGTAAAGTAAGAAAGAAAGAAAGAAGTTCGCTCTCCACTCCTCACTGTCTTTTACCCTTGAATCTTTTATAATACCTTCCTTATTCCTCATCCATTATGGATGTTTTATAATTTCTCTCTTACCGAGCTTGGGGCAGGGCGCTGGTCTGAAGGCTTCACACTGGAGGCATTTTGCGTCTCGAAAGTCGCTGTATGACGAACAGGGAAACGCGGTGATGGAGCAGGTCTGGTTCAGGGCGCAGAGATACAGGAACACTGCCCTCTGGTGGTCACACACAAAATACGACTTTCCTAAGAGAGAAACACACGAACATGAAGGAAACTGGTCCAGAGACACATACTGTGGATTCAAAGTGTGCAAAAACTAAAATGTTCAACAATATGAACATATGTGATATTAAAGCTAGTTTACAGCCTTGTAGTACATAAAAAAATACTATTTTTTGTGTGTGAAAACTTACAACTTCCTTCCAAACTACAACTGTGGTGTTTGTAGTGTGTGTCGAGTATCAGGGTTTAACAACACTACTGCTGAGTGGGTCGACACCGGGCCATAGAGTGAAGACACAAGACAAATAGATATGAATTGGTTCTAAATGATGAAAGAAAAATATTGACTTAAAGTGATGTATTTTGATAAAAAAATTGGCAAAAGATGCAGAAAAGCTAAAAAAAAAATCTTTTTAGATTTTCTGCATCTTTTTCATCAGTAAGATTATAAAGACAGTACATGTAGAAACAAATGTAGTTATGTCAGGTTTTGTAAAGAGTAAGTAGATTAATCAGATCTAGTGAAGTTTATTTATTTATGTATTGTTTATTTGGTTGGGACAGTACATGTTAACTCCAGATTGTACTAATTTTCATCAGTTGTCCCACATTCACACTCATTCAACCTGAACTATTGTGCATGTTTATAGTGGTAGGGGAAACCGGAGTACCCGGAGGAAACTTATGCAGACACGGGGAGAACATGCAAACTCCACCCAGAAAGGCCCTGTTCCGACCGGGATTTGAACTCAGAACCTTCTTGCTGAGAAGCGAGAGTGCTATCCACTCAGCCACCGTGCCGCTGAAGTCGAATCAGACTTCACTGTCTGAGAATGTTCCACTTTACCTGCAAAGATGGTCTTGGGGCACCCTGGCTGGTCGGCTCCTCCGTTTGCATAAAAGTCAATGTGGCCGTGTGCGCCTCTCAGCCCGAAAGCTGCAGACGGAGAAATGTTCAGAAGAAAGAATAGAGCTTTTTACTATTATTGAAGAGGTCCAGATTGTTGTCTATAGGAATTATGTCTCATGGATGAAGCTAAAATCTACTCAAGACCATTTAGATTAGATTTCTTTACGAAAGCTGAGGTAAACAACTTCCAATCCACAAAGAATACTTTGTAAAAAAAAAATCTATTTAACCAGTTCCTCGCTCTCAAAACATTTAGTTCATATGTCCATTTTTTTTTTGGCCACAGTCACATCTGCCAGTTTTTCCAGACAGAAGCATAGAACCCCAGCTTTAGTAGCAATATGTAAGATTTTCATGTCATTATTAAACTTCCCAAATCTGTCAAAAGGCATTAATAAAACATGTTCTTTTCAAATACTTCTTTAACTGATAACAGTAGTTCAGTTGGGATATTTGAATTTCAAAATTAGTTTAACAGCTCCTAAATCTTGTTTTGGTTTTCATTTTGATGTCCCGCCCTCCACCGTTTCACCAATCAAAAAGTCCATGATCGGGGATTGCCAGAACTCACTGCGGCTAGCTAATCTCACTGGTAAGTGTACCATGTGGCCACAGTTCTAAAAAATGTCTTGTTATGATTCTCAAATCAAGGAAACAAGGAATAAAACCAAGATTTCAATCTTTGTGAAAATGGTTGGTTGGTTTGTTGGTTATAGATTTGTTGTTGAGAAAACTCTTTATTCAGATATTTGGTTCTCAGCTGGATTCGTTTGCATATCTGGCAACCTGAGTCAGGGAGAGTGGGAGAGGCTGCAGTACCACTTTTGGCCAGATTTTTACTGCTCCTTTAAGGCTTTTTACTGCTCCTTTAATGACCTGCTATAAATGTGAGGTGAATAACAAAGTTGAATGAGATGTTAGTGTAGAACTCACAGTCCATGTCCGTGTGCAGGACGTCCACAAACTGAGCGTCAGATGGATCCAGTCTCTCGTCTGGACCGGCGCTGGTGAACATGGGTCCAGCCGGGTCCAGGCCTGAACAGGTTTAAACAGGTCACCAACACAGTCCTCTGCAGCTCAGGTCTAAACATGAGGTCTAAAGTTTGGTCTCAGTTCATACCTGTGATGCGGCCGATCTTCCCTTTCAGCTGCGCTCCCACAAACCCGGCCAGATGAGCCCCCAGACTGACCCCGATCAGGTGGATGTGGTCCAGAGACGCTCCCTCCTCCTGGGGTCACACAGATAAGGAGAGCTCACAGTTACAAATCCAGGTTATGTGGTAGCTTACAATCTATAAAGTATTATTGGTAAAGGACAAAGGACAAAATCTAATGGACATGGTTTTTTCTTAAGGCACAGAATTCAAAGCCCTCAAAGTCCCACCCATAGACTGTCTACAGATGGACAATGCTAACCCGCTAACTCAATAAAACCCACCAGGAAAGTCCCGCTCTGGCTCCTATTGACTTGCATTGAAAAGTAAACTCCTCTAGCTCAGGGACCGTTTGCGTCACACTCACAATTTTGGGATCCAGATATCTGTGGTTTATTGCTCTCTGTGATCCTGGTGTTGTTTTGTAATGATGTCTTTGTAAATCCAGATATGAGCCATAAAGATTGACCAATCAGATGCCTTCATTCACGGGGAATCTTCAGCTCGCCATGGCAACCAATTAGCAACACGCCTGCCTCTGTTACGGTGTGAAGCTAACCCGGTTGGAACAAATGCCCATATAAGGAAATTGGCTCCAGCTTTATGTTCAAATCGGCTTCTTCTGCATTAAGGCAAACACTCTGGTGACCGTCAGAGCTCGGACCAAATGACCAAAAGGAGAAATAAACAATTAATCAGGCTTCACTAGAGACTGAGAGGGTGAGGGTTGTTCAGACCCACTCGTTTTGGCTCCATTCACTCTTACTCAGCTACTCGTATTTTGAGAATGTCCTAGTAACTGACCAATCAGTAGCCTTCAGCCCCAAAATAATGGCACCAGTCCTGTTCCTGATTGGCTCTTTGGTTGCTGGGCAGTTGTTGTGTTGGAATTTGGCTCCAGATTCCCGCTCATAGAACCGACTTTCATGGTCGACGTCCGCTCCAGCTACAGTCTGTGAAGTCACTTTATCTAAATCTATGCATGTAAAAATCTATTTATCTGGTTTTAAATATACATGTATATCTAAAAATGCATAAATGTCTCTGAACCGACCTGCATGGTGAGGATAAACCCGGTGAGATTCTGCGCCGCTTCTCTGGTGTAAGTGACGGCGGTGAAGTAGTTGAGGTTCGCCGCACCTTTGTTCCAGTCCATCACGATCACGTTCATGTCCTCGTGGGCCAACAGCAGCTGCACCACCTGGTCGATCCAGATAGGGGGCGCTCCGGTGGGCCTGTAGCCGTGGATGACGAAGGCGGTGGGGAGCGAGGCCTGGAACAGCGGCTGGTCGGACGGGTGGCGGTGCTGCAGCTCCCGGCCGCACTCCGGGTTGGAGCGAGTGTAGAGCAGCAGACGGACGTACAGAGACGTCCCCATGAAGCAGTGAGACAGGTTCAGGTCCGTAAAGTCATCGCACAACTCCGAATCCCCGCTCTCCTCGTCACCTGAACGCAACACCGTACATTTACTGTTATTTATTGGTCAAGGAAGCTAACGACTAAACAGTTATTAAATCATGTTTTGCGATATTTGCTTTAGCCACATTTGTCCAGATAAAACCGCCGTCTCTGCTACATTACATCATGAAAACCTCTGGCGTATAGTCAAGTGCTGCCTATATGTGGACAATATTGATTTTCTTTTAACATTTAGGTGGTGCGACTTATAGTACAGAAAGTATGGTACAGGAGAGCTTTTGACCAATCACACGTTTAGACCCGCCCTTTCTGTCTAAAAGCTCCTGTCTGAGTCCCGTAATAGTGTGATGTCATTGTACCACTATGACATCACACTCAGAGCAGCTTTCTGCCTTTAAAAAGAAATGATCCTACGGTCAATGAGGATTACAATCCAAACTGCTGTTGATTGATACCGTGTAAACGCCACATTAAATAACAGGTTTTTATCATTCCACCTGAGCAACACACAGCAATGAGTAACAACATTTAACTTTAACTAAAATTGAAAAAATGGAAGAGTAAAAATAAAATAAAAACTTTGCTTTTTCACCTTTGTTTGTGTCATGTAATTATTAGTCATGGCAACGGTTGCTAAGGAGCTTTTGCTGGCTCTTGACTCATAAAGCAGTCTCTTTCCTCACACATGTTTTGACCATAGTATAAGTGGATCAAACAGCTCAGAGTTTTGTGGATGTATGTTTTAAACAGACTGTAGAGAATTTTATGGATGTGTTTGCAGCCCGAGTATACTGTATCAATAATTGAAGCTCAGTAGGTCTGTGTCCGGTTTGTGCTTGGATGGGAGACATCTGGCAGGTGCCACAGCAGGAAATAGTGAGGTGCTAAAGTGGAAACTGTTGTTGCAAGACACTTCACCCACTCTGGTTAAACTTATCATTTAGTCGGCCTATAGTTTGAATTGTGTGTGCAGATGGCAGTGAGAGGAGCAGATGGCTCAGATTAGCCACCTTGCCCCTGACAGTCTACCCCAGGGCAGCTGTGACTACTGTAAAGATTAACCACCTGCTGTTCAGATTACATTATTATTATGTCTATATCTTGTATTGTTGTTTGATACAATTGTTGTTGTCCATAAAAATACATTCATTATAATCTGATTGTCTAATCTGTTGTAGTTCCTCAGAATACATTTTTATTCTTGCAGTAAAAAAAAACAAAATGATAGAGGTTTTAACAAGGACTCTCAGAGGGCTGGTGAGGCTTTCATAAATAATCCAGGTTTTTGTCTCAACAGAAAGAGTCTCGCAAAAGTAAAATGTTGTGAACAAAACAGACCACAACAGACCATGCTGGCCTCATCATGTTATTTTTTGCATTCTTCAGAGAAAGAGCCCTGTAAGTCACTACTTGACACTCAAGAGCTGACTTGCTGTGCTTGTGGTCCTCTCTTTTTCACATAGATGAAATAGATGAGCTACTGATGTGACCGAAAATATACGTTTGAAAACTAGTGATAGAACCAGCTGTATTGAAAGCGTGGAACTAGTCTTAATGCTACACTATGGAACATTTTTGCCCCTTTACCATAACTGTTAGCACACCACCATAAAGCAAATGCATGCATTAGCGTTCCCGTTGGCACAACCACAACATTAGCTCAGGATTCTACTCTGCAATTAGCAGGAGTCCAACACAGTACTGCCCTCAATAGGATCAGCCTGCTATAAAAAACACACTCATCCCTTAGGTCCGCCCCTGCGCTGACATTACAGGCCATCACAGCTGTCAGTCAATTATAAAGCTAGGCGGGACTTTTTCCTCAAGGAAACCCCACATTATGAAAGTCTGAGCCCAAGTTTTAGTTTAACTTTGACAGTAAAAGCTGAGTAAAAATGTAAACAAGGAAATAATACATTGTTGTTGTTTACTATTTGCTAGTTTTAGTAAAACCAGAAAAGCAATCATAATTTTTATTTTACATGTATTTTAGCTGTGTAACAATACCATTTTTTAATAAATATTGAGCATGAGCCACCGTCCAGATCTTGAAGATTCGACGTGGAATTACAAGTAGAATTACTACTTGAAATTCTAAAGTTTTATTCATTTGTGTAGCTAAATATCACAGTCAAAACACAATTTCAAAGTGCTAAAGTGAAAAGTGCTTACCTTTGCAGATGATAAGAAATCCCAGTAGATAGAGCAGTCTGCACAGATTCATCGTCCAAAGTTAAAGAGCAGAGATCCTGTGTGAGATGTGCGGCTGAAAGAACGCAGACGCACTAAGCTGCAGAGGAGGAGAGACTTAGGACCGGATCACTTCCAGAAGAGAGGAGGAGACTGTAGAGACTGAGGAGACTGAGGAGACTGTGGAGACTGTAGAGACTGTAGAGACTGTAGAGACTGTAGAGACTGTAGAGACTGTAGAGACTGAGGAGACTGTAGAGACTGTAGAGACTGTAGAGACTGTAGAGACTGAGGAGACTGAGGAGACTGTGGAGACTGTGGAGACTATGGAGACTGTAGAGACTGAGGAGACTGAGGAGACTGTGGAGACTGAGGAGAGTGAGGAGACTGAGGAGACTGAGGAGACTGTGGAGACTGAGGAGAGTGAGGAGACTGAGGAGACTGAGGAGACTGTGGAGACTGAGGAGAGTGAGGAGACTGAGGAGACTGAGGAGACTGTGGAGACTGAGGAGAGTGAGGAGACTGTAGAGACTGTAGAGACTGAGGAGAGTGAGGAGACTGAGGAGACTGTGGAGAGTGTAGAGACTGTAGAGACTGTAGAGACTGAGGAGACTGAGGAGACTGTGGAGACTGTGGAGACTGTGGAGACTGTAGAGACTGAGGAGACTGAGGAGACTGTGGAGACTGAGGAGAGTGAGGAGACTGAGGAGACTGAGGAGACTGTGGAGACTGAGGAGAGTGAGGAGACTGTAGAGACTGTGGAGACTGAGGAGACTGAGGAGAGTGAGGAGACTGAGGAGACTGAGGAGACTGAGGAGACTGTGGAGACTGTGGAGAGTGTAGAGACTGAGGAGACTGAGGAGAGTGTAGAGACTGAGGAGACTGAGGAGAGTGTAGAGACTGAGGAGACTGAGGAGACTGAGGAGACTGTGGAGCCTGTAGAGCAGGGGTCTCCAACCTATAGCTCGGGAGACACAAGAAGCTCACCACCCTCTTCCAGGTAGCTCGCCAAAGGTTTTAGAAGCAACAAACAAATCAAATAATATACTTAATATTTCATTTTGTATTATTCATTGCCATTATTTGTGATTGTAAATACACTTACTTTGTCACTAGTAACAAATATGTAATGATTCACGCTAATATATCACCACATTTTCCCCAGAGTAGCTCTCTGCCTTTGTCATCCTGGAAAAGTAGCTCTCTGGGTGAGAAAGGTTCCATTCACTTCCTACAGCTTATATGAAGATGGTCCAATACCTGAAAAAATGACTATATACGTGTTTTGTTTTCTTTTGCATCCCAAGAAAGAGTAGCCTGAGAGCTGATTGGCCGAGTGAGGGTGGTTTTGTCTTTTTCACTTTTCTGCCGGAAAAAAAGTTGATTAATTGAAAACAATATGGAGCCAAAAAGCAGCTACATTTCACCAACAAACTGGCAACCCAAATGAGAGAATCTGCTCTCTGATTGGATCATCTTTTACTTGTGTGATTTTATTGTTTGAGTTTTTGATATTTCTTATTTCTTGTGATCTAAATGTTGGTTTTTGTGGGATTTTATATGTATTTCTTATGTTTATGTAGATTTTAAAGTTTATGAATTATGCCTGATGATTGTGAGGCGCTTTGTGTTGCCTTTAGTAAAAAAGGCATTCAAATAAATGTTGATTGACTGTTAATCTGATTGAACATTGTAAACACAAACAGTATTTTTAAATTAATTTCACAACTCCAGTTCACACTTTGGTTCAGAAAAGGTCAAATATTGCATCCGGTTGTGACCTGTATTCTGGGGATACACATAACACTAAAATATTGCACACTGTCTCTTTAAGTAACTGCAGCTGATGTCAACAAAGCTGCAAAATACAAAATGTCTTATTTTACAAACTATGTTTTTGTAGAGAAAGAGTGAAGATACAGTAACTATTGTAAGTGAAGGTTGGCACTTGAACTCGTATGTATTTATGTTAAATTACACATGTTTAAGGTCGGGCTGGTGCAGAGAGAGGGCAGGGCGCGTGTGGTCTGAGCTAATGATATCCAAAAACTGGGCTGGATCCAGTCTAACAACCACCTACAGGACTCAGCATCCCCCAGAGACTGTTCCAACGTACTATGGACCATGTTTGGTTCATTTGGTCTATTTAAGAGCGACAGTGGCTCCGCTGGTAGAGCATTGGCCTTTGAGCCTTAAGGTTGTGTGTTCGAGTCCACCACAAAACTTTCTCCACTGACTTCCACTGATATCTGCTGTCGTTGTGTCTTTAGGCAAAACACTTCACCCACATTGCCTTGAATGAGTCTGGTGTGTGTGTGAATGGTTGGTGGTGGTGGTTAGAGGGACCGATGGCACATACTGGTTGCCTCTCTTCTGTCAGTGTGCCCCGGGGCAGCTGTGGCTATAATAGTAGTTTATCACCACCGTGTTTGAAGTGAAAGAATAATCACATGTGAACCATCTTTGAGTGTTAATAAAACGCTATATAAAACCGATTATTATAATTTTACCTCTGCTGCTGTGACCTGAAGTGCTATTGTTTATTATTCCATTAGTTAGCTTTTTAGAAAGATCAATTTATTTGTTGTGTTGGTGAAAATGGATGTGATTTTTCTGCTACTGGACTCGCACCTACGGCTAAATGCTAATGCTTTTGCTCCATAAAGTTTAACATTTAAATTATATATGAGTTAAGCAAGAGGCATTTATTTTGGACAATACATCCGAACACATTCAAAATAAACATGACATGAAAGTGAATTCACAGACGTATAAAGAACACTTACGCCTTGGTCTGTTTTATTGCTTGTACAATCAATGGAATATGTAGATTTTATTTATACATTATTGACAGTCTGAGTTTTGTCTCAAAGAGGCCACAGCTGCACATCTCTAAGTCTGTGTCTGAGTCTGTGATGGACAGGTGATCCCTCTGAGGTCGCAGTGTTCCAGTTAAAGAGCTTATGCTGCGTTCAAGTGTCTCCCGGAAAATGAGTGTTTTCAGTTTGACTTGGAGCCAAAGTGAAAAAGAACAGCGTCTGTTTCTCAATGTGGCGTTTAAACTACAGTCTATGGTTCAAACAGCCTGTATGGATTTGAGTAATTACAGATATATTGAACAGCAGAACTTAAAGTGCTTTACAATTAGTTTAGAAGTTATATAAAAAAAATATGTTGTCCATACCACAACACTTGTCCATAAAGATGAGATTTGTGCATGAATTTTTATACAAACGATTATCCACAGAAAATGTATAATAATAGTAAACAAGAAAGTCTTTGCATGGTTTGAATTGGATTGGTCGAAGCAAAATGTTGAATAGTTGTCCATGTACCCAAATTCCCCCTAGTGAGCAGTGTGTCCGCTTCTCCAGAGTAACCATTGGCCTCTTGTCTGCATCGGTTTTGTCTTCGGGCCGTGAGTTTGGGCAGACGGTAGTGTCTTGGTAGATTTGCAGTTTCGGTCAAGCTATAACTGGTTCAAAGCTGCAGTAATAAGCTCATAACTAGACTATTCAAGAGTCTAAATGGACTTAACTTTCATGTTTCCGTTCCCGTCTCTAAGCTGTGGTTATGTAGTTCACTGGATTATCACCAGCACTGGAGATGGACACGTACTCATGAGGGGATAATAAAATGCCTCTGTGTCTTTCTACATAATTGGTTTCTTACTTTTACACCTCTGGGTAATGTCTTGATTATTTATTGATACGGTAAATCTGAACAATCTTACCAATTTTTTAACCCATAAAGTACCCAGAGCTCTACGTTCCAGCCAATTTTGGAAATAGGGGTTTGGTTAAATGATACAATATTAAGGGTCAGAACACAATAACAGACAATCTCAAAGGTAACATTCAACGCAAAATGCCTTTATTAAAATAGTAAAAAAGACAATTATACGTATGAACACTTTTTCAGTGCAAACGTGCAAAAACTGTTACTTTTGTATATTATATATTTCATTAACACCAGAAAATGAACAAGAAAAAAGTCAAGTTCAATGACTAGTATACCTACCCCCTGGGGATCTAAAATGTATTCATAAAAATTAGTAATCCAATTCAATATGTAGTGTTCATAGAAGTTGGCATTAGATTTGCTACTTAGTGAGCTGGTGGACGCGCAGGGAGTGCTTTTGCCGATACGGTACGGTTACCCGCTTGAAGGTAGATAAGGTGCATTCCTGAGAGGAAGTAACTTCTACAATAAAACATGGAAATACAATTAACAGACTCTTACCTAAACACAAAGAGAAATGTGTTTATCTGGCTTTATGTAGTATTCTATTCTATCTGGCATGCTTTTAAATGGACATAATGCCAGATAGTATTATATTCTATCTGGCATAGGATATAATACACACCGTGAAAAGGTGACGCAGGAGAACTGTGGGAAAGGTAGGCGTGTTTGGCCAGTGTATCCTTTTTTATCACAAGGAGGACAGCCACATGTCAAAATAAAATGATCAAAACAAACAAAGCCACAACACAATGCACCCAGGAATCACTGTCATTACTCAAAGTACTCTGTCTTATATTTATGTGTAGTTTTTTCCACCTTCATCTGACCCACGTGAAAGCAAACATCTATAAAACAGATGTGTTTATTGTCATACAGCTATATTTGATCAAAGTGTTCCAGCTGGGTACGCCACAGCAAAAAGACTTTAAAGTGTTGAATACAATGTTGTTTTGACATGTTTTTGCACAGTGGAAATGATGCTCTAGACAATCAGTGTAGAGCTGACAGAATGCCCAATGCAAAACAAAGGCCCAGGATGTAGACAGAGCCCTCTGCTGTAGTTTCATGTGATGTGAGACATGACTTTGGCCATGATCTCTGTGGGGACCGCGGTGACGATGACGGAGGCGGAGCTGTCCAGACACGACAGCGACTGAAGGAACCGCAACTGCAGCGCGATCGGAGACAGAGACAAAGCCGCCTCCTTTAAGGCTCGTGACGCTCCCAGTTCCCCCTGTGCCGCGATCAACTGAGACACACAGGGACCAGTCTTATCAAGCCTCTAATCTGCACTGGGAACTATTACTATTACTACATTATACTTGTTCATTATAACAATGATGTATTATTTTTTACAGCCTTGTGGTTCTTTTTACGCAATTCAAAATAATGGAAGGTCTAATCCATGTACTGTAGTGTTATTTTTGTCAATTTGCAAAATGCATTTTAGATTTGAAGCCACAATCACAGACTGCAGATTAACATTGCATAATGAGTTGTTCTTTTGCAAATAACAACGTTTATTTGAAATGTGCAATTAACAAATTGTTATTAGATAAATTAAGATTGAAAAAATTATCTTGAAAAACTATATCTATCTATCCGCAATCACAATAGTTGTAAGAAAAATCTACATTTTGCAAAAAAAAAATCAGTCGTATTGAAACTGCTTTCACTCCTCCTCAATACATCTTCATTCATGTCCCCTTAAAACCAGTCTAGTCCCTGGAGTCGTACCTTGGTTCAGTCTAGTGCCTGGAGTTGTACCTTGGTCTAGTCTAGTGCCTGAAGTCGTACCTTGGTCCAGACACGTCCCTGGAGTTCTACCATAGTCTGGTCTAGTCCCTGGTGTTGTATTTTGGTCTAGTCTAGTCCCTGGAGTTATACCATGGTCCAGTCCAGTCCCTGGTGTCGTACCTTTGCTCGTGCCATTCTGTGAGCCTCGGCCTCCAGACTCATGGATTGCAGCAGCTGTGTTGGTAAAGACAAACCTCTGAGCTCCACTCTCTGCACACACACTCCCCACGGCCTCGACACCGCCTCCATCGCCCCCTGCAGGACACCGACACAATTACAACACCAGAGCTGGACATGAAATATGAATGGAGGTGGGACAGGCTTCTGTTGTTGTTTTTAATGCGTCTTGAAGTAGGAACGAATTATTTGTGATAATTTTTTGCCCTATTTGAAGATGAATAGACACACAATTGATAGTTTTTATCACACGATTTTTATAATGTGTAATAAAGTTAAATAATGTCTCAGCATATACAGAAGTGTTTGAATCTTTACACACCCACATTCCATTGTTTTGGACACATTTTGGAGATTTTGACAAAGAAACTTGTTTTCCTCTGCTCTGGTCTGGATTAGAGTAAAACCAGAAACCAACCAGAAACATTTACAGGTAGAAAAAAGCACAACAAATAACAATTGTAAAGCACAAAACAACAACTGTTTCAGAGCCACTTCAAGCGCATTCAAAAAGTAAAATTATGATTATGATTATCATTCATAATCTTCAAAATATGACAACCAAAAATATCAGAATTTCTGCTCGGGTGTGCAAACTTTTGAGCACAACTCTAGTTTTTAATTGAACAATAGAAAGCACACATGTTCACCTCCATCTTGGTGGCTATGTGGCGTCTGTGCGTGAGGAGCTGCGACAGGGAGTGGGCCCCGATGGCGGCCCTCAGAGTGGTCTGACTCAGCAGCTTGGTGAGCAGAGGCCCATCTTGAACCCGAGTCACCCACAGAGCCGGCTCCAACACGCGGTAAAACACCACCGCATCCACCAGGAGAGGCACAGAGTCTGCGGTCAGCACCTGAGGAGGAGAGACAGCACTGAGTTACTACAGGATGGAACAGACTCAAACACAACAGTACCTTTCCATTAAATTAAAAGATAATCAATCAACTTGTTAATCTATGTCAGTTCTGATCAAAGTTTGAACATTACTCAGTAGATTATCCAATCCGATACAGTCTCTTGTGAGGGTTGCCAGTTTCTTGGGTGAAAATCAGATGGTTCTTCACTCCTACCAAGATTAAAAGAGAGTGGAGAAGCTACATATGGTATGTTTATGCTATCCATGCTGAAAAAAACACTGTATTTTTACATCTGTAAGAGAAAAAAACTACATCTGGCAACACCTACTTTTGAATACCACTTTTGAAGACCCTGCTGAAACTCTAGATAGCATTTAACCACTGCTATAAAGTATCTGCTGTGTTGGTAAAATGTAATTTATTTGATAAATAACTAGTTTAAGAAGTGTGTTTGTGACCTGCTGTGGCTCAACGTAGAGGCAGATGGTTCTCAGGTCGACTTTCTGAATCGTGTCGAGCCACGGGATAATCCAGAATAAACCTAAGCACAAATATTTTAAATCATGCACACAGGTACAGTTCTTGATTTACTGATCCCCATGTGGAGATACTTGAGTGGACCTTGGAGATAGCAAGAACATTATGATTTATCACATTTAGATTTTTAAATAAACTATGACTAAACATTAAAATAACTTGTGAGAATCAGTATTTTTGAATGGCAGGTTCATATGGATAGATATTTAGTGCATACAATACCTGGTCCTTTGACTTTGGTTTTAACAAGTCGTCCCAGTCTGAAGACCACTGCTCTTTCATACTCCTGAGCGATCTAAAACAAGGGGCAAATATTAGCATTATAAAAAGTGTTCACAGTGCGCTCTGGTTTTACACACATTCTTATCATCATGTCACATTATACAGGCAAACTTTTATGTTATCTTTTTTACATTCACTCCTTGAAGAAAACAATGGAGTTTCTTCTTTTGTGGATTTTCTAAGATGTGGGACACTAATAACACAAATATTATTTTTTTCTAACCCCTATTTTGTTTAACTATGAGCCTTTACCGAATGGTTGAGATGCAATATGATGGTTAAAGTGCCTAAAACCATGTGAGATGCCCCAAATGGGTAGATTTAACTTCCAAGCATGATTAAAGTAGATGAAGAAACCGTTAAAGGGTTAAAGACTAAATCTACTAACACTAAAGTAATGCATTTGCTATTCTCAAATTTCAATTTCATTACATTGTGTTTTTTATTAGGCCCTGAGCTGCCAGGAACTATGTAATTTTAGTACAACTATTCTTGACATGGTCTAATTCACATACAGTAGGTATTGGTCCATAGGGAGAGACCAATGTCCATGAATGTAGAGTGTCCTGGACCATCACCACAGTCCTTCTTGTTAGACACTAACAATCTAACAGACCCTTCTGCATCGGCAAGGAACAACTCTAAAATCCAGGGGGAGAAAAGTGAGAAACCTCAGTGAGAGAGAGATCTGCTCAACACGGACGGACGGTTTATAGATCTAGGTAATTTCCATAGATACAGAGTGGAAAATAAATGTTCTTGACAACCACTTTTGACCACTGACAAGAAGCAAATTATAGTCTATTGATTGATCCATAATTCAAAATGAATCCAGCTGTCAGCGGTGTTGTTTGCTACAGTTTGATCCTGACCGTGTGTGTTAGGCTTTAGAGAAATAGTGATTGCCGAGAACATTTTCTTGAGAGATAATCAGACAACTTCACTATTCATATTCAAAGTAATTTACATGTCAAAAGCATATATGGCAGTAATGTTGTGTTGTCTTTACCCTGATACATCTCCATACTGTGATGGGGAAAGTGAGGGCAATGTAGATTACAGACAGCGCAGTGATCACAGCTCCCAGGAACTCGAGCGCACTGCAACACCTCCTGCTCCTGCTCCCGAACACTGAACACAAACACATGAAGTTACAATACACAAGATACAAAGTCAATTATATTGTTCCTTTAAATGTATGTGTTTGGAATGTAAACGAACCCATTATTATTACTATAAAAAGTATTCTAAACTACTACAAATGTTCAATGGGTGACTGAGAGAATGTATTATATACCTTAATGAAAAGTAGATTTTGAGCTTGGTGATTTTAATTGATAAAAAACAGATTCATATGTAAAGTGATTATTCATATTTTGTAGCATTCAGGTTTTTAATATTTTAGATTTAATGACGTGTGTGCCTGTGTTTTTTCTACTTGTAAAATTCTCGATTAAATTTAAAAAAATCTAATATGAAGAATAATCAATATGTAAGTAATGACAGATAGTAATGAGTCGATTTATAATTTAGCATAGTTAGCATGTTAGCTAATAAGTCTGAGCCGTGGATCTGGGCCCTACCGTCGCGGGGGTTTTCAAGACTTTCAGGATCGCATTCATCCATGTGCAGAACTCCCACTTTGTTACGGCGCAACATTAGCCTCCTAAACTCATTCACAGAAACATTAAAGTGTGTAAAACTACAATTTCGTTAAGTATTTGAACATACTTTTGCTCTTTGGGTTACTTTTAAACGTTTAAACCGTTACTACGGATTAGTGCCGTTGTTTGCGACTTCCGCGTCCCGTTGCCAAGGGCGACAGAGCCGCGCCCACTCGGATGTTGTCAAGTTCTAACGTGACAAAAATATAATACATTGGAATTGGAAACGTTACTGAGTGAAAAGGTGTTCTTAAAGCTTGGGTACATAACTCTAAAAATGTGATATAATCAAAATCCTTTGAGCCAGAACTATTTATGGATTTTATTTAATCTTTAAAGGAGCAGTATGTAAAAAATCTGGCCAAATGTGACACTGCAGACCCTCCCACTCTCCCTGACTCAGGTTGCCTTATATACAGACTAATCCAGCTGGGACTATAAAATTTGAATAGACAAAAGGTTCTATAGATCTATAACCAACACCATACATCCATTCTATTTTCTTCCGCTTCATCTGTTGCCGGGTCGCGGGGGCAGCCTTCTAAACAGAGACGCGAAGACTTCCCTATCCACACACACTTCCTCAAACACTTCCGGTAGGACTCCATGGCCTTCCCAGGCCAGCTGAGAGACATAGTCCCTCCAGCGTGTCCTGGGTCTTCCCACCAGGCCTCCTCCCGGTGGGCCGTGCCCGAACACCTCACCGGGGAGGCGTCCAGGAGGCATACGGAACAGATGCCCGAGCCAGCTGGTTTCTCTCGATGTGGAGAAGCAGCGGCTCTACTCTGAGCTCGTCCCGTGTGGCTGTGTGACTGAGCTCCTCCCCCTATCTCTAAGGGAGCGCCCAGCCACTCTGCAGAGGAAGCTCAATTCGACCTCTTGTATCCACAATCTCGTTCTTCGGTCATTACCCAAAGCTCATGACCATAGGTGAGGGAGAAAAAAAATGCAGACCGGTAAATCGAGAGCTTTGCCTTTTAGCTCCCTCTTTAGCACAATGGTCCAATACAGGTAGTGGAATTCCTTCCACTGCCTGACAATATCCCCAGTCGAGGTCAGCAGCTCTCCACCCACACTGTACACGGTGTTGGCGACTCGTTTTTATATAGAAACCATTTTTTTTCTAATATAATTAAAGTTGTGGCTATGTTCTGTGAATGCTCCTTGAGAAAAGTAGAATTAATATCTGTAAATAGAAGCAGAGGGAAACATGCATTAATTACAGTAATTGACAATTTGTGAATGTTAAATGTTTTATTATTTTTTACTGATGGCCGAAGAATAGAAAACATAAAAAACAAATGTTCTCTGTGTGTCTTGTCAAGTGAATAATAACCATAGTGTTTTTATAATAATAGTTTCAAGTCTCATCACACATCCTCTGCTCATGATTTCCTGTGGGTTTTAACACATTTCTGTCAGACTCATCTCTTCTGTTTCCACTTCACACGACACAATGGATAAAATGCACTGAACCAACGCAAAAATAAGTTATCTTTTGAGATTACAATAAGAGGTAAGAAACTACACTGCACACATTACACTGGGAAACATGGTAACATTTCTGTGCTTTTACTGCCTAGTTTAGCTTTTGATTCATTCTGGTGTACTAACTTGGTACCATATTTTTGAATACATTATGAAACACATTCAAAGCATTGTCTAACTATTTAAAGACAACATTTCATTGAGTCTTTTCCTTTTTGTGTGCACATTTACATATTTTGTTTAAGTTCTGTCATATTTGTGTGTGTGTGTGTGTGTGTGTGTGCTTTACATTTATTGTCTGAAAATGATAAAAACATTAATGGTAAATAGATTGATTACAACAAAAGCATTTTTTAGGCATAGTCTGTTCTGGGTTAAAGAATACACACATTGCTAAAGTTCAAGCTGGTTAAAGGTTATGCTCTTTTCTTCAAATGTAGGAGGAGAGAAAATGCTCTTTATACACTGTAAACAAAAGTAGTTTCATTTAACGTAGATTTTTTTTTCTACAAAACCATTTTTATTAAATTAGATGTTTATGGGTCTTTTTTGAGCATGTAAAGGGAGGTTCTTGTCGTCATTTGAATGTGCAGATGCAGTTAACTATAACAAGTAAAATAGTGCCTTTGTTTCTAAAATATCCACATTGAGAGAAGAATTAGCTGAAATTAAAAAAGGCAACCAGTACATTTTGAAAACTAACATTGAAAAGTATTTTTAGTTGCTAACAATTGCTCTGAGTTGCTGAATTGAGAGCGTCTATCCCCAAATTTAAAGTTAGAGGAATTTTTTTTTGCATTATTCTCTCCTGCAAAAAATGAGGCGCATTGAAACTATTTGCTTTGATATGTTGTTTTAGAAAATAAATGCATCAACATGTATTTAGGAAAACAAATGACCTGAGTATGTAATCCCCCTCATTCTACATCTAATTCTTTTACACGGCAGCTATATTTTACACTGTATGCACGGCTTGATACCTGCAGCAGCTCAGACCTGCAACCAACAGGTTTGATATCTCTGGTCTCTCTCACTTCATTTTGAGTTTTTAGAACGTAAGACATGCGATAAACAAGACATTCAGATCATTCCTCTGGTGAAGCAATGTTCTTTATGATCGCGTGTCTGTGTATTTGCAGCTGGTAATTTCCAAATTCAACCAAAACAAAACTCTGGTATCTCTGGTGGTAGCATCGAGATTCACAGGCAGAAAGAAATATTTACGCTTCGAACTTGTTTCATCATAAATCTTCTACTTAAAATATTTTTCACACCCTAAAACATGAGTAAATATAAGTGTCAAATGCGTGACTTTACTTCTTTAAAGCTTCACCAGAGAACAAAACCTTAAGATATTTCCTTTTTCAATTACTTTACACAAATACAACACATTCATGAGTTGTTTTTTTGTGTCTCTGCAGGTTGCTGTTACGATGGCGGCCGATATGCCCCTGTTTTACCACGGCGCCATCAGTAAGAAGGACTGCGAGGAGCTGATGGGGAAGAAGAACAAAGATGGAGCTTATTTGATCCGTGACAGTGAGACCATCGCAGGAGCTCTGTGTCTCTGTGTGTTGTGAGTGAGCGCCACTGTTTTCACATCTACCACAAACTGTCCAGATTCAAGTAGAAAGAATAAAGTAGAAATGTAAAGTATCTGTTGGACATGTAAAACTATGCATCCATTCATCATTGAACACTTTGTCCATTTAAATGCAGTGTTTTACAAATGATTTAGATGAGGGATTATCGTTTTTATAATTTTTAGGCATCTGTTCTTTTATATATGTATTTTTAGGACTCTAATTATAGCAAATGCAGGTGTTCATAGAGTCTAGGGATGGGAACCTAAGGGTACCTCACGATACGATACATGATACAAAGCTCACGGTAACGATATTATCACAATAACGATATTATCACGATATGACGATTATCGATATATTGGTCAGAAATATACAATATGCCAATTTATGGCATAAATAAAAGAAAAAGTACACTTTATTTCATGATAAATGGAATGGAGATGCGTAATGTAGCCACACATTAAGTAAGTACCAATTTTTTTTTTTAAAGTTTAAAAAAATATATATATATTTTAAATTGATATCGATACTTGGCAAATGTATATCGATAATCGAGTCGCGGGAGAAAGTATACCCCACCCCTAATAGAGTCTAGACATTTCTGGTAAATTTTACAAAACAGTGTTCAGTCGTGTTTGGATTGAACCAATGTGGACCAATGAGGAAGAAGAATGGTTAGTATATTATTATCATTAAACTTTATTACAGACACGAGGTCCAGAGAAGAAAGACATCACAAAAAAACAAAAACAAGGTCATATTGAGATTTACCTGCAATGTTTATTATGAATTAAATGTCATGGTTGTCTTGGGAAAATAAGCTTTGACCCTTAAATGGTTTTCTCATCCATCTGGTAGATCACCCTTTGAGTCACGATATCTACTTGAAGCTTAGCACTGAAATCTACCTCACTTGGTATTGTACTTTTACATGAAAGTATTAAAATGATGTGTAACTTGCCATGGTAGCCCCCTGGTTCAAACCATACCACTGACTTTAAACTACAGATGCAATATTGTTGATAGAAATAGCATTTATGGTCAGTGAACTCTACATAGCTGACTTGTAACTCGGCATAGCACATTTCACTCTACCTGGGTAAAAAAAATAAAACATAAAGTATTTGTATAAAACGATCCTTGGAAAACCAATTTAAAGCTTAATACCTAAGACAATATTAGACAATAATCATGTAAAAGTAATATTTTGCGAACAAATTAAACTGTCTTATAAAAAACCTTTGAGCCAGTATTTGGAGCTTTGGGCCGAGTTCATACCATAGACTGTAAATAATAACATGTGAAAACTAAGATAGGACTGCGACCTGCAGTTACTGAATGACTGTATTATTACAAAGTTATGTACCCCAGCTTTAAGTAGAATCCTGTCATTTCCTTTGAAAACAACGCTTGTCTCAAACTGAGTATAAGAGTATGATTCTAATGTGTTTTTTTCCCTCTGCAGTAAGAAGCCCGTGGTTTACACATACAGAATTCTCAAGACCCTCTCTGGACAATACGCACTGGTGGTAAAGACAATTACAATTTTTATTTTTATTTCATTTCATCAGAGATTCAAAGTGTTGCATACAAACAGGAATTGATGTGTTTTAAGCTGGGATCATAGACTGTATATTTTAAAGCTGGGATCAACGCACAAAGACTATATGTAGTCCCTCTTTTATCCCAATTATGTTTCAAAACTATGACCCCCACTTCTGAAATGTTTTTATAGCAGTAATAATTCAAAGTGTCAAGCCATGCGAAAATATTTGAGCAAGATATAGATTCATTTTAAGATAATGTAAACTAAAGAAGCTTGTTCCGTGTCAAATAATTGCTGAGACACAGTGAAGCGCTTTTGAAATGTTATCTTGAAATCGTCAGCTTTCTGCCCCCAGTTTGAGAAACACTGTGACTCAAACAAAGAATGAATGGGCATATACAGTACTTTGGACAGCACATGTGAGATGCTTTGAAGGTACACTAAATAACTACTGTACATATTAGTGTTAATATTTGTATAGTATATTCTTGGTTTGATGATATTAACTACTTAACTGTGATGCTGACAAAAGCCACAGACACCAGCTTTACCGCAGGATTCAACAGGAAACTTAACCAATGATAAAGGAGGCTGTGATGTTTCAGGCGGTCACTATTTTTCTTCCACAAATGGGTTAGTCAATGTTGATCATATAAAAATGTGGGCAATTATTTCTTGTTGTTTCCACTGTTTGCCCACAGTGGAAACAACAACAACCTATGACGGTGGCTATAGGGATGTCGCTGATACAGGGACGTTGTACAAATGCAGCAGGGTTCTAATACTACAGTAACAATCCATGCAAAAACAACAACCACCTTACAGCAATGAACTATGAGAGGATTTTAATAAGAATTATCATTAAACAATTGTGATGTATGCCATTCTATACATTCACCCATGTTTTCTTTCTGATCAGCAGCAGCCTGACCGCCTCCGTCAGCTCAATGGGGGAAAGGGCATGTGGGCGTACGTGTTACAGACATGGTTATTTTCATCAGAATCAGAAGTCTGAAACCAGGACATCTCTTTGGGTCTCGGTGCAAACATGCAGAACATGTAGAAAATAGAAATAGAATAAGGCATAAAAATCCTACAACTGAAGGATTTTATCTCTATGTTTAAGGCACCGTGGTTATTATTTGTTTTAATTCCTTGTGTGATATTATTGTATTAATGGTGATTCTGTTTTTTTTTTATGTGAAGATTTGTGCCTTGGGTGAAGCGCTTTGTGTTGCCCTGTGTATGAAAGGCGCTCTACAAATATAGATGGATTGATTGATTGAAAAATAAAAAAATACATACCATTTCTTAAAATTGTTACTGTGCACTAAACACAGACAACAGACGTATAGCAATGCTAAAACAAAAAGAGAAACAGAGCGTACCAAAGAGCCGTGGTGGCCCTACGCTGGGACATCTGCGACGAATATTGCAACAAATCAAATTGTGAGGCTGTAGATATTCAAGGATTCAAAGTCTAGCCCATAAAAAGTTTACATAATCAGAAAGAATGATGAAACTAGTTCAACGCCAGAAAACCGTAAAACATCTATGATTATTTAACTACAGTGAGTGTATGATAGGGGCATGTTGGAGATGTTGATTTATATCTGCTATAATACAGGCTGAAATAAATGGGAATAAATAAAGAGTAAGTGGGTGACCTGGATGGAACCAGAAGTGAGAGCTTTCCTGGTTCAGGAAGAAAAATGCTCAGTGTAAAATCCTTATAGGGGTCGATGATGATCAGCTATCTGCTGAGTAATGGCCTAAATAACATATATATTCAAACATTTTTATAACTGAAAACAGCAACATGGGGAACATGTTTTGCTGTATTTTACATATAAACGGTGATTTTTTGTTCATGCTTTTCACGTCTTGGTATAGGGATTCTTGGTAATTCTTATGGGCAAGGGAGTAGGGCGTAGCACCAAAATGTCTTAACCAAATATAAGATAAGTCCCGGGCCTAATCCACCGTCTCCAGTTTGTTCATACGCTGCACAGCAGCATGTAAAGTCAGCTGTAAAGTCAGACTGACACCACTTTCTGAAAAGTGATCAGTGAAGCCAGTGCCAAGAATCGTTTTCTCTGTTTACCATAAAATGTCAGTATGATACAGTACAGAACAAAAGTTTGGACAGTTTGGTTTCTCATTCAAAGAGTTTTTATTTATTTTAATGACTATGAAAATTGTAGATTCACACTGAAGGCATCAAAACTATGAATTAACTCATGTGGAATTATGTACGTACTAAAAAAAAACAACTGAAACAACTGAAAATATGTCTTATATTCTGGGTTCTTCAAAGTAGCAGTTGCTCTGATTACTGCTTCACTCTTGACATTCTCTTGATGAGCTTCAAGAGGACCTGAAGTGGTCTTCAACAGTCTTGAAGGAGTTCCCATGATGCTTAGCACTTGTTGGCCCTTTCACCTTCACTCTGTGGTCCAGCCCCAAAACCATCTGGACTGGGTTCAGGTCCGGTGACTGTGGAGGCCGGGTCATCTGGCCCAGCACCACCACTCTCCTTATTGGTCAAACAGCCCTTACACAGCCTGGTGTGAATCTACAGTCAATAGTCATGAAAAGAAAGGACACTCATTGAATGGGAAAATGTGTCCAAACCTTTGGTCTGTACTGTATATTACATAAAACAATGAAATACATAATTATATAATACAATAATTGTATTTATAATAAGTGTAATATTTATAAGAGATTTAATAACCATTGCCTTTCACGTCACACTGGCGTATGGTCCAAAGCTGAAACCAAACTTTCGCCATTGCTTATGGGAACTCTACTTCCGGAGACCCTGAACTCTGTCTACTTTCCATCTCTATGCCGAAGTTCTGGCTGTTTAATGCTGCTTGCAACTTTAATTTTGTGATTTTCTTCTTTTTTCTCACAGTCAAGTGTAGGGGCAGAGGAAATCTATTACAAATCTCTGGATGACCTGGTGCAGAACTACAAGAGGAAACGCCAGGGTTTAGTGATGCATCTGCGCCACGCCATCAAGAGGAAGACCGCACTGATGATACAGGCCGCGACGCAGAGTCAAAGCACGAGACCAGAGCAGAGACCAGTGCAGAGACCGGACCAAAGACCGGAACAGAGACCAGTGCAGAGACCAGAGGAGAGACCAGAGCAGAGACCAGTGCAGAGACCGGACCAAAGACCAGAGCAGAGACCAGTGCAGAGACCAGAGGAGAGACCAGTGCAGAGACCAGAGCAGAGACCAGTGCAGAGACCAGAGGAGAGACCAGTGCAGAGACCAGAGGAGAGACCAGTGCAGAGACCAGTGCAGAGACCAGAGCAGAGACCAGAGCAGAGACCAGTGCAGAGACCCGACCAAAGACCAGAGCAAAGACCGGGCCAGAGACCAGTGCAGAGACCGGAGCAGAGACCGGACCAGAGACCGGACCAGAGACCGGACCAGAGACCGGACCAGAGACCGAACCAAAGACCCGACCAGAGGCCACTGCAGAGACCGGACCAAAGACCGGAACAGAGACCAGACCAAAGACCAGAACAGAGACCAGACCAGAGACCGGGCCAGAGACGAGTGCAGAGACCAGACCAGAGACCGGAGCAAAGACTGGAACAGAGCCCAGAACAGGGAACGGACCAGAGACCAGGCCAGGGATCAGAGAGGAGCCAGGACCTAAGAAAACCGTCCAGACCAGAGCTGAATCAGACCAGAGCAGAGGGGAGGAGGGAGACTGAGGGGGGACCATACTACAATCATCCAAGACCTGTCCAACCGATTGAACATGAAGAAGTGGAGTATGAGAGTAAGTCTTTATCTGTTCACACGGACTGAAGTAGCTTGGCCTTATCCATCCGTACACTTTGTTCAATCATCCTTTCACTGCATGTAACGTCTGGGTCCCTGTGTTAGCGATTACAGTATGTTGAATTTCGACCGCCCAATCAGAGAGCTCGGAAGGCAGGTGTTGTAGTTAGTTGTGGGTGATGTCAAGAGTTTGCGTCGAACAAGCAGGTTGTAGTTTGGCAATGGCAAAAAATGTGAAAGTAAAGTGATCCAGTCTGGTTCTATAAAGAAATTGAAGCCGGAGCAATAGGAATGTTTAGGAAATGTAATCGCTGGAAAAAATTGTGGCGCTACTCCCCACGGGCTCCGTTAGCGGCAAAGACCCGGCGCATTACATACGTCACAGTAAACTCAGATCCAATCGTTTCAATCTGCAAAAGGAGTTAACCCCTCCCACCTGTAAACGGAGCTCAATGGAGCACCTCCAGACCTTAGTACAAAATGTCATTTGTACTATGGTGTGGTACGACCAGGCTATGACTGAAGTAAACTCTGGTGCACTTTGGGCATTATTTGTTTGTGAAAGCACCAATGAAAAGATAGTCCACTTGACAACTCAGTAAATTTACTTGGTTTGAGTTTGATCAGTGATAAGAGTTAATATTATATTTTAATTATTTGGTTGGGACAGCACATGTTAATGAACACATCACTCCGGATTGTAGCCATGGACTAATTTGCATCCGTTGCCCCACATTCGCACTCGCAAACACACACTCATTCACCCTGAACTCCACTCAGAAAGGCCCTGTTCCGACCGGGATTTCGAACCCAGAACCTTAATGCTGAGAAGCGAGAGTGCTTCCCACTCACCCACTGTGCCACCCAAATGAAGAAATAGTTGGCATCTTTAAATGATAAATGCTCTCAGAATCTGTGTTCAAACTTGATCCCTTTTAGTCCTGTGGCTTCGTTTAGTCCTGATCTGGTCCTAGTTTGGGACTTTTGACTTGTGTATCTGTTTGGACACTGCACCAAAAGTAAACTTACTCATTTTGACCTTTTCAGATCTTCCTGAATATGTGGTGGTCGACCCTTCATGATTCGCGCTTGGAGATGTATCTTTGAAAATATTTGTTTGTTATGGACAAAAGTTTGCATTTTGGCCAGTTGGCCAGTGTTGCATGGAGTTCACCTTTTTTATTGTCTAAACGCTTTATCGGAAAGGACAGTCATAGTTTGGTCCAGTTATTCACAGCAGTCGTCAGCAAAGGTCAAGGCCAAAGTCACAAGAACCACAATGTTTCATAAAGAACACAATGCTTTTTACGCTATAAAAAGAACTTCAACCTCAGAGGAAATCGTCGCTCTGTGTTCAACCACCAGGCCCCGAGGACTGAAACAAAGCAAGAAAAAACTTGTGGGTGTCCACCTTTATGAAGTTGTCATTGCTGGGAAGGTTTATATCTTTATACAAAGATTTCCATTCCCGTGTCAAGCCTGGTCCTGGTAGATCTCAAGAGTTCAGCAAGACCTGGTCAGTGGGAGACTGCCACCAGATGCCACAGAGGGGCGGCTGAGGCTGTAGACTGTTGTTGTGTCTTTAAGCCAAACACTGCCAGATTGCCAAGTATGAATCTGGTGTGTGTGATGTGCTGTCTTCCCTCAAGAAGCTCTCTTTACAATCAGTGCATTGATATTTTTGATAATAAAGACACAATTGGTACAGACTTTTTGAGAATGATTTTTTCTAAATTGATTGAATGAATAATGTTTTTCAATTTGCATAAACACTGAATATTTGAAGTAATTTCATGAAATCATCATGAATGTTGTAAAATTATGTGTTTAAGATCAAACCAGTTTCTGATAAAATTCTCTAACCGCAATTTGAAAATTACTTAATTTCAACGTATAAAGGCCGAAGCGTCAAGTCTGGATTTTGACTACTGTCATGAGTATTTACATTTACATTGTAACGGATATGTTTTAAGATGGGGACTTGAACCCCAATATTTGCAATTAAGGGAAGTAAGAGTGATGCTTCAACACAGAAAATGGAGGACAAATTTTGTTTATTTTCTGAGATTATTTCTTAAGATTTAAGAAAACTATAGGCCCCGCAATACCACAATAAGTCTTCTTAAATTATATCTCTGAGCATGTAAAGCAAACGACCAAGATCAAAAGAAAGGAAATACTGTATGTTTTTTTCACAGCGACAGATTTGTAGCAGATCTTGCACACCTAAAGTTACACAGTGTACCTTATACCTATGTCTCCAACAACAAAAAACAATAGACCTTCTAACACATTTCTGCAGAGGTGAAAACTTAGACAGAGAGACTGATACAGGGAAAGCACATTCACTTTTGTGGTTAGCAGCTTATGTTTTTCATTTTTTTATTTTCTGTTGTAGGAGTTAACATGTTCCTCACTTTGTGTGAAAATCAAAGTGTCTCAAGTTAACCACAGTCAAACACACACGCAGCTGTTTGAATGCAACTATCTGTCAGATTTTTGTGTGAAATAAAGTGAAACAAAAAAGCCTATTGTAACTTGTTTTGGTGTAATATGTTTGAACAGCACAAACCTCATATTTGATATAAAATATTAATAATTCTTAATAAACAATATTCAGAATTCCTATTTCTTTTCTTCATGTATAATACATGTTTTGTTTTATATATATCAAATGTTGTAAACAAATAAGTCCACAACATGCCTTCTTTATCTAACTATAAATCATGTTATATGGCATACCTGATCAAGTTACTGTTTGATTTGTTGGGCTTTTTAGATCTGATTGGCTAAGTGAGGTTGGTCCTCTCTTTTTCACTTTCCTGTTAAAAAAAGATGTGACTAAAAATGGTGCCAAAAATACATACTTGTGGAAATTAGTGATAGAACTAAAACTGTTTTGAGGGCGAGGAAGTAGTCACATTGATTTATTCAGTAGAAATTAGGTACCGCAGCTTTAATTAAATGAGAGAACTCGTGAGCACTGCTTTATGGTGAAACAGCGCCCCCCTCTGGCCAGGGCGCAGAAAACCATGCGGTAGATAGTAAGCCGTGTATTCTGAGAACGTGTGGCAATTTGTTTCGTGGTAATAACACACCATGGATTCGCTGCACTGTCAACATTCCTGGAAACTGGACTTTATCTGAATAAACTGGACGAAAACATCTCGGTGAGTAGCAATTAGCAGCCGCTGTCACTGTCACGCGCCCACAGATATTATTGATTAGCTTTAGCATGCTAGCTAGTCCACGTTAGCCAACTCAAATACACTCAAATTTGTACATATAATTAAAACATTTTGACGCAAATGTACGCAGTTACAGCCCGTGTGACGTGTATTAGAATAGTTGCTCAAGTTTTTCTGGATAAATATCTTCAAAATAGTGCTATTTTGATGAGATGAGTAGTAATGTTGATGTTAGCTTTGCGGCTAAGCTTGTACTTTTTCCCATATTGTGTCACTACCACATAGTTAGCATAATCCAATTTATGATGCTGAATACACAATGTAGGGCTTCTAATCTATCGTTGACTGCTGGGTTTTGTTGGCACTCTTTTAGTTTTATTGATGTTGTGTTTTTTGTAATTAAATCAATAAAAATCTATTTCAGTGATAGTTTGAGACGTGCAGTGGTGTGAATGCCTGATCTTGTGAGTCTATGATCTTGTGTAGTACACTGCAAAAAAATGATCAAATATGAGATCATAATTGCTAGAATCGAGTTTTTTTTAACTTGACTTAAGTTCATTCTGACTGTCTTAAAATGAGATTTGCCAATGAGACAAGCAATTTTGACTTGATTCAAGAACTATTTCTTTATTTTCTCATTCCAAGAGAAAAAATATCTTGTATCTTTTTAAAACAAGACAATTTTTCTTGTTCCACTGGCAAATCTTGTTTTAAGACATTCAAAATGTGCTCAAATTTAGATACATTTTGCCAAATTTGAGCATTTTTTGTCTTTAATTCTGTCATCTTTTGCAGTGTATTTGTTGCTTTATTATATTTTCACATATGTTACAGACTTGGCAAATACTGCAGCTAATCCTTATTGTTGGCACATTTTAAGACGTAAACTCCTCACATCAAAGGGTCTGGGCAGTGGGCACTGTTGTAATCTGCTTAAAACCATTTATTCACAAGACCCATTTCAATTAGTAAAAGTCTTTGCATGGATTTAATGTATCAGCAGCAACAGTGGAAAGGCCTGTGTCAGTGTCTCATTGATTTGTGCTGGAAAATGTAATTGATATGGTGAAATGTTGTGTAAAGAGGAAGTGCCAATCATTGGAGTGTAGAAGCATTATGAAAGTGGCATGGATTAAAGAAATAACTAATCTTAGAGTGTAGCCAAAATGAACTGTATTTTAAAATAGTTTGTATATATAATTAGCCGATGGAGTGAATGTTCAATTATTGTCTAAAGAAGGTAGGAACAGAATACAAATAAAACCACATTATACAAACGTTGTATATTTCTTATTGTAGCTTTCATACTGACATTTTCCCACAGTCGCACGAATAAAGGATCTCTTAATATTCTAGGGCTGGGCTTCAAGTAGTCAAATTGCAAACAACCACATATTGATACAACATTCTTCATTTGAGCCAAAATCATATATTAAATGTGACTTTTTATAACTTTTAACCGTTCGCTTCCACAACTCATTGACCAGAATATTTTAACAATTGTGTTTGTGTCCTATAACTACTAAAACTTGATGGAGTCAAAATGATAAGTTCATTAACTCTGCTCCGACAGCAATACTCGAACACAGCAAAAATACACTTATTAGCCACATCGCTGTAAGCCGCCAGGATCAAAGAACTAGAAAAAAGTAGCAGTTTATAGTCTGGAAATTACAATAATAGTCTCATCCAAACTTGCAATTCTGTAGGCATGTGGCGCAGTGGACCAATGTTTGTTCTGTAAAAGATCAAATGAAATGTCTGACGTACTGGTTCTTATCACTCCATATGTTATTGTGTTGACGTGCTGAGGTTATATGTTTAGTCCATGTGGTTTGCATTAGAGCCGCTGTAAAAATAGTGCTTAACTTTGTGACCTCTCTTTATTAGCAAAAGTCAAATCTTAATCATTCATTAGATCTTTTGGGAAAACTTACTAACAAAAAAGGAATAAATCACCATAATAACTGTTGAGGGTGTTAGAATCTCAGGTATGATGCCAGAATGATGTATGTCCATCTGTCTCACAGTATTGTGCTGCTGCAGAATTCCTAAAATGGTCTCCAGCTTTGTTCTTTACTCTGGGAAATTAATGACTCATTCCAATGTATTTAAGTAAAGGTCTAACATTTATTATTTTATTCTATAGGGATGACTTTGCAGCACTCGTATCATTAGTCATTATAATTGTATCTAATATCTGTCTGCTGTTGGTGCAGGAATAAAGTTAGATCCAGAGGTGACTGCTTGATTCTTCTATAGACTGTGTTTGGAAAATCTGTTCCCTCTGATGGAGGCGCTGGAACAGAATCTCCCACACCACACTTAGACTATAAACTCCCCAGATTCAACACAAGCTTAAATCCACCCAACGTTGTACTCAGAAGAAGCTGAGAACATATTATATGTATCTCTGTCTTTTAATTTGCCCGAGCACATTCTCACGTCTCTCTATGCGGCCTTTTGAATAACACATTTGTTTAATGCTTGTTGTCGCCTGGTTTTATATGCTGTTGGTATTCGATGTGCTAACTTATATATTTTTCTTAAAATATGTACAGTTTGAAACCAGGGGCTACAGTGAAGAACTAGCTTTGTAGCAAACGCCTGTACTTTTACAGAAATATTCTCCCTGTTCAAATAGATGGATAGCTCTGATACCGAGCTCTTCAACTACAAGACGTTGCTAAGATGGTTGCTAGGGCAAGCTAAAGTTTCCCCGGCTAATAAGGCTACTGATTGACCTGGTAGCCTTGTATAACCATATCTGGATTAACAAATATAATATCAAAATATAAACACCAGGATCACAGAGCACTAAACCATGGTTTTACATAAGCACAAAATGGTGAGCGCTAGAAAAATGCACTTTTCAATGTAAGTCAAAAGGAGCGGCATTTGATCTATAATGGGACAGAAACAAGATCCAACTAATTTTCCTGTTGCAGCCTATGTTTCTCGGTTTCTATTTCAGTTGGAGCACAGGGTCCAACTCTATGTGAAACAAGTCATTGTTTAAAGACATTTTGGAAAAGTGTCCCAAGAATTACAGAGACTAAACTAAAACTGAAAGCTACCAGGAAAGATTCTTCAGCTGTCCATCTTTCGGATGTTATGGGTTGTCATGTGAATGCATCCTATTTTACTGCCAGCGTTTCCAAGAGTTTTACGTCTTGTCTCGCCTTCAGGCCCGTCTTCCTCATGCTGTGTTTGTGATGCTGAGTGCTCCCTGAAGTGTTTTCCTGCTGGAGGAATATTGACACGGGCTGAGGATCATGGCCGCTCCGTTTGTGCCCGTCCCACTGCCCCTGGACCGATCCATTCCAGGGAAAAAACTGAGGAGACCACAGAGGGCGTCGTCTTTAGGTAAAAAACACTTACACTGCTGTTTGGGTCTTTATAGGTTTTCATTTTAGCAACTTGCATACTTTTAATGTTGGTCTGCTATTTGTGATATGACAGTTGTGAATCATTGTGTATTTTAAACATTTAAAGCGGGCGTAATTAACTTTTGAAACAAGAGAACGATGTAATAAAGTACATCTAACTAGTTCCTTGCTCTTCAAACAGACTGGTTTTCACTAGTTTTCACATGTCTGTATGTTTTGGTCTCTGACACATCTTTATCTCAGCTTTTTCAGACAGAAAAAGAGAAAAGGACCAGATTGACTCTCAGCCCAAAGCATCAAAAAGTGACTCACATGGCCTTTTAAAGCCATCTAAAGTTCAAAAGTTATGTTAACAAGGAGATCTTTCTGTTCGGACAAATAAAATGTATTACTCATGCAAAGTTAGGTACCCTTGCATTAAAATCTCTCTACATTTGGACATTGCTCAACCTGCAGCTACATAAGGATAATTAAAACAGAGCATCGACATAGCAGTATATGAATAGCATAATGTAAACATGTGTCTTATGTGTTTGGTTTTCAGGCAGCGTGTCCAGCAGCTCGGACTCCTCTGGCCCCAGGTTGAACGGAGACGGTCGGGAATGTGGTGGAGGTAGAGAGCTCCAACAAAACATAATAAATTATGAAGTTCATATCAGACATCTCTGAGTATAATTCAAAAGGGATAAAACATGGAATGCTAGATCTTATCAGTTTTAAGCTGACGTTTTGCTGTTAACCAAAAGGCTTCTTCAGGGCAAAGCCTCAGCCGTCTGATCGACTTTTGATAAATGGAAAAAAGAAAAGGTACAAACTAGAACTGGTTGGAGAAAAACATTGTTTTTCTGTTAAAATGAAGTGAGCAGAGCAGCTTTAATGCAAAAATATTTTCGTAAAATGTTGAACAAATCATACCACAACAAGCTGTCTCTATCTTATTAGATAGATATGACATATTGTGCAAACTTAGAATAATCCTAGTGATTGGCTCAGCAATGGGGGTTAGACTTTTCTATCTCAAAAAGCAGATCTAAATCTGTGACCAATAATGCCTGGGGAAACTAATAATAATAATAATGATAATACATAACTTATATAGTGCTTTTTTGGACACTCAAAGACGCTTTACAAAACACGTGAAAATAAACATTGAGAAACAAAATTACGGAAAGGCAAGTTGGGTTTTGAGAAGAGATTTAAAGTTCCAGAGAGTGGGGGCAGCTACGGTGAAGGCTCGGTCCCATAAGGTTCGGTGTTTAGTCCTGAGGGGAGTGAGGAGGTTGGACTCTGTGGATCTGAGGCGGCGGGAGGGACAGTGATGATGGAGGAGGTCAGTGAGGTAAGAGGGAGCAGGTTATGGAGGGATTTGTAGGTGAGGAGGAGGACCTTGTATTGGCTGCGATATGGAACAGGGAGCCAGTGGAGTTGTTTGAGGACGGGGGTGATGTGGTCCCTGGAGCGGGTGTGAGTGAGCAGGCGGGCAGCCGAGTTCTTGATGTATCGTCGTTTTCGGGGATGGGTGGAGGGGAGACCGAAGAGGAGGCTGTTCCAGTAGTCTGTCTGGGGTCGATGAAGGAGAGAGAGAGAGAGAGAGAGAGAGAGAGAGAGAAAGAGAGTTTATTCTTTCACTCCAAACACGGTGGTGATAAACTACTACTGTAGCCATAGCTGCCCTGGGCCACACTGACAGAAGCGAGGCAACCAGTATGTGCCATCGACCCCTCCGACCACCACCAACCATCCACACACACACACCAGACTCATTCTAGGCAATGGGGGTAAATCAATCAATCAATCAAATTTTATTTATAAAGCACTTTTCATACAAAAAGTGTAACACAAAGTGCTTTACAGTTTAGTTAAAAACAATCCAACATGCCCAGCCCTAAACCCTCCTCCCCACAGACCCCCCAAAATCACATTTATAATTATATATATACAATACACACACACACACACACACACACACACACACACACACACACACACACACACACACACACACACACACACACACACACACACACACACACACACACACACACACACACACACACACACACACACACACACACACACACACACACACACACACACACACACACACACACACACACACACACACACACACACACACACACACACACACACACACACACACACACACACACATATACACAAGTATAAAGTCATATCAGGTAAAATAGGTAAAACAATAAAAAGAAATGGGGCTGGGAGCAGATGTAACCGGCTGAAGAAGCGTCATCCAAGGAGCCATCTGCACCAGGAGCAGAGAGCCGGCTGCAGCCACAGGCAACGACACAGGACCCAGAGGAGAGAGGGGCCCCAGACCCCACCAGGCCCAGGACTCAGACCCCATAGGACCCAGAGGAGAGAGGAGGCCCCAGACCCCCACCGGATCCAAGAGCCAGTCCCCCGAAGCCACAGCAGACCCCAGCTCTCAGTGCAGAGGGCTCCTCCAGAGGAAACACTGGGGACACTAAAACAATACAATAATACAATAGAAAGTAGAACAATAGAATGTGAAAATAAAAAGAAAAATGGCAGCTGCCTAATATAATAACAATAGTAAATGGGTAGATACAATAAATAATTAAAAATAGCAAATAATAAAAATAAATAAAAATATAATCCGTCTAAAAACATAAATAGATGTACTAAAAAGCAATAATAGATAATAAATACTAATCAAAAGCTGCTCTAAAAAGGTGCGTCTTGAGCCTACTCTTAAAAATATGAACGTTCTCTGCGGCCCTGAGCTCCTCCGGCAGACTGTTCCAGAGACGGGGGCCGTAGTGCTGGAAAGATGCCTCGCCGTGAGTGTGTGTCCTGACTTTGGGGATGGTTAGGAGTCTGTTGCCGGAGGAGCGCAGGGGCCGGGAAGGCTCATAGGATAAAAGCAAATCTGAAAGATAAGAAGGCCCAAGACCATTAAGACATTTAAAGACCATTAAAAGAACCTTAAAATCGATCCTGAAACACACGGGGAGCCAATGCAGCGATTTTAAAACCGGTGTAATGTGGTCCCGCCCCCTGGTCTTAGTCAGGACACGTGCGGCCGAGTTTTGAAGTAATTGTAAACCTGAAATGTTCTTTTTGGGAAGACCAGAGAGCAGGGCATTACAGTAGTCAATGCGACTGGTGATAAAAGCATGCATCAGCGTCTCCGTGTTGGCCCGAGAGAGAATGGGGCGGACTCTGGCGATGTTCTTTAAATGATAAAAACCTATTTTTGTGATGTTCTTGATGTGAGGAATAAAAGTCAGCTCAGAGTCAAAGATTACGCCCAGGTTTTTCACTTGTGATGATGGATTAAAAGAGTGTGATTGGAGTTTCGGTAAAAGTTTCTCTCTCTGGGCCTCAGGACCGATGACTAAAACCTCAGTTTTGTCCTGGTTGAGCTGGAGAAAGTTTTCTGCCATCCAGGATTTCAGGTCTAAAATGCAGTTAAAAAGAGCATCCATTGGCCTGGTGTCATCAGGAGACATGGAGATGTACAGCTGTGTATCATCTGCATAACTGTGGAAGTCAATTCCATGTCTCCTGATGACACCGCCAAGAGGGAGCATGTACAGGTTAAAAAGGACTGGACCTAAAATGGAACCCTGGGGCACACCACATGTGATTTTATGGACCTGAGAGGAGCAGGTATCCAAACTTACCATGAAGGATCTGTCTGTTAAATAAGAAGTGAACCATTTGTGGACAGCACCAGAGAGGCCGAGGTGTTTCAGGCGGGATAAAAGAATGGTGTGGTCTACTGTATCAAAGGCAGCGCTTAGATCCAGTAGAACCAACACGGTCACCTTTTTAGAATCATAATTTAGTCTAAAATCATTTAAAATCTTTAAAAGAGCAGTCTCTGTGCTGTGGTTCACCCTAAATCCTGATTGAAATTTCTCTAAAATTTGCTGCTGATCTAAAAAGGCATTGAGCTGGGTAAAAACAAGTTTTTCTAAAATTTTGCTTAAAAATGGTAAGTTGGATACCGGTCTGTAGTTGTTAAAATCATTAAAATCCAAATTGCTCTTCTTCAGAAGGGGCCTCACCACAGCCGCTTTGAAGGCTGCAGGAAAGACCCCAGTCTGAAGAGAGCAATTCATCAGGTTTAAAAGCTCCTCTCTAAAAGATTCATAAAATGACTTAAAAAATGGAGTGGGGACTGGATCTAAAAGACATGTGGTGGGCCTCACTGAGGAGAAAACTTTATCAAGCATCTCAGCATCAACCAGGACAAAACTGTCCAGTGTTTCCTCTGGTGAAGACAAACAATCAAATGTGTTAAAAACAGTTGTGCGGTTGGATAAAATGTTACATCTGATTGTATTTATCTTCCCCATGAAGTGGACTGCAAAATCCTCACAGAGGGAGTCTGTGGGGGTTAAAAGAGACATGCTAAAATCAGGGTTTAAAATGGTGTCGATGGTTGAAAAGAGGATTTTTGGATTATTTTTGTTCTGGCTGATTAGTTTTGCAAAGTAATTGTTCCTGTTTTTCCTGATTGTGTTGTTGTAAATTTGCTGTCGGTTTTTATATATTTCGTGATTGATTGTCGTTTTATTTTTTCTCCATCTTCGCTCTGCCACCCTGCACTGTCTTTTCATACTCCTTGCTTCCTCATTTTTCCAAGGGGCTATAGATTTTTGTTGAATGCTTACAATTTTTAATGGAGCAACCTGATCCAGTGTAGTTCTTAGTCTACTGTTAAAATCATCTGCTATAAAATCACAGGGGGCAGGTAAAACCAACTGAGGAGTGTTATTTAGAATGTCCATAAAATTTGCAGCCACTTCAGGGGTTAGACGTCGTTTCTTCACAGTTCTCACAGAGGTCTCCTGTTTAACAAAACCAGTGATTTTAAAAAACACACAATAGTGGTCAGAGATAGCCAGGTCAACAACAGAGGACACACCCGCACTCAGGCCATAAGTAATGACCAGGTCGAGGGTGTGCCCTCTGTTGTGCGTCGGCTGTGTGACATGTTGAGTCAAATCCATGTAATTTAAAATACTTACAAACTCGCAGGTAAAATGGTCTGATGGGTTGTCAAAGTGGATGTTAAAATCACCGGTTAAAACAATCCTATTATAGGAATTGTATAACAAAGATAAAAACTCTGAAAATTTATTGATAAAACGGCTGCACTTTTTTGGTGGCCGATAGATGGTTACTGCTAAAATTTCGGGGCTGCTAAAAACAAGGGCATGATACTCAAAACTTGAGTATTGGTTAAAATTAATGGTTTTGGTGGCCAGGGTGTTTTTCCAAATTGAGGCTGTGCCACCACCTCTTCTTCCTTCTCTTGTTTTAAAAGCAAAGCTAAAATCGGGAGGGGAGGTCTCTGTGAGAACAGCCGGAGCATCCGGACCCAGCCAGGTCTCAGTTAAAAACATAGCATCCAGTTTGTGTTGTAAAATCAAATCATTAATGATAAAAGTTCTATTTAAAAGAGAGCGTACATTTAAAAGAGCAAACCTGATGGTGGATGGAGAGTCATTTTTGTTTGTAGTGAGGGGAGAAGATGATGTGGAGGAGCAAAGGGCAACAGGGATGAGGGTGTTGAGGGACGGTTTCCGGAGTATGGACGGTCTGTAGGGGCGGGGTCTGGACAGAACTGAAATTCCTTGTTGGGGGGGGGAGCAGGGACTGATGTTGGAGTCCAGAGGGGCAGGAATGATGTGGGATGGAGTGATGGGTTGTCAGAGGTGCGGGGGACGGGATTGGACTGAGTGGGTGATGTTTGAAATCAGGTACCGGGTGCCGAGTTTATTGATATGGAGTCCATCGGGTGTGAAGAAGGGGTGGCGGTTCCAGAACAAATTAAAATTGTCAATAAAACCAAAGTTGTGCTGCTGTGATGATTTTTGAAGCCAAGTGGTGAGTGATAGTATCCTGCTAAAACGTTCCACGCCCCGGTTCAACGTGGGCAGAGGGCCAGAGATAAAAACACTTTTTCCGGTTTTTGATAAAAGGTTAAAAAGGTCCTTAAAATGGAGTTTGGTGATTTCAGATTGGCGGAGTGCAGCATCATTTGTACCAACATGAATTATGATCCGGGTTATTGTGGGGGGTGCTGTCTGTAGAAGTGCGGGTAGTTTAGTGAGGATGGTAGGGACAGTGGCTCCGGGAAAGCAGTGCGTGATGGCATTGAAGAACTTACAGTGTTTGATGATAGAGTCCCCCACCAGGAGTGTAGTTGGTGCGAACAGAGGTCGTGGAGGGGAGGGAGTGACTGGAGTAGGACCCGGGGGAGAGCAGGGGACAGGAGAGCGTTGGGATGCGCCCGGAGCAGAGCTGCTGCGAGCCCCGTGAGCTGCAGTGGAGCAGAAGGAGGGAGCCGGAGACCGAACCGGCGCCCCTGCAGCGGGGTTGGTGGTGGTGGTAGTGCGGGCGGTTGTGGGAGGGCCATGCACCGGGCGGAGAGATCCTCCAGCAGGCGAGACAGCCTCCGCGGGGGAGCTCCGCGCTAAGATAAAGCGCAGAGACCCCCCCGCGGGCGAGGCAGCAACTACGGGAGGACTCTGCGCCGCGGCACGGCGCAGAGGTCCCCCCGCGGCCACCTCAGCGTAGGACCTGCTTTGTGTCTCGCCTCTGGGGATTCCCTCCGCGTCAGAGCGCACGGACCCTCCCACAGCAGGGACAGCGCTCCCGGGGGTATCCGGTGCCGCGTCGGGGCACAGAGATCCCCCCGGGGCTTCCCGCAGTTGGTCCTGCGTGACACCCGGAGAGCCCCGCGCTGTTTTAGAGCGTGGGAAGCTCCCCGAGCGTCTGCGCACAGCCTCCTCCACCAACCTGCGGCGCGAGGACGCCGTGGATGTCGTGTGGCCTCCAGGCCTCTGCTCCACGCCGCTCTGGGTATGGGCAGCAGGCTCCGGGACCGTAGAGGAGGGAAGAGCACCAAGAGGGACAGCTGCAACCGGGGAGCGTGAGGTAAGCACCGGGGTAGAGCATGATGAGGGGTGAGGACAGGCGATTGGATCCCAGAGTGCAGTGTCGTGGAGCTGTGATTGTCTGAGTACGGAGAGGGATATTTGCTGTGACTGTTTGAATGATATGTCCATGAAATGTTCCAGAAGTTTCTCTTTATGTATGAGTTCGGTGGATAGTTCTTTGACAGTGCGCTGAAGTTCCTCGGGGGTCATGGTGTTTACAGGTTTGGATGGGAGGATTGAAGCCAGTTGTGATTTGTATATTTGTTTGTATGAGTTCGCGGGGGGAGCATCGGTGTCCATGGTGATGTGTGTGGGCAGGCTGGTTACCGGTAAAAGGCTGATAAAGAGTCCTGTTAAAAGTGACAGTAATCCTTTTTTATGCAGTCTGTTAAAATCCGCTTACTCCGTCGAGTAGGGCAAATAAAACCAGTAAAAGAAACTTAGTTTAAAAATAAATCATAAAAAACGTGCAGCTCAAAAAAGGCTCCAAACAAATGCGTGTCTTGGCTAAGGACACAACACCGCCGCAGCCGCCCCACTGTGGCTGGTGTTCCCAGAGGTTAAGTGTCTTGCCTCTGGCTCAAAGGCCAATGCTCTACCAACTGAGTTACTGTCGCTTTTTAGTTGTTGGGGCAACTGGAGCACCATAGCTATATGAAAGCCAAAATATTAAAACTATGATGAAAAGCACAATCTTGCAACCATGTGAAAGCCACATGACTGACGAGAGATAAAGCCACTGTACCTTATTTGTGGAACTCCTCTGCCTCTCGCTGCTGCTGACACATGATTTTCTCATAGGAAAGGACACTTTAACATTCTTCAACATTTATGGACATTTATCAACATGTGTTCTATATTATTTTTTGTGTCTTAACTGTTGATTCTCTGATTTTTGTTGGTGATTTCAATGGTTTTGTTAAGTCCTCTGAGGTGACTACTGTTGTGATTTAGGGCTATACAAGAATAAATAAATAAAAATGAAAAAAGTCTCAATCATCATGATGATCTTCCTGCAGCCTTCTCTGACCTGTCTTTCTCCTCGTTACCTCGTCTCTGCAGGTGGCTCTCGACGATCGTCACGCTCGTCACGCAGCAGAACGCCCCCTCCTGCCCAGAGTCCAGTACTGCGCTCCAGGGTGAATGGCGCTCTAGAACCCACTGTAGAGTACTCCACCTGCCCTCGCTCCATCTCAGACCCAGAGAGTAGCCCACAGACTCAGCCGGAGGAGCGACCCATCACCCCCACCGTCCTCGGATATGAAGTCATGGAGGAGAGGGCCAAGTTCACGGTATCAGATCAACACGTACTTTCTGTTTGATGTCATTTCTTGTCAACATTATGGAGAACCCCAGGAAGTGGCTAAATCTTACATTTCTCCTACGGGGATCAATAAAGTACCTATCTATCTATCTATCGATTGAGGCTCAGTCAGTTGAACGTCAGCTCACCTTTTAAAGGAGACGTATGACGCAAATTAGTTTTCTTATTTGACTGTTAAACAATAAGCTCATTGTTAAATAATAATAATAATAATAATAATGCATTGGTTTTATATAGCGCTTTTTTGGACACTCAAAGACGCTTTACATGTCATTATTCATACACGGTCGTGATAAATTACTACTGTAGCCACAGCTGCCCTGGGGCACACTGACAGAAACGAGGCAACCAGTATGTGCCATCGGCCCCTCCGACCACCACCAACCATCCACACACACACCGGACTCATTCTATATGGGGGTAAAGTGTCTTGCCTAAGGACACAACGGCAGTTTGGCACTTTACAGCCGCAGTCGCCCCACTGTGGTTGGTGTTCCCAGAGGTTAAGTGTCTTCCAAGGACACAGCGACAGCAGACAGTGGGAGTCGATGGTGAAGGTCGGACTTGAACCCACGACCCTCTGGCTCAAAGGCCAATGCTCTACCAACTGAGCTACTCTCGCCTCGCCTTTGCAATTCTTAGCTTGCAGTCACGTGACGCATCAATTTCTGGTTAATGAAGTGGTGGTCAGGCCAACAAAAATGGCTGCTGATATGCAAAGTAAATGCGACTCTTCTTCCAAGTATTTTCATGCTTTAGATTCTAATTATCAAGATCAATATATCGAAAAAGTCAAATTGTGTAACGGTTTAGATCCTGATGCGTTATCCAAGAATGATTTGTCTTACGAGTTGGAAAAATATCCGCCAGTTCAGTTCCTGGATATCTCAAACTATCTAGTGTGAGGTAGTCTATTTGTAGCAATTTAACCAGGTCAGATGAAGAAGGGTATAAAACTACACACAAGTCCAGGGACAATACTTAATGCCGGAATAACAAGCCGTGTAACAAGAATGAACCTCTGACTGTCAAAGTTTGGGCTTCTACACACTTTTTATGGTTGGTGTTGCAGTGCACTGAGACTTTAGAAGATTGCTGCAACAAATCTATGTCATATGTTCGTATAAAGACAACATGAGGTTAATTCAAAATCACATGAAAGCTAAATTTGACATTTTGACAGAATATACACAAGACTGAAGCCATGTTTTGTCTCCTTTTTTGCCTGAGACTGCGTAACGTCCCTCAAAAGGTTATGGGAGGATTTGTGTCTGGGCTCTACGAGTGCTTTTCTACTTTAGTCATAGCGATCACACGACCACACAGCCCTCTCTCACTACATGTTACGTCAACTTTTCCAGTTTTGTAAAGATGAGTCCCTCTTTGGCCTGAGAGCTGATTGGCTGCTGCCTTTATGCACTTAATGTGTGATATTACACAAGTACAATGTGGACAAACGTTCATTATAACCTAAATTTCCCTATGTGGGATTATTATTAAGGTATTGTTTTGTAATTATTGTATATCCATGTATGTAAATGGGCTAGAAGAAAGGTTTGTGTGATAGAGCGGAACAACATGAATAGATTTAAATATGCACTTCCATTTTTCATTGTATGTAAATTGCCGACTTAAAGGTTCAGTAAGCGATTTTGTTAGCTTAGCCGTAACACAAACTCGAAACCACTCCCCCCTCCCCTCCCTCTCCACCAAACCAAACATCCAGCCTTTTCTTTTCTTTGACACAACAGGGAGAGTGGGTGGCAAATGTGTAATTGGCATTTTCTGTTCAGCCCTTTTAGGTTTTAGAAAATCCGATAACTTGGGTGCGCTCACGAGAAACAGGAAGAGGGTGAAGGGGGTAAACGCATCCCATCCATCCATCCATTTTCTACCCTTTAATCCATTTCTGGGTCAGGGGGGTGGCAATCAGAGATGCCACCCAAGTCTCATAGCACCAGCCCCTCACTGATCCTCTGCAGGTGGTGAGTCCACAGGAGGACGGATCTTTCAGTGGGGGCTTTTGGCAAAGTGGGGTTAAGTGTCTTGCCCAAGGACACAACGACAGCAGTCATCAGTGGGAGTCGATGGAGAAGGTGCAGAGGTGGAGGTAAACGCATCCCATTGGTTCGTTTTAGATGAACCAATCCAATTGGTTTATTTTTATCTGTCCGCTCCAAAATATTTTTTATACATTTTTGGAGACTTCTGGCATCTGGTCAATTCCATTACTATTTGAAAACACATGATAACTTGACTACTTTTAGGATTTTCCCACAATATTTAAAAAAATGCATCTGGTAAAAATCACAGACTGCATCTTTTAATAATAACAACTGGTGCTTTTTAGTTAAAGAGAAAAACTACAGGGGGATATTTTAGCTATTTTTTTTAGTTAGGCATATCTGCTCTTTATTGGTTCCAGATTTTATTTTTATGTAACATTTTCTGGACTTTCCCCCACATTATATAGTATTCGTTTTCTAAATCGATTGCTTTTTTATGCAAGTGGATATGTGAAAATATTGTGTAGTCTACAACAACCATCCCCAGCCTTATCTCTTCAGCATGCTTCCCTGTTTCGTTTCAGATGTGACAGTTTGATTATGGATTGTGACGGTTTGGTTATGGACTGCGTTCCATTGCCATCTTTTTGCACAGGCCTTGTGTTTCGAAAGACAGATCCTCGTTCAGGGAGTGATTCTTTTGTGAGCGATTAGCCGTGTAAAAGGAATAAAGATTTGAAGCATATGCACTGACCAACCTCGGGCCAAGAGGTTCCAAGACTGTGATAAAACTTTAAAATTTGGAAAATTCAAGCCAGAGAAAAACTACCTGAATAGTTAATGATACTAAAAGATATCCCAGTTTTAATTATGTATTACAATTAGGGCTGTCAAACGATTAATTTTTTTTAGTTGATTAATCGCATAGTAATGGTGAGTTAACTCACGATTAATCGCATGTTTAACATTCTATTTTAAATCCACTCCAATTGAAGTTAAATGAGATTATCAAATATAATTACCAGTATTGGGTAAATTACTTTGAAAAGTAATTAGTTATAGTTACTTGGTACTTCTTCCAAAAAGTAATTGACTTACTGACTGAGTTACTCCACTATAAAACTAACTAGTTACCAGTAAAAGTAACTATTGCGTGGTACCGAGCTTTAGCTGGCTGTAATTTAGGATAACTTCTAAGTAGATTAATTGCTGCAACAACCCCACCCTATTTTAGTATGATATGTTAGTTTAGGGAACTTTCCTGCAGGCAAACAGGTATAAGACAGGCCAAGGTGCCATTTAATTAAATTGCATTTATTTTTATCCATTGATCAAACAAACAGATTACAAAACTTGCAATTGAAAGAGACAATTTTAAAATAATTAGTTCCCAAAAACACACACGAGCAACATTCGCGCCTGACAGTCAAGAACCAGGGAAAATACAGTGCGCAGAGCGCTGAGTATGTGAACGGAGCAATCGCTTGCTGCTGTTATTATAATAGTTAGATCCATGCTTGCAGCCCGTGCAAAGCTTGCACTCACTCACAGCCGCTAACAACAACCAGAGCGGCCACGGAGGAGGCCATCTCACACGCAGCATTCTGAGTGATATTCTTATGGATAAATGGGCGGGTCATTCGGACATGCGTTAATGCGTTTAAAAATAAATAACGCGTTAATAAAAACTGTAATTAACGTGAGTTAACGCGATAATTTTGACAGCCCTAATTACAATTCCTATACAATTATTCCATTTCACTCTCCCTAGTAAAGGCTTAAGGGAGATCCCAGAACCCCCCAATGTTTCAAAGACCCATTACACAAGTTGACAGCCAAAAAATGGTCAGGGATTTCTCAACTGATTTAGACTAATTTTGGTGTTCTGAGTCCGAATATCACATGCATTTTGCTCTATCGGGTCAACTTTTTGGAGATACAGCCATAGTGTTGGGGATTACGTAAAATGTTTTGTTACCCAGTGTTATAAGTACAGACAGACCACTCCTGATTGGTGCTTGGTAACTCCGCCGTTGCTACCAACTCAAATTGCATAAATCTGGTTCCATGCTCTCTCTCAAACAGCCTGTTGCAGCTTGCTCATATCGACTTCTTCCACATAAAGGCAAACAAGGAGTGACGTCAGCACTTCAGTCCTCTCCTAATAAACAGTCTGTTCCTAACTCATCTCTGTGAATAATTAGCTTTGTCATTAATGCATCTGGTCAGTCCTTATATGGATCATATCAATATAAACAGATGGATCACAGAGAGTGGTTTGTGTCACACTCATGATGACGGGGCTAGAGGAGTTACAAGTCAATTGGAGCCGGTGTGAGGTGTAGCAAAACTTCATCCTTGAGCACTTCCTTATTGGGCTTTATTAAATAAGGGGGTTTGCATTGTGGATCTATTTACAGTCTATGATAAACAAAAGTACAATGGATAGATTTGGCCACATAGTTATAGTTTTAAAATAAGCAACCAGCTTTGAAGTGGATGTCCGCCTCCTTTCAAATTGTGAAAGAGTGAAACTTGAAGACGGTTATAGCAGCCCACACTTGAGACACTAGATTTACTGTTCTCCTCCAGCAAAACTTAGTTAAACCAAGGGGAGAGACTGTTTTAAATGTTTTATATTATACAAGACCGTACAGAGTCCATTGGTGAGATCTGTATATTCTTTTGAAAATAAAACACAATTTAAGTTGCTGAGATCACCTTTAAGATCCAACTGTACAAAATGTAAAGTGTTGCAGATTTTTACTCTGCTCTTAAATATTGATCAGGAGTGTACCATTTGCTGTAAGTCTTTGTCTTTTTCCTCACAGGTTTACAAGGTTCTGGTCCGGAAGTCTTCAGGCGAGAGCTGGGTGGTGTTTCGCCGATACGCAGACTTCTCCAGACTCAACGACAAGGTGCGTTTGTTATTTCAGTTTGTCTATTTGTTTTATGGGGAGAGTTTGCCCCACCACAAAACCACTTTTTTTTTTTACCTGCTAAGACTGAATCTTTTGTGAGCCGATGCGACACACAGAGACCTAGTCTGGTCTAACCATACCATCATACAAATTTAATTTTGTTCTAAGGTCTGGATTTGCTCCATTGAGCTCCGTTAACAGGTGGGAGGGGCTTACTCATTTTGCCAATTGAAACAATTGGATCTGAGTTTGCTGTGACGTATGTAATCGATGAGTCACTATTATTTAGCGTTTAGCCTAGCTTTAGCGTTTAGCCTAGCTTTAACCATCTCCTTTGCCACTAACGGAGGCCGTGAAGAGTAGAGCAACAACATCTTTGCCGCAATGAAATCTGCAACATTCCTCTTGCTCTGGCTTTAATTTCTTGATATTTTGAGCCGAACCAGAACGGATTATTTTACTATCGCATTCTCCGCCGCTGCCAAACTACAACCAGAAAATTTGGTACAAACTCTTGACATCACCGTCACCGACCTACAACACCTGCCTCCCGCGGTCGCTGATTGGTCGGAGGGGATACCATCGAGGAAGCTGCAGCCACTAGGATCAGACCCAGACGTACATGTAGGATAATAACCAGAGTTTATGGATGAATAAGGCCAGGCTAAGAGATGCCTGGAGGGGGAATTGAACCCAGGACCTTCTGTTGTGAATCACCGCTGCTACTCACTATCACAATATACACAGAGACCATGTGGATAAACACACACACACTGACACAGAGACCATGAGGACAAACTAGTACATCTGACCACTCCACTCTAAGCTAGTTCATCTTTTTCCCCAGTTTTCTTTTGTTCAGCAACTATGGAAGCGTTTGAGGCCGTTTCAAAGTGAACCACTGTCTGAAAAATACCTTGATCCTACTCAGTCAAAAATGCTGAAATGCTTTGATAATATCTACTCCTAAAACCAGCGACGGCACAAACAAACAAAATTGAAACCGCCACTGATTGAAAACTTTGTACGTTTCTCTGATATCACATGCAATAGATTCCAATTCCACGCCTGTTTGAGAGTTTAGGAGACAAAAACAATAATAGTGTATCTGGGAAAGAAGACAAGAGATGGTATCTAGCCACAATGCAGCGTAAGCCACACATGTTTATGTTCCCTGGGCTGGTTAGGACTGGATCAGTGCTTTCATATCATTTTGAATATTTGGAATTTATTCAGTGTACAAGGTGGTCTGTTCTCATTTTCCAAGTTTAAAAAATAATATCTTTCTCCACTAACTTTACTTTTCTTATTACATTCTAGCACCAGACCAATAGAATGATGTTAAAGAGAATACTGTGCTTTTGATGCAGATACATTTAAAGTTGACATAAGAGAATGCCCAACATATAGCATATGCATCGGTTTTAAAGACTGAGTCTATGTGGTTAATGTGGGTCACTGAGAGACCAGAGAGAGACCAGAGAGAGACCAGAGAGAGACCAGAGAGAGACCAGAGAGAGACCAGAGAGAGACCAGAGAGAGACCAGAGAGAGACCAGAGAGAGACCAGAGAGAGACCAGAGAGAGACCAGAGAGAGACCAGAGAGAGACCAGAGAGAGACCAGAGAGAGACCAGAGAGAGACCAGAGAGAGACCAGAGAGAGACCAGAGAGAGACCAGAGAGAGACCAGAGAGAGACCAGAGAGAGACCAGAGAGAGACCAGAGAGAGACCAGAGAGAGACCAGAGAGAGACCAGAGAGAGACCAGAGAGAGACCAGAGAGAGACCAGAGAGAGACCAGAGAGAGACCAGAGAGAGACCAGAGAGAGACCAGAGAGAGACCAGAGAGAGACCAGAGAGAGACCAGAGAGAGACCAGAGAGAGACCAGAGAGAGACCAGAGAGAGACCAGAGAGAGACCAGTGAGAGACCAGTGCACGTCCGGCTTCATAAACGAGATGCTTCACATGTATCACTCCTTACACTGTGGTGATAAACTACTACAGCTGCCTTGGGGCACACTGACAGAAGCGAGGCCACCAGTATGTGCCACTGGTTTCTCTTCCTGGTATGGCGGCACATGCAATTAAAGCTGCGGTACCTAACGTATTTTGTTCAATAAACAAATAATACATATTTTTTGTGCCAACAGAAAGTCTTGTAAAAGTGAAATCTTATTAGAAAATGTTATTTTTTGCATACTTGCAATAGCCCTGGGAGTTACTATTGTCTGTTCTCCTGGTTAAATAAAGGTTAAATAAAATAAAATTTGAGAGATGGTTGAGGATGGGGCTGAGTGAGGGTGGTCCTCTCTTTTCCACTTTTTTGTCTGAATAAAGCTGATCTAAGCTTTGCCAGAGTCCACAATAAACGCATGAGAAAACTAGTGATAGAAGCTAACTGTTCTGAGGACGTGGATTCTATTATCATTCCATTGTTGGTTTGAAAGTTGCGTACCCCAGCTTTAATGGCGACATTCCAATGCACTAACCTCTAATGCTCTCGGCCACTACATACAGTTATATAATGGTACATATCGCTGTGTAGTTTAGCGTAGCGTGACTTCTTTAGGTCTTGACTCAATCATTCTGAGTAAATATTCTGTGTCTTGATGGTTCTGTCGATAGTGACATGTTCTAAGCTCTTCACTTATCGCCTTTGTTCATCTGCATTTCATCTGCCGCACTGCCCACTTCAAACGTTACAGAACGACCTGTGCGAAATCAAAACCATCCAACACGCTCGCTTTGTTCAACTTCAAACTAAAATATGATATGGTGATGTAACGTGATACTTTCTCATGCAATCGATTATCGATATACTTTTACTAAGTATCAATTTAAAAAATAAATAAATATTATAAAATATTAAAATTAAAATTATAAAATAAAAAAATATTTTTGTTAAGCTTTACTTGAAAAAAATAAGTATTGATACTTATATTTGGCTACATTACGCATTCTACAATTTCTGCAGAATGTTCATATTGATTTTATTGGATGTGACAGATTAAGTAAGATTTTTACTAAAATGTGCAGGTTAAAAGGCATTTTTGCTTGTTCACTTTAATGTTACACATGACACTTTCATCCATTTATCTTGAAATAAAGTTTTCACTTAATTTATGCCATTAAATATAAGAAAAATATTATCGTAGGTATATTTTTGACCAATATACCGATAATTGCTGCATCGTCATATCGTGAGATAATCGTTATCATGAGCTTTGTATCGCACATTGTATCATATCGTGAGGTACCCTGAGGTTCCCACCCCTAATACAGACTCATACATGCAAAGTTATATTCGCCTTTGTTTGTTATATATATATATATATATATATATATATATATATATATATATATTAATTATTGCCATTTTTATTAAATTTGAGGTTTTTACAAGCTGTGAGCCTTCCACTAAAACAGTCTATCAAAATGGTTTCTAATATCCACTACAGACATCTTTCTAATCCACTGTTCAGAGATTTGGGAAAACTGAAACAGCAGGACTTTATAAATGTATGAATAAGAGTGTGGAATCATTAACCACTTTCTCATTTTCTTTTGTACATATGATTACTGCTACTATTACTGCTGCTATTTCTGCAACTGCTGCTAATGCTGCATCTGTGACTACTGAAACTGCTGCTGCTGCTGCTACTGTTGTTGCTGCTGATACTAGCGTCATACACTGAGGATCTTTTCTGAATCTCTGGAAGGGGTAAATCCATGGTTTTATCTTAATCTGGCATCTGAAACCATTTGAGGTGAGGTGACCAATATTGAGATTTCATAAGTATAATAAATAAACTACAGGACCCATGGTTGTCACTAAGCTTGCAATACCAGCGTCACAGTTTGCATAGTGTTGTTGTTTTTGGGCCTGTTTTGTAGCTTTTTGACGAGGGTTTTAATCAACAATGGAGAGGATGGAATGTCTTGCAAACAGAGGGCCTTGTGAAATCCAATATGCCTCCACTAAGCGCATATGTCAGTGCAACGGGTCATGTTATGTTTCCAGTTGTTCAAATCTATGGGGAGCGAGTTTTTATTAAAATAACAGCTCAGGACTCAAGGGGAGGTTGTTGTTCTTGCTTCTAACCAGTTTTGAAGAGAAAACAGAGCGAGTGACAAAGCCGGGCCTTGGAGAATATGCCGGAGAGCAGGTGAATGTGACTATATATGACGCAGGTTTTGTTGGAGAAATATTAACATTGGGAAAATGCATTTTTCATTCTTAAACATTTCAATATTATTTGCGTTTTCTTTAGAGGGGTTCCCATTTTGTGTAATGCATCAAATATGATATAATAAAATCAGGACCTTCTGGCTCTTAGACGTGTTTAAGCAGGAAATATTATACAGTATGTTTGTCCATTTAAATTATAGTTTTTACTTGGTCATTTTGGTAAAGGTAAAGGTGCGCTTTATTGATCCCCCGTAGGGCAATTCATCCTCTTTGACCCATCCTGATGCCGCTAAGGCTTACGTCAGGAGCAGTGGTCACCGTAGTACAGCACCCGGGAACCCATCTCCAGATGTTGATGCTTGGCTTGGTCAGGACCAGAGCTGGAGGATTTAACCTAATTTCATGTTTTATATTGTGATAATACATTTTCATCAGAAAATATATGGGGACACGAGTCCTCAGACTGCCCTCTCCTGGATCTACCATCAGTGACATGGCTAATGAATAAATTTCTGAGTAGTACAGAAGAGACAATGGAGAGAAAAAAATACAGCTGTAAAGACTTTAGGTCTGTGTTTTTGTGTTTTTGCAGCTGAAGGAGATGTTCCCTGGCTTCCGCCTCGCGCTGCCACCAAAGCGCTGGTTCAAAGACAATTATGACAGTGAGTTTCTGGAGGAGCGACAGCTGGGACTGCAGGCCTTTCTGCAGAACCTCGTAGCTCACAAAGACATCGCACACTGGTGAGTGCACACAGAAGAATGATATAGAAATTACAGCGTGCAATGGGAACTACTCAAACAATTCTTATGCTTTTTATGTTGAAGTAAAAAGTTTTTTTCTTATATGAACATTTAATGTGAACTTTACTCCACAAATGTGTACAGTATGATAGTTACACGTCCAATTCTAAGGCCTGGACTCCACCGGGCGCGTCTCCGTTGACGCGCGTTGGCTGCTGTCCGTCAGACGTCCGTAAAACGGACTAGTGGTCAAACCGGCTGCAGCAGCGCGCAACTCTGGCTGTGCGTTTATCAGCTTCTTTGTTTTTGTAGGAGACACGTTTGGGCATTGTGTGAATGAATGAATGTTTGGCTGATGGAGGAGTTATGTATTGTCGGCGTGCATGTGTGCGAGCGCCCGTGTGTGTCTGTGTGTGTGGTGGGAGGCATGTGTGTTTGGGTCTGTGACAGCAGCGTTTATTATGATCCACCTCTTCGTTTGTTTTCTACTTATTTAGCGCGTCATACACTTTTATCGAACCCAACTCGCCTCTCCGCGACTTTAGGCAACAGGCAGAGCTATAGTTTTAAATAGAAGAAGCGGTGTGTGATTTGTATGAGCTGTGGCTATGATCTATGCAAAGCACAGCATATTGAAGCATTGAGGACGTCGCGATGGATGAGGCAAAACTTATTGAAAGCAATTGGAAAAAGGGGAGAGAGAAAAGAACTCCAACATATCCAGTGTTGTGAGATCTGTCTCTCATAAGTGCAGCTCTGTGTGTGTGTGTGTGTGTGTGTGTGGGAGCGCGCAGCGGTGGGGAGAGAGCGCCTCGGAGGTAGACGGGACAGAGCGAGAGAAAAAAAGAGCGAGGTGTATGTAAAGTTTAGCGTATTAACATTACGCGAAAAACAAATGGTAGATGTACGATCAGGAAACAATTATTAAAGTAATACATGAAAAAACGTTACACACGTTTGTTAATAATCATTGTCATTAACAAATACTTATAACCAAGGACTACAGCATATATCAATACATGTTTAATAATGTTGTAAATATATTATTCCATTGTATTTTCAATGGAAAACGGACCCGACACGCGTCGACGGACGGAACAAATAGGATTGTTTCTATTTCGTCTGTCCGCGTCAGATGCACCCTCCGTTAACGTAATACGTCCGACGTGCGTCAGACGGACGCATGCGGAGGCAGTGGAGCCACTTCCATTCACCCTCATGGAGATAACGGAGACGGAGATGAAACAAATGTTTGGACGGATCCGTTGTCCGTTTTACGCACCCGGTGGAGTCGGGGCCTAAAGGTACTCTACTGGAGAGAGTTGCTGTGCCCTCTCCAGGCTGTGGAAAAGTCCTTCCTCAAGTGCAGGAGATATGATCACAGATCAGTGCAGTGTGAGCAGTGATGCGGTCACTGTATGGGACTGCTGTGTCGAAAGGCAAAGCTCTTGATTACAGATGGAAACAAGCTTTCTGAATCTGGTGCAGCCATCTTTTCAATGTCCCTGTACACTGTCATTTAAATAAACAAATGGATAAATGCAATTTGGGTTAAAGACAAAAATCAAATCATCGATACAAGCGTCCAATTCTTATTCTTGCATTGCCCTACAGTATTTATCTCAGAGGACTTTACACAACCGTTGAATTCGCCAACACTGATCAGAGAATCAAACAGTTCAAACACAGGAAATCAAACAGAAAACACATTGGTATTGGTCCATTAGGGGCAGATGAGCAATGTCCATAAATGTTGTTGAATGTTGAGTGTCCTGGATACCACTGTCCTTTTAGTTAGACCTCACAAGACCGGGTCAAAAGGAGTTTCCTTTGCAGAACAGCTGGGTGCTTCCTAGAGATAGACGAGGAGATACACAGTGTGAGTTATGAGGCCCTTGTTTGTGGAGCATCTGCTTCTGATGTCTTCCTGGGAAGATGTTCAAAGTATCTCCCACCAGGAAGAGGTCCCAGTGAAGACAAGGATGCTGGAGAGACTTCAGTATGTCTCAGACCTGGGAATGAAATGTGCGTCAGTTCTCAAACTGCTGTCTCTAAACTAGAAATATTCTGAATTTTTTTGTCTATTATAAAATTATTATGAGACTATACATTGTTGTATCAAATATGCCGGGTAAAAATGCTTTCTACCTGTAACTCTCTATGCTACCGCTAGAGGGAGGAGTTGAATTTGCCTTTTCGTTTTTTTTAATATTTTATTTTATTTGAGAATTACTTACTGCAAGCTGTAATTCTTAAAAGAAATTGCCAAAACAAACAAAACACTTTTGTTTTGAAGGGAGGAATGCAATGACATTGTATTAATACAGTGCTTTTAGACAGAAAGGGTCTGTGCCTAAAGTTAAGTGGCTGTCTCTAAAAACAACTGTAGGTTTATTTTCACGAAGGAACATGGTTAAAAGATCAAAAATGAGATTTTTTGTCAATAATAAACCATGACCTTGGAATATTTTATTTGTCTTTTTTTTCCTTTTAAAATTGGCTTCCAAAAGTTACTCATAGTCTTAACCTTTGAGCTTTCCCAAATCCAGCTGAATGTCAGTGGGTTAATTTGATGCCCGTTTTTCTGTTTTTACAGCCAGCCGGTGAGAGAGTTTTTATGTTTGGACGATCCCCCTGGACCTTTCGACAGTCTCGAGGAGAGCAGGGTGAGCTCCTCTATCCATAACAATGCCAGTTTGTACTACCATATGTCTACTAAAGACATATGGCATCTTTTATGTGCAACATTATTTGAATCTTTGGAAAGCCTTTGTTAGTAATTGTATCATGGAACAGTTAGAATCTCAATCTAAATCAATAGATAAAGGCTCTACTGGTTTGTTTCCTTCACCTTGACTTTGTTATCTGCTCTTTCCTGTGGCTGTAAACTTCTGTCGTTGATGGAATTTGAGCATAATTGGAAAATGGATCACGACTGTTTGTACAACTGGTCAACTTTAGTTCTGGTTCACGATGGATTCGTTCCGGCCTGGCGTGCATTAGTGCCGCGAGTTTACGTTTTATTGATCAATGGTTCTTATTATTTTCCTCAATTATGTGAGGGGTAAATCAGAGGTTCGGTGGACGCATGCCTCGTCAAAAACATATTTTTATGCTGTTGTTGAGCCATAAAAATACAAAATAATGAATAAATCTGGGCATGTTTTCGAATTATATTAGATTAGTCATAATACATTATTTAATACAATTCTTTTATTGATCCTGAATGTAATTAATTTTGGCTGCAATTTCATACTTGCATGTACAGTATGATATTGATGTGAAATCACCTCCATGTTTACCTCCTACAGATTTAGTAGAAAGCCGACCCCTGATTCTGTCAATAGCCTGCTGTGGTTATGTTGTATAGCATGATGTTTCACACACCACTGGGTTTTATTGGCATTTTATTGGCAGAATATGTGCGTGTTATTGCTCTTTATGTGTTGACATGAGCGGCACACCGGCAGACAGATGTCAAACGCTCGGCTTCTTCCTTTCTTGCTCCGGCTGTAACAAGATAATGGATTTCATCACAACTCAGAATATTTTTTATTGCCATTATGAGTAACAGGAAGTCAAACTAGAAAAATGCTTTGTCTTTTGATGCGAACTTGTAAAAATGGAATAAGGCATGCATAGATATAAATAAGACAATAAAACAACATTAAAATCTACGCAGCATTTCTTAAAATTACTACTAAATACAAGTGCTCTAAATACACTCACATTTGAACAGTTATCAACTCATTTATTAATCAATTAATCGTTTTTCCTCTTTTAACCATTCCTGGACAGAAACAGGTTAAGAGGATTGCTAAATTATTTACAGAATGACATGGAATCGTTTTTAAAAGCATTTCTAATCAAACAACCAATTGTAGCACTGGCCGGACTGTTAAGCACACCTGTATACAAATAGCAACAGCTAAATTTAAAGAGGTAGTCTATCCATCCATTCATATTCTTCCACTTTATCCGTTGCCGGGTCGCGGGGGCTGCATTCTAAGCAGAGAGGCCCAGACACACCTCCTCCAGCTCAGGAGAGAGTATTTCCACAGAGGCTGCACTTCAACATACGCTGCAGGTTTCAATATTGTAATTGTAATTGACCCCTCAGGCTTATATATTGGTGTGGCTAATATGTGTATTTTTATTGTGGTGGTCTTGGGCTGTTGTCAGAGCAGAGTTGATGGACTTATTATTTTGACTCCCTCAAGTTTTAGTAGCTACTGGACACTTCTTTATTATCCAAACAGATGAAGGTGAATGTGTCCTGGTAGCTAACAGTTAAATACCTTGTCATCAAATCATATTGTGTCCCGTTAAAACAGTTGTCTCTCTACTACAATGAAAACCTGCGGCTTGTATTCAAATGTGTACTTTTATGCTGCAAAAGTGGCAGGGAGCTACTCCTTTTTGCAGTTGTGATTAAAAAAAAATCTATAGAGAACACATAAATATACATGATACTGTAAAACCCTATATTTATGCTCACAATAGATTGACTCAAAATGTATTCATCATTTATGAAATTCTAAATCCTTTGGGGAGCTACTGAAAAGGGCCTGGCGAGCTACTGATATCTCCTGAGCCGCAGGTTGGAGACCCCTGATGTAAGCTGTGCTGCTTTTCTAGAAGTGTACCTTTATAGTCCAGAAAATACAGTATTTTGACGACTACTTCTACTAAAAACAAGTCCTGTGTTTTTTCCTGCACTTCCTCCTGCTTCTCTGCTGTTCACATAAACACACGTTGCCTATCCTCTGGTTTGGAAACATTGCTGTACTATATTCCCCATAGGAGCTCTCTGTCTGGCCACTCCGGTTCACTTGTCCCAATAAAAGGCTACTCACACCTCCCTCAACTCGACTTGTTTTTCAGGCTTTCTGCGAGACGTTGGAGGAGAGCAACTACAGACTTCAGAAGGAGCTTCTGGAGAAACAAAAGGAAATCACATTATTAAAGAAAGAGCTTGAGGGGAAGGAGCAGGCCATCCTTCTGCTGGAGAAGCGCCTCAAGTGAGTGCATTCACAAGTAACAGCTTTGTGACATGAAACTACAATCAGTTTCATTATTTCGGCTGATTAGGAGGGTCTGTTAGATTGTAAGTGGGTCTAACCAGAAGGAATGTGGTGATGATCCAGGACACTCAACATTCAAAAACATTTATGGACCTTTATCAACACTTATAGACATTGGTCAACTCCCCCTATGGACAAATACATGTTCTCTATTCTTTGTGTTTGAACCGTTTGATTCTCCGATCTGTGTTGGTGAATTCTGTTGTAATTTAGGGCGATGCAAGGCTAAATTGAATTGATCAGACAAGAGCAGTACTTCCCTCATCTACTCAAGGCGATATCCATATTTATCAGGTTTAACACAAAAAATACTTTAAAATCCAAATGTTTATTTAATTGATCAAAAGTAAAAAACAGTTTCTTATTATTTAACTACGTTCGTGTTTTATCTTATTTCTTATTCTTTGTCTTTGTTTTTATTTTTCTCTTGTTTTACTGGGTGTAGGTACACACGGGGGAAAGGAAAAAAATAAGAGTGATAAAAACGAGATGAAAAAGTGACAAATGTGGCCATAATATGACAACAATGTGACGATAAAGTGACAAAAATGTGACGACAATGTAACAAAAAATGTGACAATAAAGCGACAAAAAATGTGACGACAATGTAACAAAAAATTTGACAAAGATGTGACCATAATAGGACGACAAGGTGACGATAACGTGACAAAGATGTGACCATAAGGTGACAAAGATGTGACCATAACGTGACAAAAATGTGACGACAATGTGACAAAAATGTGATAAAGATAGGACCGTAATGTGACAAAAATGTGACTATAACGTGACAAAAATGTGACGACAATGTGATGAAAATTTGACGACAACGTGACAAAAATGTGGCCGAAATGTGATAAAAAAATGAGACAATAAAAAGAAAATTACAAAAAAAAAAAAAAGTATAAACATTTGTGGAATAACACAGTAATCCTATTGATGCCAAATGTGACATGTGCATTTCTCCATTGTGAGATCAATATTCATGGGTCTAAAAGCCAGGATAGGCTTTGACTAGATCTTACTAACAAACAGACTAAACAAACCAGTGAAACCAAATTAAAGCTGGGATACCTTAATTCATATCACCACCAGTGAGTCTTTGAACCTCTCAAAACAGTTTGGCACAACGCTGGTTTTCTCTTTCAAGTTTTTTGGGCACAACTTTTTCAGACAAAAAACTGATACGGACTCTCATTCAGCCATTTTTACCAAATGTGGGAAAAGATAATGTTCAAGTCTTTCCCCAGATCATTGTTTGATGGCGATAACTGAGATTCACAAATTCACCAAATTATTCTTATGCACGATGTAGAAAGGACTATTGTTCATATGTTTTTGAATATTGTCACAAATTCTAGACACCTCTTTATAAGGAAAACTGGATCATAATTGATATGTGCAAACAAAGAAGATGTGAAACTTTGAGACAGTTTTTGTATTTTCTGAATTGGTCCAGGAATTAGACATTACTTCTCTTGTGTTAGTTACCATAGTTACTCGGAAAGATTGTTCAGATTTTCCACAGTTTTAAACACTAGGCTTACTGGAATGTTGGGATATCATATGAAGGCAACCTGCACCATTAAGACGGCAATATAGATACAAGTGCTATTGTTTTTTTTTTTTTCCCGTAAAATCTTGATAGACTGCTGCCTTCATCTCTTGGTGTAACGATTTATATGCATTGGATTTTATGAAATGTCTGTTTTTGTTCCAGTGGAGAGACTCAGGACTCGCCCTGTGTTTCGGTTCAGGGCAGTGAGAGCAGCGCAGAGGTGGAGTCTTCTACAACAGAGGCCGATCAAGACATCGTACTCAACGGGTAAAAATACACTTGATCATAGTGGACAGTAGCTAATGTTTACACTTTGTTTTAGTGTATTCTTCTGATTCTGTTCATACTTTTCTCTCCCTGTCTGATTTTAATTAAAGCCGGGTAACTTTCAATCTACAAAAAGTGGAAATATGTATTGAAATCCGACTGATAGGTTCCTGGCTCTATCTCTAGTTTTAATTTATGTGCCATGTATCATATCTTTAAACCAGTTTTTTCAAAGGGAAGAGTGAAACAGAGAGGACCACTGTCACTCAGCTCCTGGCTCAAAGTGTCAAACAATGGCACTTAGTATTGAAAGTATTGAAAAGATAACATGTTTTCCTTTAAGCTGCAGACATCCTGTTGTAATGATAATATTTTTTGTTGTGCTTTTTATTATGAAAGCTCTGTAAATACCCCTATTTTAGATTTTGTTTTCACATTTCAAATAACTATTGAAAGAAATTGTGGACTATCTAATTTGTACATTGCATTGAATCACTCGGGTGTCATGATAACTTTTTACTTTGATATGTGTAATTGTGTTATTTTGACCTAAAAAGGGAAAAACTTAACGGACTTTTCTCAAATGTCTGAGAGGTTAAAGTCAGGGTTAAGTAGCGTCAGTAAATCTTTTATAGTTTCTCTGAACCCTTCTTAAGTTTGGACTTGTTTTTCTATCACAAAAGGATACAGCAAGATGTCTCCTTAGTAACTAATACAGAGGGTCTTGAGAGTACACCTTTAACTTTGGCACATTTAAACTCTGTGTGAAGTGGGAGAGAAATGCCACAATTGTAAAGTGCTTTGTGACTCTGGTCTGTGAAAGGCGCTGTATAAATAAAGATTACTTACTTAGATTAACCTCTGAAATAACCAAAAATAAAATAAATATGGGTTTAAAGTTGGACATTTCGACATCAGCCACAAAATGGCGATCAATCTCTATATTTTAAGAAAGTCCAATAACGCCTCTTTCTATCCCTATTCTGTTTCAAATGCAGTTTTCTCTGTCAAGGACCGAGCTGTTTTTTTGCCTTTTTAACCCCACTGTTGCATTTTAAGTTCTTTTTTATAAAAGTTTGGCCGAGTGAAGTCACTTGTTTGTCACCAATGTAGAAGGGGAAAGTTTAATTCCAAACTGCGGAATATTTGAGGCCAAAGACGCGTAATGTATCCTAGAAAACAGCAACTGGTTTTATATAGTGCTTTTTATCAGACACAACAAAAGTCTGGCACTTTACAGCCGCAGCCGCAAGATTTAATTAACAAAAATAACAAAATCCAGAACTCTAAACAGAGCTCCGTAATCCAAACTCGAACCACAAAGAAACACAATAGACCAACAAAGATGGGAGGAGCACAGGGTTTAAATACACACAGGGAGACACAACAGGAGCAGCACAGGGTTTTAATACACACAGGGACACACAACGGGAGCAGCACAGGGTTTGAATACACACAGGGACACACACAACAGGAGGAGCACAGGGTTTAAATACACACAGGGACACACAACAGGAGGAGCACAGGGTTTAAATACACACAGGGACACACACAACAGGAGGAGCACAGGGTTTAAATACACACAGGGACACACAACAGGAGGAGCACAGGGTTTAAATACACACAGGGACACACAACAAGAATAGCACAGGGTTTGAATACACACAGGGACACACAACAGGAGGAGCACAGGGTTTGAATACACACAGGGACACACAGGTGAGACACAGGGTGGGGCAGACAGTAAACAGCACAGACATAAAGCCAAACTCAAATGAAACAATATCAAGATAGTACTGACCCTGCCCTGCTTAGCTTAGCGGAGTTCTGATGGATGTGACTTCCACCTGCAGGCGGCGCCGATAGCTAAATAAAGGGACATGGGACATACACGACCGAGAGATTAGTGGAACTCGCCCATATTTGAGCAATGTCCAGTCCTCCTGGTTCTGCGCAGTGGACGAGCTCCCATGATGCGTTGCGCCAAATACGCGTGTGTGGCTCTCATGCACAGAGTTTCTCGGCCTCTGACCAATCAAAGCTGCTGATCAGAGCGGAGCTAGAGTGGGAATTAGAGCGGGAAGGAAAGGAGCAGAGTTTGTGGCAGTAAAGTGTGTATTTAAAGAAAGAAGAAAAAAAGTGAAGGATGACAAGGGACACTAAAATCCCCACAAAATCTGACCTTTATGAAAGCTGCAAGGTTCTCAGGTTCTCTGACAGCTGAGCTCGAGCTATTTAAGTTTACATTGATATCTATGGGACTTTTTTCTGGGTAGCCCATGTGAATATTGTCTGCAGTACCACGGGCGCCTCCTGTGCCCATAGGTGGGACAGCTATAAGCTAGTAATACCCTATCCAGTTATTATTATAGATACATGGCAACACAACACAACAGGGGCAGCGGGCGTAATTAAAGGATCTTTTAATTGTTCCGCAGTGGGGAAATTTCAGTATTGCATCACAAGAGACACAACAGTATGAATGAGCAGCATACGAAACAAGAAATAAAGTACAGAACTCTAATCTATAACTCTATATTCACAGTGAAGAATCTTGTTTGTAGCATGAGGTTCTGGGCCAATTTCACACGAATTATAACAAAGTCAATTTTAGCTAGACAATAAATTAGGTAAAAAGTAGACTAAATTAAGTAGAGAAATAAGTTGTTACTCATAAATCTGTCCCCGTCTGATAATTCCACAGTCTCCTTTCTGCTCTCAGCATCCTTCTGTACTGTATATGTACTCTATCTATATTGACTTAATCCATTATTTTCTTTTGACTTTTTTTTTTTTTCCTTCAGCAGCTCTTCCCCAGTTTGACAAAGAGCCTAAAACACGTGAGGTACAGTGTGCTCCTGCTGTGCAAACTAATGACATGTGTGTTCTGTGCGTCTGTCTCTGCTCCAGTGGTTTGGTGTTGACTCATGGTTTTAATATGTCCCTAACGCTGCTTAAAGTGGTTCTCACCCCCGCTCCTCGGAGCTTACGTCACTCACTTCATTTCCTGTTCAAATCTTCCTCTAAATGGGCGTAGCCTGGAGGAGGCGTGAACGAGACTGGGCCGTTTACATTGCTCTGGGCGGGGGGCTGCTGACGTCAGGTCCAACTTGCAGACGTCAGGTCCAACTTCTGTGCCAGTGTTGGCGCCAGATTCAAAATTCAAATGTAGTAATACAGGTCGCCAGCAGATGGCGACCTGTTAGGCAGAAAGTTTAACTTTCAACTAATTTGCACCAAAGTGAAAAAACTATGACCAGGATATGTAGACAACACTATTGGACACTCATTTAAATCGTTTATCAGCAAAAAAAAGTGGATTTGAGGGTGAGTTGTCCTTTAAGCTGCTGTTTTATCTTCCACGTATCTGCTGTAACTGTTGCATGTGTGTTTTGTGAACACCATAAAATTAGGACGGATCATTTTGCCATTTGAAACCAATAACGTAAAACGGGGAGAGACTATATCTGTATTGATCTGGGTTGTTTAATACAAGCCGTGTTGGTGTATCTATTTATTTATATCAGTTTGATATATTCACATTATATGCTACGGAATTTGTCTATTTCAAAATCTGGAAATCTGGGGTTGTTTTTGGCTCTATCCACGCTAATATCACAACTTAGTCTCCCGGCCCCTTCTGTCAATATCTCCTATATTGAACTTTTACCTCTATGACAAATCCTCAGCCGAGACGGGGCAATACTTTTGTTTTTAAAGGCAGATTACGGCTCTAAATTAGGGCAAAGAGTGATGTGATTACCAACTCTTTATTATTGAGACTTTACCCATGTCACCACATTGTTTTCTCATCAGTCACAGACCTGGAGTTGTGTTTAGATCCATCCATGCTAGTAACAGGGATTTCTGGCGCAGACATAAAGCCACGCCCCTTCTGTTTTTTAGCTCCTGTCTCAGTCCTGTAATAGTATGATGTCTGTCAGGGATGAAGCAGACAGAGACGGATCGTGGTGCGCCAAACTTTGGAAGTTTATTTAAGTTTCTCTCAAGTTCCAGTGGTTTCCCTTGTTTCTTTATCTCAGACAGAATGGAGTCAGTACACAGTTTATATAGTCATTGTCACGTCACACATGGAAAGACGTACGTGTCACACAGATACAGTCACATCATAGTCAAAATAATCAGAGTCCTTGTACAGTCCTGCACGTAGGCCATATTGCTATCTAATACTAACATGTCATTGTACCATTACTTTGCCAGTGCCACACTCATAAATCAGTTTTGGTAATTTCTCAATCGTATGTCTGTAGTTGCAGCTGGTAATTTTCAAATTTAGAAAAAAAGAAATCTATTATTCCTGCCGGTGGTAGCTTAGAGTGTTGCAAGCTGAAAGCAAAGATATTATTCACATTCTAAAACATGAAATGGTTTACCAAAGAAATAATTAATATTATTATATGACTTGGACCGTACGCGCGCTCTAATTGGTCTGATATTTTCCCATCTCGGACGGTTACCATGACAATTGGTCCGCAGCGCGTATCACACAAAACCAAGTCGGACATGAACATACTTCACAAATATCTCAAAAGCATTGGTAAAGACACAAACGAGAGTCATATAATAAAACATTTATTAACCTTGCTTGCTCGGTTAATAAGCAGTTATTATTTGGTCTTTAAGCCTATAGCTGTATGTAAGTTATTACAAAGCAAGTCACTAATTATCAATAATGACATCTACATTCATCACATGAAACCTACATATATTATGATATAATATTATTGTTAGTGGTATTGTGAGGTTGTCATAGTATTTGTTTTGTATTGAATTAAAAAAACATAATTCTGCGTTTTGACCATAACAGAGAAGTAAATATAGGATATTAGTGCTGCACGATATCAGAAATTAGAGCGATATTCGATATGAGTGTTTAGCACATTAGTCCAGTTACTGGCTTCCTGTGGCTCAGAGAATAGACTTTAAAACAGCTCTGCTTGTGTACAAGTCTCTCCATGGCCTCGCACCAAAATATATTAGTGACATGTTAGTCCCATATGAACCAGCCCGGACTCTGAGGAGCACAGGGACTGGACTCCTGTTAGTGCCCAGAGTCAAAACTAAACATGGGGAGGCAGCTTTTCAGATTCATGCTGCTAAAATCTGGAACAGTCTTCCTGAAGATGTGAGACAGGCCTCCTCTCTGACAATGTTTAAAACCAGGTTAAAAACAGTTCTGTTTAGCTGTGCTACAACTGAGGAATTTTATATTTGTATCTTTCTATTTAATGTACTGTTATTATTGTGCAGCTCTATTGGATATCTTAATAATCAGGTCTTGGTGTTGAGAAATGGAAACAGACAAACCTCCCAAGTGTTCTTTTGATGTTGAAATGTCTCACAGTGGATGAGAGTCCTGTCATTTATAGCAGTTTTAAAATATTTGAAAATGTTTATGAGGCAAAATCCAGAGAAAAGAGAAGCTTGACCTGAAACCTGTCATCTAATAAAGTTGACAGACGGAACGAGTCAGAAATGGAGAAAAGAAAGAATGCAAACTATGGCATTTATTGACGAAGACGTTAAATGCAAATTTGGCTTTCCAGAATCAAATCGTTTCAACATGTCTTTAAAGAAAGTTATCATTTACAAAATGGCTCTCAACGTTTGACCAAGTTATAATTGTGCCTTATACCTTCGTCGTTACCTGCATTTACAAAGAATCAGTAAAAACCAAATGCATGTAAAGTTGTGTATGATTTAGCATGTGAACCGGATCCTTATGAGACACTGGTCAGTGATGCAGTGAGAGCGCAGGGAAACATCGGATACACACACTTTTAGAATTTTCTTGAAGTCCCTCACATTTCACTTTTTTTTTTTTTATGAGAAGCAAAAGAAAAACTTGTTGCGTTTAAGAGCGATGTGGAAATAGGACTTGGTGAGCGAGTCTGAACCAATCAAATGCCCAAAGTTAACTAAATGTTGTGTGCGTAACTGCGTATAATATACTGTATATGATGGCAATTGTATTTACAGTTACACCATTTTTTAGTAATGGAGAAAGTTACGAGGCACATTGAGCTTTGTGAGACATCTTTGGGAGGCGCGCAAAGACAGGGCCAAAACTCGTCTGCAGCTCTCACAAAATTACAGTAGTGTGTCATTTTTTAACATACTGTTTTGTAAATATTGTGTTGTATTGTTTTGGCCTTGCTTGTCTAAATATCCAACTTGAATATTTGTTCTAAGAAAAATGCAGATTTAAATTTTGGATGAGGCTTTTGTTTAAGTTTTGTGAAGTTGAAAAGCAGTATTAGTAGAAGAGCCTAGCAGCATTAAGCAGAAAAAAGATGGCTGCGCCAGGTTTGGCAGGAGTTGTTACAGCTCTCTTTCTGCATACAATAATGAGCAATCTCACTATTTTGGACATTGGTCGAATGAACTTTGCTTCACATAGACATGTACTGACATCTCCAAACACAAGAATAACAATACAACCATACAAGCACTTTGGGTTTGGCAAATACATCCTGGCTGCCACTTTCATTCATCCGCACCTCTTCGGCCCCGGATCATCACACTCCAAAACAGCACTAAAACCCAAGCAAACCATCGCATTTATCATCGCCATCTGTCTGCTGTTATCGGGGGACATCCACCAGTGTCCAGGCCCGCTACACCCCTCAGCGGAAGAGAACCACCATGTCAACACCATCGCAGACAGGAGCATCACTGCTAACTTACAGGTATTCTCCCTCTGTTCATACTACACAACCGTGCATCAACCTCACCTCCATCCTTCTGCTCTTCCTGCGAGTGCCGCGGTGTCACCGGTATCTGGGAAGGATGAAGCGATTACCTGGTCGGGGTCATTGGAGCCAGAGAGAGGCGCGTCTACCTGGCCCAGGCCGCACACGCCGCACACGCCGACCCCGCTGCTGCTACAATCCGAGCGAGCACATCGACCACCACATCGACCTCCAGTGCTCCAGTCAGCGCCCGGGTGTGCGGAACACACCACCAACAACCGCAACATGCCCGCGGACCGTCCCTGCTCCACAGCCACGGAGAACATTCCACCAGCTTCTCTCTCGGACCACACCACATCCACCGACTGCATCATCACGGCACACATGGATTACGTCATCAGAATGCGACCGGCATCAGACCACATAAACAAAAACAGCGGAGACATGGAAAACGCGGGGTGGATTTTCGCCTGCTCCGCACTCTTCCAAAACATAAGCCCACTTCTGAATTAAAAATAGATCTGCTAAATAGTCAATCACTCTCCAATAAAACTAGTTTGATTCTGGATCATATTCAGGATAAAAAGTTGGACATGTTGTGCCTCACTGAGACCTGGCACAAACCTGGTTCATACATTTCTTTGAATGAAGCCTGCCCCCCAGGGTTTACATATCTGGAGAAGGCTAGGACCACTGGTCGTGGTGGAGGGCTGGCTGTCATGCATCACAGGGACTTACCTGTAACCCCCCTCCCACTTCCAGAGCTTACAACATTTGAAGCCCTTCTTTTCAAATGCAGACCACAAAATAAATCAATTTTAACGCTCCTCATCTACCGCCCTCCAAAACTCAACTCCGGCTTTATCACTGAATTGCGAGATCTACTCACTTCCCTCTGTGCTACTTCCCATAATACACTCATTCTGGGAGATTTCAACATCCACATTAAATCTACAAATAATCGTCTTGCTGCAGAATTTCTCGAACTCTTGGACAATTTACATCTATCACAACATGTCTCAGAACCCACCCACACAAAAGGCCATAGTCTTGACCTTGTTATAACAGACAACGTCCCCATCTCCAACCTGCAAGTTTATGATTTGGGGGTGTCCGACCACAAATTAATTTCCATGGTACTGCCCTTAGCCGAAACACAAATTAAAACAAAGCGCCAAATCAGTTTCAGAAATTTAAAGGCAATTGACTCCACCCGCATTAACCAGGACATTCATAAAATCTCTCTAGTCACACAATTCACTTCTGTAAATGAAACTGTCACTCATTACAACTCCAGCCTCCGCATTATCCTTGATTCTCATGCACCAGTTAAAACCAGAACAGTCACATTTTCCAGAACAGCCCCATGGTACACACCTGAACTCCACAATATGAAGACAGCTGGCCGAGCCCTCGAGCGGCGCTACACCTCCACTGGCTTACTAGTCCACAAACAGGCATACCGTGAACACCAAAAAACATATACCAGAGCACTCACCACTGCAAGATCCTGCTATTTTTCACAAAAAATCTCAGATAGCACTGGCAATTCAAAACGATTATTTTCTGAAATAAACACTCTGGTCAAACCTCACACACACACACTGTCTGACACCAGTACGGACCATTGCAATAGGTTCATGGACTACTTCACCAACAAGGTAATGTCAATCCGGTCTGCCCTTCCTTCCACTACCCCATTTCCAACTGACATAATCTTTCCTAAGCCGCCCAACACCTTTACCTCCTTCTTGGATATCTCCCAGTCTGAAGTGGAGAGGATCATAAGCAGCATGAAGCCCTCCACCTGTCTGCTGGATCCTCTCCCCACAACACTTCTCAAATCAAACTTTTCCGCCATTAGCCCATTAATAACAGAAATCATTAACCAGTCACTAAAATCCGGTCAGGTCCCCCCAGCTCTCAAAAATGCAGTAATCCGCCCTCACCTGAAAAAACCTTCACTTGACCCCAACATCCTAGCCCACTACAGACCAGTCTCAAACCTCCCATTCCTCTCCAAAGTCCTCGAAAAAGCAGTAGCAGCCCAACTCCACAATCACTTACGCTCCCATAACCTATATGAGAAATTTCAATCTGGTTTCCGCTCAGCCCACAGTACAGAGACAGCCTTGGTCCGCGTCATGAATGACCTACTCATGACTGCGGACCGGGGCTCACCCTCTCTCCTCCTCCTCCTCGATCTGTCAGCAGCTTTTGATACCGTGGACCACACCATTCTCCTCCATAGACTACAATCAGTAATTGGACTTTCACAGACAACACTCAAATGGTTTCATTCATATCTCACTGACAGAACAGAATATGTGTCCCTAGGCCAGTACAAATCGTCAACCCATTCAGTTACCTGTGGGGTACCGCAAGGCTCAGTCCTCGGGCCAACCCTTTTTACAATATACATGCTCCCCCTTGGTCAAATCATAAACAGACACAACATTTCTTTCCACTGCTACGCCGATGATACACAGTTATACCTGAAAATGGACTCCACTTCACCCACAGGTTTTACGTCAGCCCTTCAGCTTTGTCTGGAGGAGATAAAGGCATGGATGGACAACAATTCTCTTCAACTTAACAGTGGTAAAACTGATACAATCCTCTTTGGCACCCCCCACCAAACCCAGTCCTCCCCTCTCAGCAGTGTTTCAATTTTTGGCCATAACATCCCCCTGTCCACATCTGTTAATAACCTTGGAGTCAGGCTCGACTCTAATTTTACATTTGATACCCACATCCGCCACCTCTGTAAAGTCTCCTTCCTTCACCTCAAAAACATTGCCAGACTCCGCTCCTCCCTCTCACAACCGGACGCTGAGAAGCTGATCCATGCCTTTGTCTCCTCCAGGTTGGATTACTGCAATGCCCTCCTCGTCGGGACCTCTGCAAAGGGTCTGCAAAAACTCCAGTACATCCAGAACTGTGCTGCCCGGGTCCTGACGAGGAGGCGCAAATATGACCACATCTCACCCGTCCTCAAATCACTCCACTGGCTGCCCATCAAACACAGAATACAGTACAAACTCTGCCTCCTCACATATCAATGCACACACGGAACTGCCCCTGCCTACCTCAGTGAACTCCTAACACCACACACCGCCTCTCGAAGTCTCCGTTCAACCACCTCCTCCCACTGCCTGCACCAACCCAGGACCAAACTCTCCACCATGGGAGATAGGGCCTTTCAGGCAGTAGCCCCCCGGCTCTGGAATGCCCTCCCAGAAACCCTCAGGGCCCCACAAAGTGTGGAGGCTTTTAAGAAAGGCCTAAAGACATTCCTATTCAAACAGGCCTTCTAGATATGTACAGTAATTATGTTTTATTTTATTTTATTTTTTCCTGATGTTATATTTGATGTATTGTTTTTATGTTGTGTATCTTGGGGATGTTCCCTGTTTTTGTAGCACTCTGAGGTTTCCCTGAAATGTAAAGTGCATTATAAATAAAATCTATTATTATTATTATTAGTATTTGACTGAGCTATGGAATTCTATTATGATCCATATCGGGGCCCATGTATTGTAATGCTAGCCGTAGTTTACCATAGACACCAGTGCTCGTCCCTGGTTCCATGAGCAGGTGATATGACGGTGTTGAACAGTTAATGGGAAATAAATTGCGGGGTCTTTGATGTGACCATGTTTCTGTCTGGTGTCTGTTGCTTTGAAATATTAACATCTCGTGCTGCATCTCTCATTGTAAATCTCTGAATGTCTTTCTATACTTCTCTGTTCTTCTGTTTTTGCAAAGTTAAAGCTCCAGTTTGTAACTTTGTTTGAGGTCGTCTTCGTAGAGGTGACGACATAAGATTTCAAGAACATGAAGTTACAAAGTGCAGCTTAATTTCTCATTCCTGTCTTTTCATACATTGTACTTCATTAAGTACAATAGCCCAGTCTGTTTTAATGTAGTTATTATAAGTTATTACAAACTTAAGTGTATAAGACTTGTAACACTCAGCCCCTCGGAGCGCGCACTACAAAATACATCGAGGTAACTGTGACGCTTTATACCCGCTGTGATTGACCTAACGCTGATCAAAGAAAAACAACCACTCATTAATCTACTGTGCGTAACGTGTACTCCATTTACTCAGTACTCAGTCCAAAACAAGCAATAATCATAAACAATATAAAAGACTTAGTCCTCCCCGTGCCCACTGTCAAACCTGGTGACGAGTACGTGGCTCCGGTGATAGTCAGTGTAGTTCAAAAGGCAAATCCAAGAGTTGACAAAACGATAAGAGTGTGGGCAGAGCGCAGTGGGTGAGTGCGCTCTCCCTCTCCAGCGTATAAAGTTCATAAACAAAACGCGCACAGGCCGGGCGTGAGCGGCAACCGGGCTCTCCTGCCGGGTCCGTCCCGAGGGTCTGTACAGTCCGCTACAATAATCCCCCCCACAGATCTCTGACTCAAGTCTCTCGTGGTCTCCTCGAGCCGTGTCCAAAACCAAAGCAGCCCCCTCGTCTCTCTTTCCTCACACCTGATGGCAGGTCTCTGATGAGCGCTTCCTCCCGGGACACGCCCCCCCAGTTCATTCACAAAACAGACCTGTCCCATTAGGCCCAAAACATAAACAAATATACCTAAACACACATTAACACTTTTTAAACATTTGTGGCTATGCTACAGAGTCCCCCCCTCCAGCCGGAGGCTACTAGTTGACCATATAACACATTTTAAGATTCACCACATTGACCACGTCCTGCTTATTGGGCAACTCATCCCATTTGACCAGATAGTTCACAGGCCCCAACTTCCTGACTATGGAGGCTGGCCCGTCCCATCTCGGAGCTAACTTGGCAGAGAACTTCTCACTAGCCTTGGAGAGTGGGTGCGCCCGAACCCAGACTTAACGGACCATGAAGTCGCCGACCCAGAGCCAACTCTGCCGGAGTCCTACCAGTAGTTTCTTGCTGAGCAGTATTGATAGCAAAACGAATCTCTGGTAGCCACTGGTCCCACATCCCATGGGAGGGCCCTACGAAGGATGCGATCATGGTTTTGATGGTCCGATTGAACCGTTCAGTGAGGTTAGTTTGAGGGTGGTAACTGGTGGTGAGTTTCTGTATCACCCCCCATGCTTTGCAGAGGTCAGTCAAGAGGCCAGCAGTAAATTGTGGACCTCGGTCCGAGACGAGAAATTTGGGAACCCCCCAACGAGTGAAGATCTCCCTTCGCAGGATCTTAATGATACGGGGAGTTTTGCTATCCCGTAGTGGGAATACCTCCACCCATTTTGAATAGTAATCAACCACCACCACCAGGTAACAGTTTCCCTTTTTGCTTCGGGGAAATGGGCCCATCAGGTCGATGCCCAGCATCTCTCCTGGAGCAGTCACCTGTGTGGACTGGAGATATCCATGCGG